AAATCAAAGTAAAAGCCTTATATACTTAATACCATTAATGTGGGGCACTTACAGTTCTTTATGAGAAAGAAAGAATTGGGGGTGGGGGAGGCTCGTAATACTTTCTAGTGGTTTGTTTTATGTCCAAAACAATACTGAGAAGTTCTGAACACTGTGAAGTTCTGTAAGACCAGTATAAAGCCCCCTCTGCTCTCTGAATTGCACATCAGTTCACTTGCCGAAGGACCTTTCCTTTTCTTGGTTACCTGAGAGTGGCGGGGGACTTCCCTTCAAGAAGGAAAGGTAAAATAAGTATTTTCAAAGGCAATGATACTTCAAATGAAAGTTAAAGTTTAATTAATGTAATTTCTTAAGTAATCTTTATAGCAAGGAAAATAGTTCGATAGTGTGGGTTTAGTAGTAATAGTAACAACAGCACCAACAGCAGTGGCAGCAATGACCAGGGAGGTGCCTAGTCTAACAGAGCCGACCTACTCTCCCAGCAAGCAGGGCCCTGACCCATTCACACCTGCACTGGAACATCCTCACAGGCGTTCTACTGAATAAACGACCATTTGGGCTCTTCAAATTCTCAGTCTTCAAGGTGAGATCCAATTTTGATCCTTCAACCTAGAATACATTTTTTTCCCCTTTAAGTAACAAAAGCAGAAATAGTAGAGGATACTCAGCTTAAAAAGTGATTAACCAAAGCTCCCCACTAATGACAAGTGTTCTAATTAATGGACACTTTACAGTTCGACCTTACGCTGCCTCAATCCATAAAAACGTTTATTAGATAGATACATGTTTTCCAACCCTACACACAATGAGTTGGCAGTCTCAACAAGACAGCACAAGCTGCAGGCAGAGACACCAGAGAGAGCCAGTACTTGGGAGGTTACATATAGCTTCTGGCTTCAGTCGCATGCTGTCGATGATTCTAAGAGGCTCAAAAATGCTAGATATTCACAGCTAGACTGACACAACCTGCAGATTAAAGCAGAATCTATTGGCAGGAGTATCTGAGCAGGATCCTACCTGGGAAACAAAATGACATTGCAAGATGATATACCAAAATATTGCAAAATTAGGAAGCTGGACAAGATACCAAGAGCTCAACTTTTGTTAAATTCCCAAAAATAGCTCTCTTTATTTTAAGGTAATTCCCTGTCCCTTCTTAAAGTGAAGGCCTATGCAGCAGAACTCCTGCACAGCCCATGGTTACCAAAAATTTATATTTACATATTTCAAATTCTCAGATATTCACTGTCATCTACATCATATACAGATGATGTATAGGCTGGCTGCTAAATTTAATCATCTTAACATACATTTTCTACACATATTTGCTCTTCAGTTCAGAAAATGTGCTTAAGCCAAAGACAGGAAAAAAAAAATTCCACCCTGGTTAAATTTATTAATCAGAGTAAATACCATTCTATCTTATCATCATGTTTTCTATGAGGAAACTTCTGTTCTTTTTTTAGATTTGAGAATTGCTTTTTCTGAAAGAACCCCTCAGAATTGAGTACCCTGAACTGCAAACTTGTCCTTTGTCCTAGTTGTTTACCAGTCTTATCAGGCACACATGGGTTGGCAATGTGATTCTAAGATAAAAATTCCAAAGATATAATTAGATGTTTTTCCAAGAAACATCTCCCAATGCCACGAAAATTTGTTTGATGTTCTTCACTTTATAGTTGAAGTGGTCTCACAATTTCTTGCCACTTAACCATTTTCTTTTAGATAAGTGAGAAATTAACTTGGCACTGAAGAAAACTATATACCTTTTAAATAAACAATTCTGAAAATACAGAGCTTATCTCAAACTTCTAGCTGTGACAATCAATAAGCCTACTTTTCTATAACACACTTCAAGTTTATAACAGCCTGAATATAATGAAAATAAAGTTATGCCCTGAATTTAACTATAAATGATAAAGAGAGATATCCCAGGCCAATGATGTACAGGCTTTCTTATGTGCTTTATAGATTCATTAGTTCAAAGGAGATAAAAAGAGAAAGGCAGGAAGTCAGAAGTGTACAGTTACTATGTTGCAGAAGACTACTCTGTGGCCAGTGAAAGAAGTACTGTGAAAACATCTCATTTTCCACTGAACTCCATCTTTGCTAACGAGTCTGGACCGACCTGTGCAAAAAGAAAAATCTTCTACTGCCACCTGCTGGCAATTTATAGTCAATAATTCTCAAAGATGCTATAATAACAAACTTCAGATTAAAGAACTTTTTATTTTTAAAGCAACGACAATCTTTGGATTCTTATCTCTATTTCTCCATTTATGGATATATAAAATAAATGTTATAATAAATTATTGTGGAGATATATGACATATACATTTCTAGAAGTAGAGAACTGCAGCCAGAACAGCCTGACTTCTGACAGCCTCACCACTGACTCCCAGAGGCCAAGTCACTGCCTCGAAAGTCAGAGACTATCACATTTCCATTCTTCTTTTGCCCACAAAAGCCATTCAACTTAGGCCTATGTCAGCAGTAAAGATGTGAAACCAAATGGTCTTGGCAGACCTGTCTGCAGAGAATTCACAACTCAAATATTCTTGATCAGCTAGAGAAGTTTCACTCTCTTCAGCCAAAAATATCATAGGCCAAACCTGAGTTTTTGAAGACCTCTCTAAAGGAAATTTAAAATGTAAGGATGTCAACATAACAATGATGGAGGATCACAAATGAGGGATCCTTGGCTAGAACTGGAATATCCCTGCTGGTAAGATTCTGTAACTGAAGATACAAACATGATTTTAAAATTCTGAAAGTGTGGGTCCAAGTTCCTGCATTCAGCTTCATTTCTTTTTTGGGAGAGCTTAAGAATTTTAGAGAGTCTTTGCTAAACGGTTTTAAAAGCGATGATTTTTCTTTTTAATTTAGTGGCGCAGGGAGGGGTTTAAAAAGATTTTATTTATTTATTTATTTCAGAGAGAGGGGAACGGAGGGAGAAATGGAGGGAGAGAAACATCAAAGTGTGGTTGCCTCTCACATGTCTGCCTTCCCACTGGGGAGCTGGCCCGCAGCCCAGGCATGTGCCCTGACTAGGAATCGAACCAGCGACCCTTTGCTTTGCAGTGTGGCACTCAGTCCACTGAGCCACACCCGCCAGTGCTTAGTGGGTATTTTAAAAATTAAAGTAGAGAGGTACACTGTTTTTGAGGAAACAGTACTTTTTTTATCAATAATACCCCAATTCTTCTTGCCAAAAAAACCCCACAAAAATCTATGAAGATTATTTTTAAAGTATTTCATGTAACAAGTCATAAATTATAGGACTTTTCATGCCACACTGCTTCATCCCTTTTCAATATACTAAAAAATTTGAATTTGACTAACCACTTTCTCCAAAATGAATTCAAAGTACAATGTGAATCAGAAGGCAATGTCCCAGCTTATAAATCCTGAGTCTTTCTTTCACATCCCTAGACATGAGCAAATTTGTCTGTTAGGACACTGAAGAGTCGTCTATAATTCTATGGTCCTATAATTACGACTTGTACAAATTCAGCTGCCAAAAAATCACCAGAGTAGGTGGTGAATACAGCCAAGTAAACCCTAATTATGGAAGGCGGGTTTTCTAAGATCTCACATACAAAAAGCAAAAGCAAGAACAAGAACAGACAGCTAAGATAGTTACCACGGCAATATCGTCTTGTCAAATTCATTGTAAGCCCCCTTTTGGTAACAGCTCTTACCACCCATAGTTCGTGGGTAACTTTAAAAAAGCAATCTGGGATCCTCTGCTTAGAGTCCAGCACTTAATTTTCCCAAAATAGAGTTATGAAAATTACACATGCCATTTTCACTTATGTGTTGGGGGGAAAATAAAAAGGAAACAGAAGTCCAATGTCCCAGATAATTTTCCACTTTATATTTCAGCTCCTCCACTAGTATTACTTTTTTTTTAGTTCTGTTGGAGTTGAATAAAATGCCATTAGCATTATAAAATGCAATATGCCAGTTGTAAGTGCAGAGCACAATAAATCTACCTAAATTGATCCCATGCATATAACCAGGATCCAATCCAGCACCAGCATTCTCTGTACTCCAGAAGTGCCCCACCCACCCAGAAAGGAAGAAATTTTATTTTATTAAAAAAAGAGTACACAGTTCTCTGAATAATATAGTGTATTTTTACTGTCCAGATCTGTAACTACAGCCTTAAAGTAGAAGATATTATGCCTTTTCCTTTTGCTTTTACAAACATGTATTCTCATCTTTCCCTTTATTAACAAACTGAACCTACTTAAATAACACCTCCTTTATGAAGACTTCCTTGACCTTCACAGAAAAACGACTTAAGTTCTCATCTATATTCATAGACTAATTTGCAAATAGTCTATGTTTATACTTATCACACTGAATTACAGATATTTATATGTACATCTACTTTCTAGACTGTGAGTCCCTTATGAACAGAAAAGACCTTATTTAATCCTTCCATCTGCCTTCTGTGCTTTAAACTGCATGCTGATGAATGACTCAATGTTTTGCACACTATTTCTTTTGCCATAGACACCTGAACAATTTTTCAAAAAGAGAATGTTCTACCAAATTTTACTCTATAGTATTAAATGAAGCAATATATACTATCCAGATATTTTAAAGTATATATCACCTTAATGTCCTCCATATGAATAATTTATAATAGTAAATTTTATTCAAGCAGGTTAAATAAAAGGTGCTAATTTTACTACATATACACATTAGCAAATATAAGTTGACAATGCAATGTTTTGTGATATGCTGCAGCTATTTTCTTGTAAGCAATCATATTAAGGTACCTCTGTAGAAAGTTCACAAATACATTTTCTAGGTCTGATACTATCATTTCCTTTTACTACCCTCCTTCCCACATCCTCCTCCACTACAAAACTACACACGCTTATTTCAACTAATTTGAGATTACTCTTTACTTATACATTCACTTCGAGGACTACAGAAGAAGAAACATGAACATCTCATCAAAGTTGGACATTCCAGAGATCTCCTACCTGTGTACCTAAGCTGGCTGCCATCATGTGAGTCAGAAGTTTAGCTGCAAACATGGAATACCTGGCACAGAAGATATGGGAAAGAACAGCCAGGCAGAGACCTGTAGGAACAAAAAAGGCCATGTGTGGTTTTATAATCCATGAACAAACAGCAGCAGTGAAAAGCGCTGGGATGGTTAAGCACATAAGGCCTGCAGCCTGCACAAGCTGTACAGTACTGTATCTCTGGGAATAACTATGTTGCAATTTTAATTTACTCCATTTTGCATCACATATAAAATCTTTACACTTATCAATTAAGCCCAAAGGGTAACTTTAATTTTCAAATATCTACATGCTCCTTTCTCTACTAAAAAGAAATCACAAATTAAGCAGATTAATAATTTCATTAGCATTTGGTGTATGTTTCCACTAGACAAGGTTTACTGTTTAAAAAAGGAATCATATTCCAATCTAATTTTGTAAGACCAGGAAGGCTGGATAAAGAGATATAATTAGGGAGGTGAATAGGATTTTTCAGGCATAAAATTGCGAATGGTACTACCAAAACTCAGGTTCGGTAATTACCTGTTTTTATCTACTAGAACTAGCTATGTAATTATAACAGTAGTGATTATGAATTTTAAAAACTTTATGCTACTGGGTGCTGAAATAAGGTAAAAAATGTGTTCTTCCCTCCTAAGATGACCTTTAGCATTTACATTTCTATGTGGGCAAAAAAAATTATTCTTATTTTCTTCAAGTCTATTTGCATTCGCCTATTTACATTACTTCATGGGGAAGATGAGAACCTCACCTAACCCACAAATCTCTGTCTTGCAATTCGTACAAATTTCCTTTAATGTCAGGTTTTTAAATGTCAGATATATACATATTTTAAAACTATTTCCTGTCTTTTGAAATTTAAATGTGTAGCACACAGTAACTTTTTCCCTTAAGCCTTTTAATCTACTCTCATCCTCAACAGGATTGTTTTGTCTAAGAATTATTCAAACGTGAATGCATGACATGTGTATGCTGCTTTGCCATGTACTTTGCATGCACTGCCTCACTTGTCAATGCCTCCCTGACAAACAGGAGACACTGCATTTATTTAATATTTTCTTTTCTCATTATCTTCTCTGAAGCTATGGGACAAACTTTTAAAGTGCACCACCTGTTGGCAGAAGAGGCCAGGGCATCAGCAAAATGCCCACATGAGGTCTAGTTTTCCGTACAGAAATGCCACTCATAACTCCTTTTGGAAAAAATTTTCGAGGTGTTTATATTTTAATAGGGTAGACAGGCAGACAAACTTTCATATGAGAAGTGAGGCTCTGCATTAGTCAAGGCTTTTGGCCTAGAAATTTGACCAAGATATCCAGAGTGGTCCATTGTTGGGAAGGTTGCCAGGAGGTGTCCGGGACAGGTGTGCCAGCTCTGGGGCTGCCTCCAAAATCCACCCACACAAGGACATAGCGTGTCCGGAAACTGTGGCGTCATGCCTGGTTCTCCTCCTTTACTCAGGTGGCCTACAGACTAGTGAGCTGGGGCTATTAGCTTGTTAATATACACTAAAACTCCTACGATGATCAAAAAGCTAGCTTAAACTCAAGTTTTAAGTTGAGTGTGTGTGTGTAATATACATACTTACAATCAGGGCCTTGTAAGTTTTTTGTTTGATTATAGGCTACATGATCACAAATATATGCTTTACGCTTAAGTTTACTGTGGCAAACGGTAACAACGTCAAGCAAGGGGATTTAGTGCTGGGCACAGGAGAAATGCACACCGGTCAACTGTTTTATTCATAGCCTTTTCCCTTAACTTGGTAATATTCCAGTAGACACCCATTTCATATAAATTTCGTACAGTTACAATGGACCAGCTCAGGATGATTTAATTAAGTACATTCAGCTTCAATTAAAATGCTAGCATGACACCTGGTGGCCGTCCAGGATTCAAAGCCAGTAGCAGGAAATGGGCTGGATTCTGCAGCCTACACTCGCAATGTGTGGTGGTTACCGAGATGCTCAAGCAGGCTGTGCCGTAGCCTCAAGTGGCCTTGGGAAATATCTTGAATAACTTAGATTTAAAGAAATAAATACTTCAGTTACCAAGTTTCTAAAGCATTATATGCTATGTATTTTTCTTTTATTTTCTTATCTGATGCTGAATAGCTGTCTTTAGCATAGATGATTTAAATTTATAAGTCAAGTTTTAGGGTTTTTTTTTAATTATAACAATTTTTTTTTGGTTTAAATCCCCTTAATATAAATACATAAATCACAAGGTACAAAAATGTAGTAACATTAAGTAGGCAAATAGAGTACAGTATTTCCAGTTATTACCATAAGTGTGTAAACAGTTTTTTAAAAATTAATTCCTTGGTTAATTGAATAATTTTCCTTTATTTTTTCCCCATCACTATGTAGGTTAAAGAATCAGTTGGAAAGGAGTAATTAATTAGTTTATGAAACAAATGACTTTTCCATATGATTTAAAAGTGAAAAGGTAGATAAATTACCCCTTATGGTAATTTTAATAATCTTTGCTGTAAATAAGAAAAATTCTAAAGAACAGATAGATTATTTTGCTATTATAGAACTGGACCACACATCCCTTTATCCATCTACTCAATATTTGACTGTTTGCATGTGTTTTAAACATATGTTATGTTTTAATATGAATATGCATGTCCAGTAAACACCTTGATGGTTTGGCATCACTTAAGAATGGAATACACTTTCCAAATTACTGAAGTTTATTCCTCCACACACCAAATATTAATATTTTCTCCCATGAAGAGTTTTGAAAATATCTATAAATTTTGTATGTATCTATCTATCTCTGCTTTCTCTATAGGGAAATCTATACAAATCAAATGATCACTACATTATTAAATCGGTTATTAAGTTTTTTTATATTTCCCGCCTAATGCTAGCTTTAACACGCACTTTTTCTACTTTTTTGCTCATCAGTATTGATTCTCATATTCTCTCCCTTCAGCACAATGTCTCTTGCTTACTGCTACTAAGCTAAGGGCAGGAAAACAAAATTGTGAAGCCTGAAAAGTTTTCTAGGCTGAACAAAAGACAGTATTAAACACCTTAGAGTATGTCAGTTCTGCGCATTAGGGGACAGGATTTATTCTCGAGGGATAAGGTCGCAGGGAGGACCACTCCCCAGATAATCATGCAAACCAAAGATGTTCAATACAATTGATAGCCACTAGCCACTCAGTCTATTTGAATTTTAATTAATTAAACTTAAATAGAATTAAAAATTCAGTTCCTCGACTACACCAGCCATACATCAAGGGTTCAATCACCAGATATGGCCAGTGGCTACCACACTGGATAGAGCAGAAGATCAGCATCCTTGCAGAAAGATCCACCAGAGTGTTCCACTGTCCTGACAGCAAAAATGCTACATTTCAGAAGAACTTTCATTAAGAATGGCTGAAATGAGATGGTTTGGGACTTGAAGGCATGAACTTAACTTACAGAGCCACAAGTACATCTCTTTATTAGAGGATGACAGATCAGCATGGTCGATTCATTTACTTCTTAATTTAACAAATAGCTATTGAAATACTACTATATGTGAAGGGCTGTGCCGGGCAATGGAAGCATGATATTCAAAAAGATAGTTGCGCCACTCCCGCTGCCTGTCTCCACATTTCTATCAGTACCTTGGCCCAGACAGAGATTGGTTTATGAAAGGTCAGAGAACACAAGTTTGGAAAAGAGATGGGCAGGAAAACTTTCTGGGTGGTTTCCAGGAAGCTGTTCATTGCTCTTAAAACAAGATACAAATAAGCGCTCCACCCTTGGCAAGCCTACACATTGTGTGAAGCTTACTGCTTCTGCAGCCAGTGCAAGACCATGTAGGGACAAGACTGAGAAAATAAAATTAAATCTTTGTGGAAGACAAAACAAAATAGAGAGAGAGAGAGAGAAGAGGATGGGCCCCTGATGATGCCCTTCTGCTTATTTAAGATATTTGAATTATCTTCTGTTATCCACAGTCAAATTCATCCTATGCAATACAGCTATATGAAGATCTGTCCATAAAGTATCCAGCCATGTACTATGAAAAAAGAGACATTTATTGAAGAAAATACAAGATACAAGAAACATTGTACATAGGACAACGATGCCTCAGTCCCCTTCCAGGTAGGCACATTGGGGCCTCACACAGTTCTCCCAGCATCTTTTCCACTGTTCAAAACCCTCTGCAAAATCCTCTGTTGGAATTGCCTCCTCTTGTTTTCCTGAGTCTCATGATGGTGTGAAATCTCTTCCCTTTCAAAGATGATTTTAGTTTTGAGAAATGCTGAAAGTTGCAGAGTGGCAATTGTGGGCTGTAGGGAAGGTGAGTCACCTGGGTGCTTTGATGTTTCACCAAAAAAATCTGCATGAGATGATGTGTGAGCAGGTGCATTGTCATGATGAAGCTGCCAATGACCAGTTGCCTATAACTGTGGCTGTTTTCATTGTATTGCATCTCTCAACTGAGGAAGTACACGGAGGCAGTACTTTTTATTAACTGTTTGTCTATTATAGACAAATAATAGAGAGGTGTACTTGTGATGGACAACACCTTCCCAATCAAAATACACAGTTAACATGGTCTTGATCTTGCTGAGAAATTACCACCTCTTCTTTGGGCATGGAGAACCAGACAATTTCCATTGGGACAACTGGCCCTTTGTTTCCAGATATTACTTGTAGCCATAGACCCACAATTCATCTCTGGTTATGACCTTCTTGAGGAAATTTGGCCCACTGGTAGCAGTTTGCACCGTCATTAGTAACTATACAGCACAATGTTCTTTCCACTCTGGTAGCAGAAGCCACAGAATGAATTTTGCCACAACACATTTTACGTTAAGATCCTGCATCAAAATTTCAGACAAAGTAGATTTTGGAATCCCCAGATCAGCTTCTAGTTCTCTCACTGTCAGTTGCCAATCTTTGTTGACTGCAGCCTGTATACATTCGACATTCATTCTGAAGTGTTCTGATTGTTGAAGGCCTTCCAGAATGTGGATCACCTTCAACAGATTCTTGGTCATCTTTGAAGTGTTTGTGCCACATTTTTATTTGTGCTGCATTCATTGTATCACTCCCAAAAGTCTTCTAAATCATCCAAGTAGTTTCCACATAGGAATGATTAAGCTTAACACAAAACTTGATGCAGACTCATTGCTCTACTCGCTAAGTCATATTGAATGCAACGGCCATACAGTACACATGCATATTCAATGGTGCCTACCACCCCCACTGACTAGTACAGTGAAGTCATCATTGTTCATGCATGCACATGCCAGTCCACTTTCCTTGCCTGCCAGGTTACATCGATGTCGCACAAACCATTCTCATTATAGTAAAAATGGCTGGACTTCAGACAGACCTAGTATGTACATAACTAGAGAAATCCAACATTTTTTATGCATGTCAGAATTAAAACTAAGCTTTCTGACTTGTCACTTGCATGATAAGTTACCCTTCAGATGGCTTTTTTTCAAATTCTTGCACATCTTTTTCTATTCTTGTGAATACCTCCTCAGTTGAGAGTCAAAATGAAACTGTTTTAATTTATCTCCAGATAATTATAATTACTATCCTAGGACAATGATTACAGTGAGTATGAACTGGATATTTTTGAAAGAATTTGACATGAAATTTTAGAAAATATCTTATAATTTAAAATGAGTAGATACCATCTGGTAAAATTATAAAGTTTTTTTTTAAACTATCAGAATTTCAGCTTGTAAATTATAAGACAGAACTAAAATATCCTTGCAGTTTAATAAACCTTGAACAAAATAATAAGCATGCTTAAAAGGAATTGGGATTATATTTATTTTACTTATCCTGTAAGTCTTATTATTTAGCAATTATAGACAACACTTCCTGTTACTTACTGTAAAATTGACATTGTGTTGGCATTTATCATTTAGTAATCTGCGAAGTAAATAAAACTATCAGGCTTTTGAAAAGGAAAGTTTTAGCTTAATTAATGTTAATGTCCATCAGACATTACATTAGAGAACAAAACAACAACTACAAATAGAAACAAATCTGAGATCTATGCCTACCTCAAATCTCAGCCTAAAAGCATTCCAAACATAAGAGACTCACCTACAAGTGCATCAAACATGACCCAGTTCACGTATTGATGGTAAAACTGAAATGGGTTATGGAATATAACAGGGTCTCACTAAAATCACAAAGCCATAGAAATTGCATTTAGAGTCAAAATTAGGATGATTCCAATCCAACTATCTATCTTTGACAGTACAACATCATTAGAATGATGAGAAGCCGGGTAATCTTTGACATTCTCCTACAAATAGTAATGTGTACTTCAAACTATGTTTAGGTTCCTTAAAATAATATAATAAAATTATAGCATTATCATCTATAATTATTCATCATTAAGGTAAATTTCATAATGTTACACTACTGTGCACAGTTATGTTTTACTTTTTTTCTCTCTAGGTTTTTAGCTTCATGAGATAACCTTAGTTTAATTTCTTGGTATTTGGTAAACTGGTTTCTAATTTTAAAAGTCATAAGTATATGCCTTGATCTTTCATCTCTCTTAGCTGGCCATTACTAAGCTTTTTGGCCGGTATTTTCTTTACAGTTTTCTTAATATTTTCTTTTCTCTAGCTTACTTCATTGTAAGAATATGATATATAATACATATAAAACAAAATATGTGTTAATCGACAGCATAATCAGTAACACTTCTGGTCAACAGTAGGCTATTAACAGTTAAGTTTTTGGAGAGTCAAAGATATACATAAATTTATGACTCACAGAGGAGCCAGAGTCTTTCATCCGGACATTGTTCAAAGGTCAACTGTAATTTCAAATATAACTTCAAGTCAAAAGAAATACAAGTAGATGCTGATATTTAGATGTTTATTCTCAAATAGATGAGTAAATCTATGTAGACTTTGCTAAAGTAAGCTGCAAAAAATATATATTTATTAACAATTCTTCTAGGAAATATAGTCTTGCTAGTGTTCTATAAAAATTAAAATAATATTTTCACTTTAGTTTTTAAAACTCTTTGTTTTGATGTTCAGAATTTAGAACAAGCAAGGAATTTTTGTGGATCACAGCCACACTTGGATTTAACTCTCTATTGAAATACATAAAATAACATCCATGTTTATTTCAGCTTTTTACCCATTGGTGTTATTTCATCATTCTATGAAATTTCTATTAATATTAAAGTAAAATATGATGTCTCCATCTGGTTTGGAACTATGTTGACCTAGAGAAATCTATTAAGCAAGAAATGTCATCTTTATAAAATGTTATTAAGAATAAGAAAGTATTAAGACTCCCAACCACATAATCAATTCAGCAAATGAGAATAATTCCACAGTTACTCTAAGTTATAGGTAAATGGTTGGACAGACATTAACACAATTCAAGTACCTACTCTTGCCGGAAATGAAACCTAGATGTGAAAGGTGAAAGAGTCTTTTTTTTTATTTTTGTAGTTTCATTATTGTATTTTTAAAAAGATTTTATGTATTTACTTTTAGAGAGAGGGGAAGAGAGGGAGAGAGAGAGAGAAACATCAATGTGTGTGATATACATCAGTTCGTTGCCTCTCACACGCCCCCAGCTGGGAACCTGGCCCGCAACCCAAACATGTGCCCTGACCAGGAACCAAACTGGTGACCCTTCCGTTAGCAGGCCAGAGCTCAATCCACTGAGCCACACCAGCCAGGGCAACAGTTTATTTTTTGAAAAAACAGAGCATATTTAGAGCTCCTAGTTTGTAGAATACAAATCAGCCAAAGGGGTAGGTGTTGTTGGTTTTTTTTTTTTTAATAAAAATACAAACTGCTTTGTATATATTATCTCCCACAATCCTGACACTCTAATACAGAGTCTGCCCTCAGAAGACTATGAACTATGTATATCCTCTCCTATTGTGTAGCTTCTATTCCATGCTGTATTTTATATTCTTTATGAGTTGGAACTATGTCTTGTTTTTTCCCTATGTCCTTAGAACAAAGTTGGCCCTCCATAAGTATCCACTGAATGAATTAATGAATAAGACAATGGGAAAGTTTATTTTCTCCCAGTGCTAATGAATGACAGAACATTTGCATCTTGTGTAGATAAAATGAATATGAAAAAACAGGCTTTCACTCTAATAACTTTTTTAAATTACTGACACAAAAATATTGCAACTGACCTGAGATACATATAAATCCAGAAGAGAAAAATGCTTCATTGTATGAAGACAAGTTGTCAGTCTGGGCGTAGACAGCATACACAGACATGTATGAACAGGCACATTCCACGTAGTCTGAAGTGTCCTCAACCACTTTGCAAAACTGACTGTCGGACAACCAGCTAGGGCAAAAAGACAATTGTCACTATTCTGTTTTCATCAATGCTTAAAGCCTCAGATGGCTTTTAAAGAAAAAATAACTTACAGAACTTAAGTGTTCTTGACTCCAGACTTACACAGACCACAGTGTCAAGAAGAAATACCGGAGGGAACATCTTGTGCATGACATGACACAACAGATCCCACAAGGTACATTAAGAAGCAGCTTTAATACTATCCGAATTTTCAATAGCATTCCAGCTACCAGAGAAGCTGGTCCTCTCAACAGAGCAGTGCCATTTGCTAGCTAATCTAAAGCAAACACGTCCAAGGTTTTCAACAGACGGCACCCTTCTCTATCTTTTAAAACTCCCAAAAGAATGACATAGCCATTATAATATGTAGTGTTCACCCTTTATTTTTCATAATTCCCAGTAATCTGAACCAACAAATTATTTATGTGTTTTTCTAAAATTCCTTCATTTTTTTTTTTGGAGTTGGGAGCCAATTATAATACATAAATGTTTTCCAGTGGTTTTTTTTTTTCCACAAACTTCACTCTGCAGATATGTCTATATATTTTTTTAATTAATTAAGAGAAAGAGAGAGAAACATCAATCAGTTGCCTCCTGTAAGCGCCCTGACCAGGCACTGAACCTGCAACCTAGGTATGTGCCCTGATTGGGGACCGGACCCGCAACCTTTGGTATACAGGATGACACTCCAACCAACTGAGACTCGTGGACAGGCCAGGGTTCTTTTAAGAATAGCAGGGTTTCTATCAGTCTGGCTAATTTAGCACAAGAATATTGTCATGATTATGGCAAATACGGCATAACATGCCACAACTTCGTAGCATTCCTCAGGGACTATCGGTTGAGTCTCTTCCCTTTTAGTGCCTCTTGATTTTTTTTTTTTTTTTTTTTTTTTACTTTTCTAAGGACATAAAACTTCTCAACTCCAACTGCAGGTTCAACCTTGAAACATTCATTATTAATTATATATTGAGGATCACACAGTACCTATGTATTAGGTTTAAGATCTGTCATCAGGCATTAGGAATTTCAACTGATAATTATGTTTATTTCCCACAGAAAAGAAGAAACTAACCAGAATTTTGGTGTTTAGAGGACAGTTGGTTGGTTAGCCAATTAAGTTGTTAAACTTATATAGGATTTTAGCTTATGTGGCTGAAAGTCAGTGATAAACCAATTTTTACCCTTTGGTGTTATTTCATCAGTCTATGAAATTTCTAATTGATGTTAAAGTAAATTACGCTGTCTCTAACTGGTTTGGAACTATGTGGACCTAGGAGAATCTATCAAGCAAGAAATATTATCCTTATTAAAGATGCTATTAAGAATAAGAAATTATTAAGACTCCCAAACACATAATCCCTGGGGGTTCTAGGAATCTGTCTTTTAACCAGTCCTCCAGCAAATCTGATACATCTTGTTAGGGACTCATCATGTTTGCAAACAATGAAGAGATACAGAGATGAATCAGATCTGAAACCTGCCTGGAAAAGTTTAAGAGGTTATTAGGATAAAAATTACACATTCATATTAAAAAGTAATACAGGCCCCAATACATGTATATATAATTATATCATGGATCTAAATGATACTTTGTCAGGATTGCTAACCAGTGAAATGGAGCAAAGAATTTTCAATGAAAGATTTGAGAAGGAAAGGAAAAGGTAAGGGCTTACCTCTAGCTATATGCCCTCTCGAGGGGTGGGGGGGAACCTCACCACCCCAGCTTTAACTACCACATTTGAATCAATGCACAGACCCTCTGCACCAGCGCTGCCTGACCCTAAAGCACTGACTGAGCTCTGAGTAACAGAACTGCTCAGAAACTTGAGGCCTTAGGCCAAGAGAAAGAATCATTCTCTTCTTCCCTTTCCTATGCAAAGCTTTAATCCCAAACTGTACTCCAAGCCATATGTGGGCTAGAATTGTAAATCCCTGCTAATTCCTCTGAACATAGAGTATCAGCTTAAGAACCATAAGCCCAGATGGAAAGGAAAAAAATTTCCTTTCCTGCCCAATAAGTTAACAAACAACCACAGGAAAGTTATCTGAATTGAGCAGAACTCATGCTAAGTCCTGTGAAAGCACTAATAATCAAGAAGCAAATACTGTGCTAGACACATATTTAAACGATTCGGCTATATTTGCCACCGGCACGATGCTAGACTAGCTGCTATGCTTCCTTGTCTTATTTCTTGTAGAGGCTATTCTCCAGTCTAAAGTCCATCACTGCTCAGTAGGAAACACTGGGCTCAGTGGTACTGGAATGGAGGAAGACCAAATTCTGATTTGAAACAATTATTAATAAGTACCTTGCAGCAGCCTGATTCCAAAGGAGACACAGAGAGGTTTTGGGAACAATTCTGGGCTCAGCAGCGTAAATCCTGTAGAGAACCTCATTGTTGTCAGTCAGGGGTTGTGAATGCTGACCTTTCACACTCAAAGATAATGCCTATAATATGTAAAAAAAAAAGGAAAGAAAGAAAGAAAATTTAATAATGTTTCCAAGTTAATGTCATGACTGAATCTCCCATTCTGAACTTTGCTTCATTTTTTAGACGCTTTAGTCACTACTTACTGCTACTATTTACAGGTAGTTTCCTTATGAATGCACGGCACCTGCCTGGTTTTCCACTGCAAACATTCTACCTCCCCTTCAGTTACGGACAGTCTTCAGGTGACAACACGCACTTTGACTATAACTGCTGGACATCATCCCAAGTGGCGTATATAACATACTATTAGTGAAAGCTGTCTGTTTTCACTTTCCCTGCTTTGACATATAGTAAACTCAACAAAACACAAAGTAAATACTTCCAACTATTTTTGAGGCAAAATATTTCACAAATAGTTCACAAAGATGGCACATGTTTCATTTCATAATTAGCTCCCCACACGTAGCACTTCCCACAAATCTGATCAAGCAAACGCATTCTGAGTGTGGCTGTTACGGAAAAATCAGATTCCAACCATAATTCTTTATAATGATAGATTACCTTATTTTTCAGGGCAGGAAGATTATTTCCACTTATGAACCACTGCTGGCTGCTATACTCTGTAAACTGGACTACTTCACATGTACTTTTCTCAGGCATTATTTCTGCATCCGGGACATCCAATAACCTTTCTGGAATTCGAATATAATCACTTTCCTTTCCTTCAAATTTGTGCCCATTGATTTGTTGAGGATACCAGTGAAGAGCCAGTATTGACAAATATGGGCAGCTGTCAAGGATGGTTTTGCCTCTGCAACAGAAAAGCAAAGGATCTGCTAAAATGGCATGCATTTTATATATTTTTTCTATTTGTTCTATATATCCACTTACATTTGTTAAAATGCGTTAGACAGGGGCTCTGTTCTTTGTGTATAAGCGTAACGCTATCAGCCCAAAAGCAGTAAAGAGAATGTGTTTTCAGTTCTTTTATGGTTGTCATGATTTTTTCACAGAACTTTCTGCATCCCTCTGCCTGATCCCCTTTATAACCTATATCATGGGTTTCTGAAAGCTGTTTCACAGATATCAGACATACTCTGTGGCTATAAAATGGACTTTTCAGTTACTCATATCATCTTTGGTGGTACAGACTGAAGAAAATGCATGCCACTCAAGTGGAACGCTCCGTTTTATTTGAGAATACTATAAACCTTGTATGTCTGCAGCCATGTTTTCATCAAGAGTCACTTCATCCCTTTTTAACCCATCAGAGAATTGCTCAGTTGACCATGTGACTGACAAAGATCTTTATCCATTTACCAATTGTTTTGAACACTCCCTAGGCATAAGATTCTGTGCTCAGTGAAATTGCTTCCAAGCCTCTGTGTGTTAAAATTAGTTCAGTTCAAAGCTTGTTTAAAAATGCAGATTTCATTTTTGATAACACCCCAGGCTTATTAAATCAGAACCTTGCTTTGGGAGGGAGCTGGGGGTTCTAGCAATCTGTATTTTTAACCAGTCCTCCAGTGAATCTGATGTATCTTATCAGTGGACCCATCATGTTTGCAAACAATGTGGAGAAACAAAGATGAATCAGATCTGAAACCTGCCTGGAAAAGTTTAGAGGATATTAGAATAAAAATTATGCATTAAATGTTAAAAAGTAATATAGGCCCCAATACATGTAGAGTATATATAATTATATCATGGATCTAAATGACACCTTGTCAAGACCACTAACCAGAGAAATAGAGAAAAAAAAATTTTCAATGGAAGATTTGAGAAAGAAGGGAAAGGATAAGGACTAACCTTCCTCCCTAGCTATATGCCCTCTGGAAAAAAAATCTGTTACCCCAGCTTTGACTACCACATTTGACTTGATGCCTTCCAACACCTATCTTGAATCTAGCCATTAATCTAGGGCTCTAGGCTCCCATATCCGAGACTCCTCCTGAAGCACTTCAGGCTGTGGAGGCCACACACACCTGCAAAACAGCCTGTAAACCCATCTCTTCATCTCCCCATCCGGCCTCCCGCATTTTCACTGGTGACTCTCCACTAACAGCTGCCACTGACTGCCACTGTCACCTGCATACAACTGGCTGAGACCAGTGAACCTCAACCAGATGACTGCAGACCCCCCTCATGCCTCTAGAATCTGCTGAGGTTTAGCTCAGTCAGTCAGCACTGTCAGGGACTCCACCACCTTCACATACCGAGGACATCACATGCACAGTGACTCTGCTCAGCCTTGACACAACGGTGACACATTGCTGCCCTTCTCCCTTGCTGATGACTATGCGCTCCCTGACCCCCTAACTGAGAATAGCCACGCCCGTCTCCTGCGCTCACTTTGATCAATCCCACAATCAGCTTCACACGCAGGCTGAAGTGAGGGGGGAGAAACCCAGGGGAAGGAACCCACATTATCGTGTAGATTGGCACCACCACAAACCCACAGTGACCAACCTCAGTCAACCCTTCATGCCACTTGGCATTGTCCTTACTTGGCTTCCCAGCAACTGTTCTAGATTCCATCATTCTCCTCAATGCCTCTGCTCATTTCCCCAACCCTCACTCTCAGTAGATGCCCTTGAATACTGCTTAAGGCAATGTAAATAATGCGTATCAGAATGGTCAGTATCTTCAGAGTTTTCTGAGTAAAAACCTTATCTCCCCCTTAGTATCTAAGTTCAGTTTGTCACCTATATGTTAATTCTACAACCCAATTATTTTCCAGGCGACCATACTCCCTATGTCCCTGCCTCAGTTTCACCCCTCACCTTCTCTTACATGAGCAATTGCGTCTATGCAGCCCTATTTCCTGATTTACCCTGTTGTTTACCACTGTCCTCAAATGATAATCTAACATCCTAAGTCTGATTCTCTCTCTCTCTCTCTCTCTCTCTCTCTCACACACACACACACACACACACACACACCCATACCTAGCTTATTTTATGTTTAACCTTTAATGCCTGATGATCTCCCCAAACACACTGCTATTCTTGCCTCACTGTCATTGTATAAGCTATTTCCTCTTCCTGGACAATTCAGGAAGAAAGGTAAGTCTATGAAGAGGAATTCCTGCACATGGCACAGGCACATGGCAGGAATTATAGCGATTCCTTTATTCATTCTATTCACTCATTGTACCATAGCCACTGAGAATCTACCACCAGATACTGGTGTAGGCCCTGGGAATGCGGTAGTCAACAAAACAGAAAGGACCTGTCTTTTTGGGTGTCTTACACTCTCTTGAGCTCTCATTGGGCCTTTGAAGGAACAGGTATGGGAACCAACATTCACAGCAAGTTAGATGGTTCACATCCAAGACAACCTTAATATCCTAGTGATTTTCAGAAATACAGAAAAACAAATTGAAAGAATTGGGACTATAGGGAATGCAAAGCTACGGACTACTTACTTCACTGAATGACAGAGTTAAACACAGAGTAAAAGGAAAAAAAATAAGAGGCTATTTCTTAACTGGCCCCTGTCCCTGACACCTTTGTATAGCCATGCCCTTCTGCTCCACTCACTTTGGTCAGTCCCACCATCTGCTTAATGCCAGGCTGAAGTCAGAGGGAGACGCCCCATGGAGGGAACCCACATTGTCATGCAGACTGGCACCCCCACAAACCCACAGCGGCCTCACACACGCTGTGGCCTCAGTGCAGACCTACTCAATGTAAAGAAATTATCCATTTCAGAGGTCTCTGAAGACAGTAGGGACATCTATAAATGGTATCGAAGAGCCAAACTGCTAATCATTGGTCTCAGATGGACATTTAGGAAAAGGGAGGACTGGAGAAGGGCACACAGAGCCTTTCAGGTACTTCGCTGGTGCTCCTCATTAAGAAGACTAAGGCCCCAAGACTCAGTTATCAGGGTTAAAAGAAGAATACAGCGTAAGGGGGTGCTGGCTCTGTACCTACACCTCAGGTCACACCCTGGCACTGACCTGGGAAGAAGGTCTGGGGCACTTCGGAGCCAGAGAGATCAGAATAAAAGATCTGTTACAAAGCAAGTGATTAACAGTCTCTCCTGACCACACGGCATGGCGGGCAGCAGGGGGAGGTGAGGTTAAGGAGGCCTGGGATTGGCCTCTGGAGGCCTGGACGGAGCCCAGGCCTCACTCTGGACCAATCGTGTGACCACTGCAAGCTGGGTAAGGCTCTAGTCTCAGTTTCTACATCTGTAAATAGGAATAATAACAACTCTAACCATACTGTTAAACAGCTACTTAAATGCTCTTTTGTACAGATAAAATAATATATGCACAACTTTTCGTATGGGCTAGTTTGATCCATGTAAAATTTCCACTATATTATACTATTTATACCTAGATAAAAAAGGCAATTTCATATTTTCCAATCTAACGCAATGCCAGGACTACAGCAGAGGTACAGTCAATATCAGTTATCATTATTTTATTCTTTGATCTATCTTGTGACATTTTTATATCTGGATTGACTAGCTCTTTGAATTCTGTGTGCCTTATCATCTAAGAAATAAAAAGTTTTACATATCCAATCATTATTTCAATTAACATGTCAGTTCATAAAGGGCCACATAAACAGATAATTTAAATTATTATAGGAAATTTTTAAAATGTAGTCTTCAAAATATCTCTGAATTTCAACATAGCTTAATGACTACTGATCACAGCATCAATCAATCAATAAAAATAAACTCCACAGAGATTTATATATACATTTTCAATCAGACATGTTTCATTAAATAATAATCGCTACATTTTAAATAACATATTACTCTGAGAGAACTACGGGGGAAATCTCCATTTCTGCTCATGTTCTACTATCAACCATTTTTATATAAAATCAAATAGCAATAAATATTTTTAGACCTTTGTACTACACCTACCCAATATACCTTATGAATGTAACTTAAGACACCATGACTTCTGAAGAACATTAATATAATTACAAAATTTAATATACAGTTGATAATCAACATGAGCCACATTTTATTTTTCCCTTCCCTCTTGCTTTCTTCATGCCATGAAACTCCAGCCACAAAACAACGAGTCTGAAGTTCAGCAACATCCTGAGAGACGCCTCCAAATGGATGGAACTGAACCACAGCTCCAGGGAAGCACAATGGACAGGGATGACCTTCCTTTTTTCAGAATGTATCTTCTATTCTTTATATAAGGAAGAGTAAGCAATAAGGCTTTTGTATTATAAAACAAGAGGAAGGTATTGCTGCCAAGATAGATTTATTTTTCTTGCTCTAATTGGTGGGGGTTTTTTCCAAATAATTTCATGTGCCCACCAGGTATAATGCATTAACTATATAGTCTTTAGTTACATCATCTAAATGTCAATTTGCATTGTGTATTACTTTGTAAAATGGAGGAATACATATAAGGTACAGCTAGTATATTAAAAGATACTTACTTTTCACCAGGAGAGCCACAGGTAACATCAGTCGACAGAGAAAAGGCAAAATTCTCAGTCACTTCTGTAAAGTGACTGAATCCCCTAGTGTCCTTGCGCTTCGGGTTAATAAGAGCACAAAGAATCTCATAGAACAGATTGCGGTTTTCAATACTGAAAGCTTGATTTTTTCCTTCAACAGTTATCTGGAAAAAATCCAAGTATAAAAATGTATCTTCAAAAGTAAACTACTTAAATAATATGAATCACATAATACAAGGTTTTCTTTATTAACAGTTATTGGCATTAACAAAATAAGAATGAACCTATGAAGAATTTAAGTGAAATCAGTATCAAAATTACATTTCAAATATATCCATTTTTACTTTAAAAAGCATAAATAATCTTTTATAGAGAAACAGCATAATTACCAAAATAGTTTATATTTAATAACTAGACAATATCCAAAATGGCTGCATGAATCACTTATTTTTAACTATTATAAACATTATAAGTCAAGATTAATCTCACTTTTACATCTACCCCAAGGATTCTTATTCTTTTGACCAAAAATTAAGGAAATAAATACAAGAATATCTGTCCACAAAAGAAGCAAAGTTATTCTTATCAGTGTTTCAATGAATAGAAGTCACCGCATAACACTAAGTTTCTAAAACATCAAATGAGAAAACTCTGTTCCAACCAAGAGTAGTCAAGAGCTCCTGGCAGTCTTGCCTTTCCCCGTAAGTATGAGCCTTCCTACCTTAAAGGGCTGGGATATTCATTGTTTGAGGGAAAAGGAGAGTAAGAGGAAAAACTGCCTTCATCATATATTTTTTTTCTTTAGCACAATGACAGGGGTCACATCTTTATTTTCTGACTAAGTTCTGGTGTGACACCACTGACTCGTTGTTCCACTACACTCATATAGCTGAGAAGTCCTTATTAATTCTTCAACATCCAAATTAGTCATCATTTTCTCTGACTTTGACACTGTGCCCCGCCAGCCTGTTCACAGACATGGTCACTTTCTTTGTAGTTTGCGCGTACCTTTATTAATGAACTTATGACAACACTGAAATGATTGGTCTGTCACTCTTACTAGTTAAGCTCATTGAGGAAGTGGCCCATGTTCTCCATATTTTTACGTTTTTATAATCTATACGGTACTAAGCTGATACCTGAGCTGAAGACATAAGTTTAAGAGTAGCCATCTCAAAGACAGGAAGACTGGAGAATAATCCATAAGGAAAAGATCATAAGGAGCACAGAATAAAATTTAACAAAGTAAAAATTACAATGGAGATAAGGAACAGCCCACTGGACACTGAAAAAAACTAAATTATGTTAAGTGGAAAATAAGTTCAAGGAATGCTCCCAGGATTCAGGGAAAATATTACAAGTAGGACCAATCTATAAGAAACAACAAGCACATGAAAGGAGCAAGTAGAAATAAAAAACTACCCAGGTCCCTGATCAGCTAAAGAAATATTCCTGCCTAAAAATACAGAGCTTGCTTTATACCAAAGTTAGAAACAGAAACAATACCAGATGTATCTGGTGATTTTTAAATATTATTTCAAGAGTTTAAAAAAATCTTACCAGAAAACCAGACAGGAAAAAAATTACTAATGGAGAAACAAACATTCAGTTTGACAGACCTTTTTTGGCAAATGAAAAGCCAGAAACCACCAGAGCAGCATGTGGAGTTTTGAGAATCAAAGGCTGGGATCCAAAAATTCTAGAGCCACTCAACCTTTCATTCACATTCAAGGGCAAAAGAAAGTTTTAGTAAAACACACACACACACACACACACACACACACCCCTCCCCCTCCCCCTCTCTAATCTTCACAACAATCCTGTAAGGGGGTTGCTAGTGTTGTTTGGTTTTGTTTCCAGAAAAGGAAACTGAGGCAGAAGGAGAATACCTCACCTGCCTGAGTGCACTGAGATGGTGAAGAGGAGGCCCTCATCATACCCATCTGCACTGACTTGAAACATTCCCCCCACTTGCCTGTCCCAAAATAATAGGTTGACTCAGTCTGTAGACAGGTTTACACAAAATTATTGCAAGCATGAAATACAACACCAGGTAGTAAAATATAGAGCTCAGTCTAAATCACTGATAGTGTGATTACAAATAAATCAAATGAGAAAAATAATTCTTAAAATACAAGATATATAGTTTAAAAAGTATATAAGAAGAAATATTTTTGCTCTAAAAAGGCCATTTTACATAAATAATGAAAAGAATGGCCAAAATTATCAAAATTGGCTTACAAAAAAGGCGAGAGCCTGAATCAACCACAGGAACTTTTTTTTTTTTAAATTGTCAAGAGTGGAAAAATAGGGAGATCTTTGGAAGGGGGAAGTCTCTATCAAACTCTCACAGAACACATTATTTCTGTGTTCTCTCACGTGTTCCAGAACAAAACATTAGAGACAACACCTCCGGACTCATGTTTTACCAAGCTTTAAAAACCTGGAAACTAAAACCCTAAGAAATTAAGTTTTGCATATCAAATCCAGCAGTCTTAAAAGACTGATAGTATTATTAAGCAAAGACAGCATTTTAAATAATTTTCATTGCACCATATCCAGGAAAAATCAAAGAATAGAATATTATGTCATAGCAAAAATTTGCCCAAACCCACAGCTAAATTTTATCCAAAATAGAGTGAGTCATTTAAAGTCCTTACTCTTTTTAGCACAATATTTGTGTCTTATGAAAATAAATAAGCAGTCACTTCTAGTGAGTGTAATAATAATATGTAAGATATATTGAGGTCTTTCTATAAAAAAGATATGATATAGAGCAGATTCTATTGCAAAGAAGTTAGAATTGGGGAAAAATAAAACTTACAAATAAGAAACAATTTCACTTATAATACAAGACCTTATAAAATGAAGTTCTATCAAGTATGTGGAAGTTCTGCCCCTGAGTTTATAAGTACATATGAAATATAATAGCTGCCAGATAAAGTATAGGTTACCCTATTTGAATTTAAGATAAGCAACCAATAATTGTTTTATATAAGTACATGCAAATAAATATTTGCTTTTTATTTTTAATATACTTATACTTAAAAAATGTATCCATGCATTATTTAAAATTCAAAGTTAAATGGGCATTCTGTATTTTCTTTGTTAAAATTTTAACTCTACTATATGTGATTATATACATTTTTCAGTACCTATTATATTACTGTCTTATTCTCATTGTTATAAATATGTCTAAAATATGAAAATCCTTTTTCATTTTATGGACATAAATGGTGATTATTTTTCTACTTTTTGTTATTATAAACTTTTTCATTTTATAGACATACCTAAAATTTTCATTTTAGGTATGTCCATAAATGGTGATTTATGGACATAAATGGTGATTATTTTTCTACTTTTTGTTATTATAAACTGTGCTGAAATAAACATTCCTATTACACACATATTTGCACAAATATTCCCCACACCGCTGAAAGTCTTTTTTTCCCTAACTGTAGTTTTCCCGGTTTCATTCAGGTATAACTAACATATAACATTAGCTGCCTTTTAACTTTGTTATATATGCAAAAATTAATTTTGTTTAAACTTTATATGGTCAAGTTTATCAATCATTTCCTTTATGACTTCTAGATTTTGTTTTATGCTTTAGAAGACCTTCTCCACTTCAAACTTACATATTAAAAGTGATTTGTAGTTATGGTCAAGATGTCAGCATAGATAAACATGGTATATGCATCCTCATGCAACCACATCAAAATTACAACTAAACTACAGAACCACCACCATTCAGACCTGCCTGAAATCTAGCTAAATACAAGCCCTACAACAAGGGATTTAAAGAAGCCACATTAAACTGGTAGGATGGGCAGAGGCATGGAATGGGCTAATCCCACACTCCTGTGTGGTAGAAAAAAATCAGGAGAGAAATCTCAGCTGTGGAGGTCCCGCTGATGAAAGGATACTAGTCCACGCTGGGGCCCCACTCCAGGTTTCCAGTGCCAGGAAGAGAATTCCTGAAAATCTGGCTATAAAAATCAGCAGGGGATTATGGCTGAGTGAGACAGGGGGCTTTTGGAGTGTCAGCAGTTTCTCTTAAAGGGCCCATGCAGGGACTTACCCACTCACTCACCCCGAGCTCCAGCACTGAGGCAGCAGCTCAAAAGGAACCAAGGACATACGAGGAGGACCTGAATTATCTGGCATCAGTGTAAGAGCTGGGGTAGGGGGAAGCTTTCGGCCAGACAGAAGTGCAGGAAGAGACCACTGTTCCTTTTCTGAGCTCTCTCACAACAAAGCTGGCAGGCAGGCCCCATTTCTGAGTCACCATCAACCTGGCTCACACTGTTCACCCTGCCCTAGTGATGCCCTGAGACTTTGTCCCACCCAACTTTTGAGCCCACCCAAGCTGTTTCCAGTGATTTTTCCAAGCCCATGGCCTCCCTCATCTCACACTTCAGACTTCCCTAAAATCTCTCAAACAAGCAACATCTGGCCTCATCATGCCCTTACTTTTGCTAAGTGGCCGCAGGCTTGGCACTAGCAGCAACCAGCTCGGTTTGCAGTTTGGCCTCACCTGGGCACCTCCAAGCCCAGCGGAAGTAGCAACTATCTACAGATCACTTTGTAGCTCATGCCAGGTGGTCCTGGATAGAACACTAGCAGCCTCTGACTTTGCCCTGCACTTTCCGGGAGGCCCCAGAGCCAGTATACCTCATGGACAATTTTAGACCACACTGAAGCACCACCCAATCACTTCCACAAGTGACACACTCAAGGGGCAGACTCAGTGAGCACCAGAGCCCTGCTGCAGTAAGTCCTGCTCTGTTAAGTTGAGCCCCTGCACAGCTGATCCTCCACAGTGCAGCCCAGTCTGGTGGTTGTAGCGACTTCTTGCAGCCAATTGGCTTAGGGGTAAATCTTTCCCATCAACATGCCTACAGCAATCAAGGCTCAACTACAACAAGAAGGTGTACACAGCCCACACAAGGAGCACACCTGGAGGGCCCAACCTGGGGGACTGGGGAGGCTGTGCCACTGAACCCTACAAAACAATTACTACATAAGGTCACTCTACCAAGCCCGGGAGACATAGTGGCTCTACCTAATTCATAGACACAAACACAGGGAAGCTACCAAAAAATAGGGGACAAAGAAACATGGCCCAAATGAAAGAACAGAACAAAACTCCAGAAAAAGAACTAAACAAAATGGAGACAAGCAATCTACTAGATGCAGAGTTCAAAATGCTGGATATAAGGATGCTCAATAAGCTTAGTGAGAACCTCAACAGCATAAAAAGGACACATAAACCCTAAAAAAGAACCAGCCAGAAATTAAGGATACACTAACTGAAATGAAGACTAACTTACAGGGAATCAACAGCAGAGTACATGAAGCCAAGAATCAAATAAGTAATTTGGAATATAAGGAAACAAAAAACATCCAATAAGAACAGAAAAAAAAATCCCTGAAGACTGTTTAACGGGCAACTGGGACAACTTCAAGCACACCATTTGCATCATGAGGGTGCCAGAAGAAGAAGAAGAGAGAGCAAGAAATTGAAAACATATTTGAAAAAATAATGACAGAAAACTTCCTGAGCCTGGTGAAGGAAATAAACGTAAAAGTCCAGGAAGCACACATAGTTTCAAACAAGATGAATCCAAAAAGGCTCACACTAAGACACATCATAATTAAAATGCAAAATGTTAAAGACAAAGAATCTTAAAAGCAACAAGAGAAAAGCATGAGTTACCTAAAAAGGAGCTCCCACAGAACTGTCAGCTGATTTCTTAACAGTAATTTTTCAGGCCAGAATATAGTCGATGATATTCTAACAACTATGTATTGTGGCAGATGGGGATTAGATTTATCAGGATGAACACTAAGTAAGTTATATATTATCTAATCATTGATGTATACACCTAAAACTAATATAATATTGTATGTTAACTGTAATTAAAAAATAAAACTGATTTCTTAAAAAAAATGATTCATCCATGTTTTCTGCTTCCATGGTTTCAATTTTACAATTAAATCTTTGATCTGCCTGTTATTTATTTTGGAGTAGGGTTTAAGATAGAGATTAGGCTCTATTTTTCTTTCAAATGATTAAATCAGCTATCCCAACACCATTTACAGAGTAATTTTTGACGACTGATCTTATATGTCACCTTTATCACATATGAAATTTTCTCATGCACTTGCATTTATTTTTGCACTTTTTGTTCTACTCCATTGATCTGAATGTTATGCCTGCACCTTGGCCACCCTGTTTTAATCACTGTAACTTCATAATGTATTTTCGTATTTGGTGGGGTGAGGACCCTCTCATTTTTCTTCTTTTTCAGAAAATGTCTGCCCATTCTAACATGTATATTCCTCCAGGTGAACTACAGCATCATTTTTTCCACGTAAAAAAATTCAAAGTCAGTTCTCTTGATAGGTTTCTACTGTGTTATAGGTTAAGGAAAATTGTTAAAGACAAGGACTTACCTTTTCTATTAAGTGCAGCACAGCACTGAGCTGTTCCTCTGTGTTCTCAGTGGCCACTTTCATGCTGATGCTGTGAAGCACTCTGTTGAGAATGTCCCCATCCAGGGGCTGCTGGAGCTGATCAGCAAGCCCCCAAACGGCCTGCGAATCTGCGTCCGAGACAAGCGTGATGTTGGCGGTCCCATACACTTTATCGATTCTGGCACCACCTTTTGGGTCAAAAAGCACAATCTGGAAGCGTTTAGGAAATGGATTTACAGACCCTGTCTCTGGGGTTAAGATGACGTCCAATATGGTGTTTCTCTGGCCAGGTTCAAAGACCAAGGTGCCTTCAGTTCTCACAAAATCCTTCCCAGAAATAGCTGGAGATATGAGAGTACGGCCCATGGTTTCAGCACCCTCCAACTCCTAGAAATTAAACCACACACGTCAGAGAGGCTGCAACACCTCTGATCTTGTCCTAAATGAACTCTTACTCCTTAAACAAATCCTGCTTCTCTTAAGCATACTGACGGGCCATCACAATATTACAACTAAATCATTGGGTTTTATACTTTTTCTAATCTCCTAAGTTAGAGGGGGAAAAAGTACATCATACAGTGATAGAGTTAAGAAAGACAGATACCTCTGAGCAGACCAAGAGAGAGAATTACAAACATCACTACTTCCTCACAGAATTTCTCCAATTGTGGACACACTAAAAATTGTGCTTTTAATAACACATGTTTAAAAATATAAGTATGGAGAAAAATAGGGAATATTTACATTTTCATTTTCATCTAGAAATGTGGCAGAGATGGGGTTTGGGGGAGGAAGGTAAAGAAAAAGCAGAGGGACAAAAGGAAGAAGCTGGAGAAATTGGTTATTTTTACTTAGATATGAACACACCCAAAGGAATAAGGACCTTGAATATATATACCTCTGAATTTCTTCAAACTGTGGTTATTAAAAGTTTTTGTAAATTGAATCATGAGCACTTAGTCAAGGAAGAACCAAATAATATGCTGTTATTTACTAACAAGCAAAACAAATATTAAACTCCTAATACCTGCCAGGTGACATGCTGTGGAAGCGGATTTGAACAACAGAATACCTGCACTCACGGAACCTGGTAAAGGATGTAGGTAATATAAAAGTTATAGAATTAACATAATTTATATGAAGATCATTTCTATGAAGAAGAGTAAGACTAGGTAGGGGCATGCAGGGCGACTGAGCAGGTACCATTCTAGATAAGGTTGCTCAGCGAAGCTCTTGGTGTGATATGAGCAGAGACCTCAGTGAGGTAAGGGAACAGGCCACATAAGGAGCTGAGGGGAAATACTCCCGACAGAGAGAATAGCAATTACAAAGGGGCTGTGGAAGAGCCAGCAGAAAATGGGGTTGGAAAAAGGACAAAAGTACAAGAAGCTGGCATCAGAGAGGAGGGCAGAGGCCAGATTATGAACATCCATTTTACCAGGTGTGGCAGGAAGACACTGGAGGGTCCCAGGAGAATGATGCTTTTTATTTCCTATTTTTATGACTCTTCTGGCTCCCATGCATAGTTAGGCTGTAGCAGGGGATGTGCATGAGACAAGGAGAAGAGAGAGGAAGTTTCTGCATTCGTTCATGCAAAAAACAGTGGTAACTTGAAGTAGGGTTGTATGAGTAGGAAGAGTGAAATGTGCTCAGGTTGGGAATATACTTTGCTGAGGCAGTAGGTGCAGAGAAAGAGAAGAATTGAGGATGTTTGCCTCAATGAATGGTGGAAAACTGGGGAAATGCTGTTAAGGGAGAACTCAAGAGTTATTTAGTGTACATATTAAGCCTCAGATGCCTTTTAACATTCAAACAAGGATGTCAAATAGAAGCAATCAGACATATGATTCCAGATCAGGATGGTAAAGAGACTACTGATAAAAATTCAGGAGTTCTCATTTTACAGGTGACATTTGAAAAAAAACAGATCTGGATGGTCTAGCCTAGAGAGCATGCCTTCGTGCACCCCACCATTTTATTGGTAAGGAAGACCCGCGAGGCAACCTGAAAGAGCTGCCAGTGAGGTTAGGGCTAAGAGCAAGAAAGGGGGCTGTTCCAGAAGCCCAAAGGAGAAGGGCACGCTTCCAGAGAGAGGGAGTGACCAGGTGCGTCAAGAAAATGAAAAATCAATGAGGACAAAAGGCTTTTAAGAATACCTGCAGCAAAATGATTAAAAAAAAAAAACTTGTAGGAGGAAACAATACCCGAGTATATTATCTTCAGATTGGATAAAGTGTCCATTGGAACAGTATTTCACAGTAATAGTAAAAGAACTACACACATCAACATGGGTATTTCTCAGAAACATGTTGTTGAGCAAAAGAAATGCACCATAAAACAATACAACTGGCAGAACCTCATTTGCATAATTTCCAAAACAGGTAAGCCTAAACAGCACATGGCAGGTGCTGAAACTATAAATAAAAGCAAGGGAATAATTCAACATGAAATTCAGGATACAGGTTACCTGCAAGATGGGGAGAGGTTATTCTGCAAGGAAAAAGCAGGCTGGCCTTAGAGAAGGGTCCATAGTAGCTAGTTCTATGATCCTGATAAAGCTGAATTTCTTAAGCTGGGTGGTGGTGACTTTGCTATTATAAATTGCATATATATCTCTGTCCACTGTGGTCCCGCAGGATTTCACAATTCAGACATTTAGAGAAAATGGAACGACCAATATGTTCTTGTGTTTGTAAAATACATATAAAAAACAAGGCACGATGTAAATTAAAAGAAATGTGAGAATAAGAAGGCAAGGCAAGTTCTTTCTTGGACTTGTGTGCTGTGGGCTACTACACACATATATAAATAAAAGGATTTTAAATTGGTTTGTAAGTTTGGCTTCGCCATAGGCCTATTGAATTTAATGATAACTGAAATGAGTGATATCTTCAGTATCTCAAAACTTTATATCCCTTAACTTTTTATCACAAATATGTAGATATAAGGTAACTAATGCTAAGACTATAGTATTTATGTACTGGGAATGCTGACCTACTACTGGGTATGTATAATATACTACAGCTCATGTTTTAACCGCATTATGAAAATCTATTGAAACAATAAGATGAAGATTGATAGCACTGTAAAGAATAGCAACATGGTCCATAATTATTTTCTTATTCTTGCCAGCTACTGGAAAACAGAACTCCGTGTCCTCGTCTCTAGTAATGTGCCTAGGATTCAGAGAGAGAAAATGCAAGGGCAGGAAAACAATAGGAAAATTAAATAACAACAGAGAAGTGACACTTTTATTTCTAATCTTTGAAAGTAAACTTTTTGAGATAACTGCAGCTCCACGTGCAGCTATAAGAAACAAGGGAGCGGCGTCCCGCGCCCTTCACCCAGTCGCCCGCGTCGCTAACACTGCGCGTAACTACGAGATCACAGCCGAGGCTAACACCGGCACAGGCAACATGCAGGACATCCCCACCATCGCGGGGACCCTCCGTGTTGTTGCAGTGTTATAAAAATGCCATGAGGTTCATGCTAGTGGATCCGAGGAATCGTTTGCGAAGAATCTAGACAGAATATAAATAAATACGATGGAGATAGTGGCATTCAGATTTGTATTTTGGCAACTTCGATCCTTTCTTATCGGAGTGTATAAACTAGGTTACAGCGTGCCTCAAATCTCTTAATCACCTGTTCCTCATCTCTGGTTCCCTTCTTTCATTCTACAAAGTAGTAAGCCTATAATGATACATCTTTCATGGGAGAAGGAGAATGAACTGCATATTTTTTCTCATTTCTCTTCCTATCTTAAATGATTGGGAAAAAATACAAAAATCTCTCTACTATGAATCATTCTTTTTGTGTTCATACAGCTTCAGAGCTATTTATAATGGAGTTTATTTCCAGATTCTCACATGACAGAGAGTTCTGTCTTCTTGCCTGCCAAGGCTGCGGACTCTGCCATAAAGACAAGCTTTTCTGCCTGGCAAGCTTCTGGGATAAGTCACTACCCAGGACTCCTGTCCTCACCTCCCGTACCTGACTCACTGACTGCTACAGCAGACTGGCTGCACAGATGTTGTGTTCTATGCATAGATGATCTATGTGTTTGAGCCACCCAACAGTGACACAACCAAGCATAGACTAAACAGCACTTTTTAAAAAAACAAAACAAAAACAAAAGCCCTTGAAACCTGGAGGCCTAAAGGGCCGCCACGTTTGGAATCTTTCAAACAGGGGAAATAGTGGCACTGCCCAAAATGACAGTTTTCATATTATGGATTTCTTGGAGTTATATGAGTCAAGGAGAAAAAAAATAGAAGGCAAGTTCCAATCCCCACAATCATGCTTTAAGCAGAGTAGGTAATATTTTTGTTTTAGTGTGGGAGAATTTTGCTGCTAAAACAAAGTTTAAAAAACAATGCTGGAAAGATGTATGGTCCTGCCCGGACCAACCCCAGCATCTGGTCACTTCATGTTACATAGCTTTCCTCTTCTGAATCCCTGATTCCCACCTGCTCCCTCTCACCTGGTGTCACCTAATAGGCTGGATGTGAAAAGCGGCAGTAAGACCACATGTACTTACAGGTTTAAAGAAACATACAGGTCAGTTAGTGTTTGAGGGTCTGGTGGAAATTTTCAAGTAGTTCAAGTATAAACAATAATAAAGACCCTTACTTTATGTTTCTGGTTCTATACAGTTACATTGTGAAGAAATTCAAACTCTCTAGAAATCATATAGAACAGGTTTATGCAAGACAGTTTGCATTGCATGACCACATTTTTCAAAAGAAAGAAAAATACAGGAGAATATCATTTTAAAACATGATCTAAGTGAAAAAAATGGAACTGTTTCAAGGACGAAGCTTAATGTAATAAATATAATGTGACTTATGATGGAATCATACGAAAATAATGTATTGATTATTCTTCATTTCATTACACATGCTACAGTTAAAGAAGAGAACCTGAATGCATCTTAACGTATTTCCCACATTTACCTGGGTCCTGAAGTTAACTGACACCATTCGTCCTGTCCCAGAATCTCTGGCTACCTGCAAACTGATTAAAGTGGCCCTTTTATGAGCCACTGGCAGCCGAGAACCCACAGAAAAATACACGAGGCTCCAAGGTTCCTCACTTCGTAAGAATTTAATCTGTGCAAATCTAGCACTATTGTTTATTGCTGCTCCAGCAGTAACTTCGTACAATTCCACAAAAAAATATATCTCAACTTGTGGTACCTGATGATGAAAAAAGAAAAAAAGGTAAGTAAATTTTTCTAGTTTTAGATAATTCTGATCTTAAGAATTAGTACTATTCACATACATAATTACAGAAAAAAGTATATTTAGAAATACAATATCTGTATTACAGAATTAGAATCTTGTGTTCGATTACCATGGAACTTGCTTTTTTTGGTCTGTCTTTAAGAAAAACTGTAATTTTCCCTGGGTAAGCTTCTGATATAATATCAATGTCAGGAGACAATCTATGTGTACTTCAATAAGCAAAAGCATAAATAAAATATATTTATACAATCAAATGCTATTTAACAGTTAAAAGAAATGAACGATTTCAATACTTCTCCGTATGGATGGACCTGAAAATATAATGAGTGAAAAAAATCAAGTTGTAAGATGATATGCATAGCATGATACAATAAACGTAAACCTAAAAATTATATAAAGCTTACTATATATCATTAATGATATATATTTATTTATGTACTTAAAAATAAAAGTGCCATGACTAGTTGGCTCAGGTGGAGAGGCTGGGTTGAGGACAGGTTTTATTTTTAGAAGCATTAAATATAATTATGAAAAAATATTGATAATAGTAAATTTAGTAACTTTATGTATTTTCCAAAATTCAGTATCAAATAAGTCTAAGTTTAGTCTATTGATTATAGTTTGTTCATGTTTCAACTCAGCTCTCTCTCAACAATCTCAAATGGGTTATTTCCTAAAGCCTGCATTCAATTTAATCACATACTGTCAATCATCTGTTTTTACTTATTCACTCTTACACACAATAATCTAAACATTTTAGCAGCACTGTTAGCTTCCTGTCATAACTCAAGCAAGCTAAACTGATGCACTTCCAATTGTATTTGTCATTGTCTAATTTCATATAATGCATCATTTTTATTTATCAGCAAGGGCCTCATTCGTTTTGTGACAATTTTAATGAGACTTCAAATGTTATTTATATCATGAAATAATACAATATACTCTTTAGAATAACCCAAAATAAGTCGTATCTTAGTCACACCATAAATGAAATTAATTTTCCTTTATAATCTGAATAAATAAATAGCTTTCCTATGGCACGTATTCTCTACAATTCAGCATCAGTAAGTATTCAAACATAAAGGTAACTGTACTCTTCCCACTTTTGAGAAACAAATTTGGCAACTATGTTAAACTAAAACACTAGAAAAGTAGGGGTAATTTTATTCAAGAACTATCATTCCCTAGTGGCCAAGTGAGCTTGAATTCACAATAGTTTCATTTAATTAAAGATTTCAGCACTACATTATTTTATTTTTCAGCATATGACATTACAACAGAGACTCTTATCTTTATTTTCCAGTAAAATATTCCTTCCCATTGTGATGATGATTAGGACATTACTTATAACCACTTAGATTCAAAATGATATGTTATAATCTAAATAAGGAACCATCTAAAATTGAATAGAGTACACATGGATGTCAACATATACTTCAACTATAGACAAAAGAAATCACCCAGTCTGGCAAAGAAAAACACTATTCAAACAATATTCCAACAATACACTGGGAAACGAAAGCTCACAGGTCATATCAAAACCTCTCTAAACTTAAATATGACCCCAGACCTCAGAAGGATCTATTTCACTTGGAATTGCCAGCAAGCTCCTTTGTTAGTGAGGTTAGAAACCTTCCAGGATAACCTTTTGCCCAACTAGCGTAAAATGATTTTTCCTGGATCCATATTTGTTCAATATCAGTTCATCAAAGAAATAACCAAACAATATCTTAGTTACTTAAATATTTTTAAAAATACTTGCAACAGATGTTTAAACAATCTCTTCAAATAGAATTTGTGGGTTAACAATGTGTTTCCTAAGTTAATTAACTATTACATTTTGGAAACATAGAATTATTACATAAAACAGCAGAGAAAGGGGAAGTTCAGAAGGCAAGTTCTAATTTGGCTGAGTAGTTCACCAGGAAAAGTTACTTAAATTTTTTATAACTTGAAAACGAAAGTACTGAATAACTGTAGAGATGACAATCGGACAAAAAGTTTGAGTTGAGGGTCAGGAGATTGAATTGAATTTAGGAAGAAGCAACCATTAATCAATGGTATTATTCTATGAATGAATGTATTGTGTTGTGATGTTTAAACTCCCCCACCATTAGTTTTGCTGTAGAAACTACTTAATCTCTAAACTGCCTTGGACTCCATTCCATCCATGGTGAATAACAGTTATACCAACCCTCTCTTATGAAAGACCAACTCCTTTCCAAGAACTGTGTGCAGAACCTCTCGATCATTATCTAATTTAATTTAACAGCCCCTATTGCTAACTCCAACAAACCTGGGAGGCTCAGGAAGGCTAAGTAACCTATCTAATATCATCATCCAGCTCACTGGTGGAAGAGCTGAGATTTGAACCTAGGTCTCCTATTATCAAGAGCCCAAATTCTTAAACACCGTACTACCTCCCAGAATAAGTTCAATATCCCTTGAGAGAAAACAAAGAGATGGTTCTTAGATCAAAAGTCAAAGAACAGTTAGTTGTGCTGCTCTGGTGAGACCACCAAATAATCTCTCAACGTCCATTACAGAAACACATGGCTGCAGAACCAGCTTCATTTATATGTCTACGGATCAGTTTATCATGAAATGAAATGAAGAGTTTGAAACACATGAGCAGTAAGTTTCCTTCTTGTAAAAAAAAAAGAGTAATTGTTAAAAATGCATGTTAGAAGCTCATAGTACTTTTTTAAAAAATAATTTTCTATTTTTCTGGGAATATAATCTTCCCTATTTTTGAATTTTCTCTTACTAAAACTGGAACATGCATTACTCTTACCTACACCTTTCCTTTTAACAACTGAAAAGACAATGACTGCAAAGTGCCTTGAAAATTAGCTGCAGTATAAAACTCAGCTCTATGATTTGAAAAATCATTAGAAAGGGAAATAAGAGGTGAGATCAGATTCTTTCTCTTGCCTAACTGTAACTACTTGCATATAGGCTCGGTAGAATTTCCCATACTAGGAAAAGGATTTACAGTTAACATCCTATATAGTTCCTATTATATTTCTTAAACCTTAATTATAATATCTATAGTATCTATGAATTTCCTTAGTATTTTCCTGCAAGGAGGGAAAGCTGAGAAGCAGCAGTCTCTTCTCCCCCTTACATTCTAACTTTCCTGTTTACCTTCCTTTCAGCTTCTGTAAGTCTCTGTTTGACTCTCTTTTCTTCTCTCTCCCTCCTGCAGGTAGAGATCCCCTCAAAGAGTATTAAAGTGTAATTCTCTAGATGTTTTGAATCCAGTGAAATCTTTCCAGGTGTCCAATTCACCAAAAATATTACTTAAGATAATTACTTGAGATACACATCAGGATTTTCAGTAACTCATGTATGCAACACATATTTACGGAGGATGATGGGAGGAATGCAGCTGAGAGTCTAACAGTCAAGATAAAATTAAATTTTGACCCTGCATAAAACCCATAACTTCCATAAGAAAGGTACAGATAGTCTTTGCAATTTAGAGAACTAAGACTCCTAACTGAAGATATCAGGGAAGGCATCGTGGAGGAAGAGCTATTCTGGTTAGTCCTGAAAGGAGGGTTAGCAAATGTATGGTTGTGGGGGTTGAAAAAGGCATAAACCTATTTTAAAAAATGCACAGAAGAGGATTTAAATGTTTTCAAGTGTAATAAGATGCTCAAATCTTTTGAATACTGTTATTTCAGTTCCTCCTTTTCAGTGTGACAGGAAGTATTAGTAGCTAATGAAACTCCTACTCAAGAAATGTGAAATACAATATTATATTAAATTAGAAAAATATCAGTGGGAATTTAGTATTTTAAAACTTATTTTTCTAACTCTACCACTCAGGAGGTGGTCCACAGCAGCGCTTTTGCCAACCATTTACTCTCACACATTATCTCTAGTTCATAGATTTAGACCTCTAAAACTCTTTCTGATGAAAAAATCAAGTCCTTGGACAGTAGTTGATTGGTGGCTTAGGTCAGGAAAAACCAGGCTGGCTGTGGAATACATGTTAATGCTATTTAAAAAAATAAGCTTCCAGAGATTTTTAAAGCAAAACAAAAAGACAAAAGACCAGCTTTAATAGGATTTTCAGTGACATGACTATTTGAGTAGCAAAAACAAAATCATTTAGTAATTAATATTAATTGAATTGGAGTCTTTTTAAAAAATTGTGTATAAGGGGAGCTGCATAATTCAAATCCATGTTGTTCAAGAATCAACTGTATTTTTGATTTGCAGTTGGGAATCCACAGATATAACTTAGGTCAGAAGTGCATTTTCAACTTCAAAGGCAGTTGGTATGCTAACTCAGCATTGTTCAGAATCAACTGTAACTGTCCGCATGCTTTTTCTGTGTTAAGTGTTTGAAATGTACAAAGAAACTATAATTCTTTTGAACACTCATAATACTATGAGCAGTTTTTGTGTTAAATATTTGAGTTTAATAAATTAATTAGTAGACAAAAAGTTAATACTACTGAGTGTTCCTTAGGCATTAAAGTATCACAGAAGAGTAATTTTTTTTTAAAAGCCACATATCATTACTAAATGACTAAATCTCTATTAGGACATCAGTGATAAACACCATCTCAATAATGCAGATTCCTTTGGGAAGGGGGGATGCCTGTCTTCTGAGTGTCATGTGCAACACAAACCAACAGAAATTTATCCAAAGGCTCACCAAGCATGGGCTCTCTGCCTCTTAAGTAGAGAACTGAACTTCCTAACTATATATAAATAGAGAGTGAGAGAACTTTCACCCTATGATGAAATACATAGATATAATATGACCAAATCTATAGATACAATGAAAGTAAAACACCAAACATTCAGAGTAATCAGAGATAGTAATTGGCTGAAAATGACTCTAGGGACCATACACACAATGAACCAGGTGGGCCAGAAGGAATCTTAGAAATGTCAAGAAATAGAAACAAAGGATGAGCTTTTAAAAAAAAACAAACTTAGATATAATTGACATATAATATGTATTAGTTATAAGTGTACAATAATGAATTTATTTACAAAAATTTTCTAATTAAACCAATTCTAGGTCTGAGGTCTGTCACCCAGCAGAGAGATTCTGACATTACGGCTAGATGAGACACAAGGAATGTGAAGAGCCGTAATCTAATGCCTACGTTTCAATCAACTAGCTTTAGCATACTAATTCTGTAGAAATACAATTAGAAGTTGACAGTACTGTGCCTCATCATTTCTTACCTTCCCCGGTTTGAGCTCCATGGTGATAAAGCACTTTGTTTGACCCATTGGACAGGTTGTAGTCCCCAACACAGAGAGCAGTTCATCCCTCAGGTTCACACCATCCTTCTGGAGCATAGGGGCTGTTTTGTTAAATGTGACTCGCCAAAAGACCTTGACATCTTCAAAGGCCCTAGGAACAAAGCAAATGCAGTCACAGATCGCGTTATCCCTGTGTCTGATGCAGAACGTATGAACACTGTGCCTGAGTGCACTTCTTCATCACACCACACTTTACATGGCATTCTCTGACCATACTGTATTCAATACAGAATAAGTATTTATTGAACTATTGCATATCAGAAATGTGAAAACAAATAATATTTTTCTGCCTACTGTACCTGTTATATACCAGAAATATAAAAATAAAAATAATAGAGAACTTCTGCCTTCAAGTAAATATTCCTCATTTGTCTTTTAACAGGAATTTTTCTAAAGGGAAAACACTATTGCCAAAAATGGTTGTTGTAAAAATAAAGGGCAAGAGATGACCTACATTTTCAGAGATTATATAGGCCCAAAAGGGGAAATGGTCATATATATACCTGTACATATGTGCAGACCTAGTGCATGTACGAGGTCTGTCCAGAAAGTATCCAGCCATATACTATGTGAAAGAGAGAGACATTTATTGAAGAAGCGACAAGATACAATAAACATCGTGCATAAGACAATGATGCCTCAGTCACCTTCAAAGTAGGCACTTCGGGACCTCACACAGTTTTCCCAATTGCCATCAACTGCCCCGTCATATTTCCCTGAATCTCTTCCCTTTCAAAGGTGATTTTAGTTTTGGGAAAAGCCAGAAGTTGGAGTGCCAAATCTGGACTGCAGGGGGCTGAGTCACCTGGAGGATTTGATATTTCGCAAAAAACAAACAAACAAAAAAAAAACCTGCAAAAGACACGATGCATAAGCAGGCACATTGTTGTAATGACGCTGCCAATCACCTGTTGCCCACAGCCACAACCTTCCGAATCTTCTCAGTAGTTTCCGCAGAGGAATGTTCAAGCTTAATGCAAAATTTGATGCAGATTCGCTGCTCTATTCACTCAGTCATTTTGAATGTGACAGCCACGCAGTACACATGCTCACACATTGGCATCTACCGCCCCCACTGACTAGCACAGCGAAGTCATCATTGTTCACACATGCGCATTCCAGTCCACTCTCCTTGGCTGCCAGGTTACATCGATGTCGCACAAACCATTCTCGTTACATTACCAATGGTTGGACTTTTTCTGAACAGACCTCATGTATGATGAGCATTCAGAAGGTATGTACTAAACAATATTAAGTTGTAAGCAAAATTTTGGTATTCCAAGTATCCCTAACAGTAAATGGTTGTGAGTGATGAGGCAATGGTAAATGTGATAAAGTAAAAACTTACATAATCTATACTTTATGAAGCACAAAACGTTCAAGGTAGTCCTTAATTATGCTCATAAACCAAGTGTGTTAAATCACAGACCAAGAACTAAAGCATCTGAAGAATGACATACCAGAGTCCACACTACCTTCTATCAACATCTGATGCTGGCTCTACCTTTTTATGAATTCAAATATAGACAAACAGGCTGCGGTGTCTTCCACATGTATTTAAACATACCTGTTTGGCTGCCTTGTGACAGTAAGATGAAGTCTTTTCCTATCAGCTCTTTCCCCCAGCTCAAGCCCATTCTGGGACTCCTCACTGAACCCTATGATGCCATTTTGAAGATCACTTCCTAAAAAGAGAAATGCAGGGTTATAGTATATCTAAGACTTTAAAAGATCTCTATGCTTCACTGAGCTTTCCAGCTCAGATGGTATAAAAGCGAACAATTCGCAAATGAGTGAAGGAAATGACAATTTTTAAAGATCTTTACTAAAAATAGGCTAGAATAAAAATGGTAACATTGAGGTGGCTAACACTTCGAGAACAGAAGACCAGAGAAAAGAAAGCAATCCTGCTCCTCACGCTGAGATGCTTGCTCATCTCTCTCTGATGAGACCCTGCCTCTCACGGTCCTTGACATTTTATGTTTATTGTTTAAAGTCAGTGTATCGTCATAAAGTGGAAGTTCTACCAAGGCAGCAATGTTGTATTTACTGCTGTATCCCCAGTACCAAGAAGAGTGGCCAGCATATTGTAAGTGTTCAATAAATATTTATTAAATGAACTCCATTTATTTTTCTTCCTATAAGAGAGTTGACCAAAAGACCATTTATGTTACACATTCAGTTATTTGCCCCAGAGAAAAAGAGAACAACCTAGGAACTCCTGAGTAACTCTGAGTAAAAAACTCCTCTAAGTGACACTTGAGGTTACAGGCATCCTCGCACTACAAAATTGTACTTCAACTGGAAAAAAAGGAGGGTCCACACCACACTGAAACAGTGCACTGCTTTCTCAGCGTCATCTTAAACTCTAAAGCACTGTGTAAAACTTACCCATGTTTGTATAAAATAGCAGAGTAGGCAAGAACCCTGAGATGGCAGCCTTGTCAATACTCGAATTAGTGTACAGTGTGGACGAGTTAATCCACTTAAAGAAATATAGTATGATTTCAGAGGGAAATTGCAAATTATCACCAAAAGATGTTATAAGATACATGAAGACTCTTTAAAAAAAATCACTGCATTTTTGAGCTATTGTAATATAACTCAATAGTATAAAAGCTATATAATATACTAAATTGGTCCAAAAATAGAACAAAAGAAAATAATTTTAGTCTACTTCCCAACAGATACAAAGAAATTCTTGATAATGAGATCTTAGACTTTGGGATGGATTACTGAAAGTGGCTGGGAAATTCAGAATGAGGTTTCAAAGCAGTATAGGCAATTGTATACGTGGATTACTAAATTAAGTGTATTCTGGAAGAAGAACATGGACTTAAGTATGTGTAAGGTTTTCCCTATATTGTGAAAGTATAGATTTATAGATTCTTTAACTAGCTCTGAGCTAAGTGCTGTTTACATTGCTATATTTTAGCCTGGCACCTTGGAATATCATCATGTGTTCATGATGTGGGTCCAAGTCATAGGAAAATGATGTTTTTAAAATTTTTCTACTTTTCAAATACAGTTTACTTCCAATATTACTTTGTATTAGTTTCAGGTGTACAGTGTAGTGGTTAGACAATCATATACTTTACAAAGCATTTCCCATGATTTTTCCAGTACCCACTTGACACCACACATAATTATCAAAATATTATTAACCATATTCCCTATGCTGTACTTTACATCTCTGTGACTTATGTAACTACCAAGCTGTACTTCTTAATACCTTCCCCTCTTTCACCCAGTCTAACCTCTGGCAACGACCAGTCTGCTCTCTGTGCCTATGATGTGGGGAAAATGTTATTTTAATGAATAACTATGAGTGACTCAAGTAACCAACCCTTTAAATGAAAAGACAGAATAATCTTCCAAAAAATCCTGATTGAAAAAGCAGTACATTTTTATATCCATCACTCCAAAGACATACCGGCAATAACGATCATGGCAAAGGCCCCAAATCCAGTGTCATCCTTTCCCTTCATGATCTGGGCTCCCCCTCGGGGGTCTGTGAGAAACACGTAGAAGAATTCCTGTCCCTCAGGCTCATCATCATCCAAAATTTGAAACGATACTTTCTGTTCTCTTTCTCCATCTACAAATGTCAGGACAAGAGTTTGTTCTTCAAAGTCCTCTTCTTCAACTGCCCATGTTAAGTTGGAAAGTCCATGGATATCATGAAAGGGCAAAGCAGTCGGTTCCTTCTGAGCAGACCTTTCACCAAACGTTTTAACTGTTACACTGACGTTGCCATTAGTCCCACCAGTTCTTCGGACAAGAACTTCTGCGGTGGTAAGGGTTCCATTCTTCATCTCCTCTTCAACGTAAACTACAGGTGGCCCAAGACTAAATGTTCCATGAATGAAAACATCTGCAGTAACAGTGGCCACATCAGGCGCTTCAGACATGGCAGGTGAACCAGGGAGGGTGGCAGGTTTCTCAGGGATCACAGTTGCCTCAGTAACAATGCCAACCATTTCAGTTGGCTGTGGAACGACAGTTATCTTGGTCACATCAGGGTGTGAGATGGAGGAGTCTGCAGCCGCCGTTGTCTTGGTAAAGGAAATATCCATTCCTGCCAAGTCATCATTATCCAATATTGTGATCACGGCCACACTGAAATCTAGATTCAGGCGTGGTCTCCAATTTGTTTTTGTAAACTTGTGTAATCCTTTAATTTCTACCGAAGTTAGATTAATGTAAAAAAATTCCTCTACTTCAGGAAGCTGGTCATTAATAATGATTATTTCAAAATTAACCTCAGCTTGGAATTTTTGAAAAAGCAGTTCTCCACTGTGAACAGGCTCAAAATCTTCCAGTGGCTCTGCACTTCCTGCAGTTGTCTGATAGGAAACTTCTACAAGGCTGCCGTGGAACCCAAAGAGTCTTTGCACATGTAATCTGATCATCTGTGTGTCCTCTGACACTATGATATTTCTAGAACTAGGGGAAAACTGAAAGATTCCCATTGGTTCAATTTCAGCCACAGTGAAACCCGATCTGGAAAAAAAAATGAAACAATTAATGAAAATAGGAATGCCACTGCAGAAATTCATCTTTCACATATTTAAGATGCTGCTCACGAAGGCTTCTTAAAATGACATGCCCTTTCAAATTCCGTAAAACCCTACTTACTTATTGATGACTATACCAAGCAGGAGAAATGTAAGAACAGGAGCTGCTGTCACTGCTGAGGGGACCTAACACATGTCGGCACAGTGAAGAGCTCATAGGTCTCTGCTCCGTTTCCCCAGTCATCCCTGAGCAGCTTTCTGACGGGTCTGAAACGTCAGGCTCTCTGCCATGATCAGCACTCAGGAAACCAAACATTCTTAACTGCTCTGGATGTCAGCCAAGTTTCTCATCTACCAAATAGAAATAGTTGGTCCCACCAGATGCAAAATCCCTCTCTCTTCCAACTGACTCATAATAGAACTAGTCTCTCACACAAATGTTACTAACTATGCATATGTGAATTGGAAGAAACATCCATGACAGTTGTTAATCCTTAGCTTTATCCTATGGAATTTTGTTGTGAGTTAATAGTTATGTCAGAAGTAATACTGGTAGCCTGTCAGCTTAATTCAGACCACAGACATATTTTCTTTGGCTTAGAGTTTGGTGGGGTTTTTTTTAATGTAAATTTGAATGTCTTCAGGGAGGACACCCTAGCATCTATCACTCTCTATTGTAAAGCTCTGATAACTCAACACACAGCACAGCGGTTAAGAGCTCAGACAGTGGCCAGGCACTGAATTCAGACCGTGGCCCCAACAATTATTACTTGTGGAACACTAGGTATGTTACATGATCTATCTGGACTCACTTTCTTTATCTATAAAATAGGACTAATGATAATATCTATGTACTATGGCTGCTGTGAAAAGTAAAAGAGTAAATGTATATCAATCTTAAAGAATGCCTGGCCTGTAAAACTGGCCTAATCACTATAAAACTTAGGCATTTGAATGTGTTACCCTGAAATGCATACTGTGGCCAAACCCTTTTAAAATGACATATGTATAACCTAAAGCCATATGATTCTGTCCACCAGTACTTCCCACACAAAAATACGTACACAAACACACTTGAACACAGAGCAATTCTGCCCACATATTTTCTAAATAAGTAGACTGAATAACAGAAAGATGAAGTAACTTTCCCCAAGTCACACAGCAAATAAGTGGTAAAGCCAGGACTAAATCCATGCTAAGGTCTGTCCTGTGTTGTTCTGATCAAGCACATCCCAGGTATGAGAAAATTAAATTGCTCTTGCTCACACATATTTATCTGCAAATATTCTGATTTAAATTAAACTCAAAAGAGCCATTGGTACAAGTCATATTATTACCCTGCTATGATGGCTTCTTCTTACTCTGAGTCCCTTGGGGAAAGCAAGTATCTTCCAGCTACTTCTCAAAAGATAGCTCCTTTAAAAACAGGTGGCTTTGCCATTATGTTTCTTATTGGACATGTTACCCCTGGCCAACCTTGAATTAGAGGTTGTGATGAACCCCCTTCAAGGCAAAGAGCAGAGGTGAACGGTCAGCCTTCCTCCGGGCACACTAGGCATGCAGGCCATACATTACTCTACGCCACAGCTGCTTTTGCATCTGCTTCAGGGAAAGTGATCCTTGTGAGGTTTTCTTCTCCTGTTGCAACTAATAAATTCCAGATTATTCCTCAGAGCCTTCTTACCTAAGTTCGGCCCCGCCAGGGGCACTGCTCTGCACTCCTGAGAGGTGGACGACAAAGGCCTCTGGCTGCCCAGGGCTGGGGAACGTCCACAGCAAGACACCTTTACTTTGTTCTCCGTGGGAAAATGAAAGGCTCCCTGAAAGGGAACATGAAAAGCGAAGTAGGGTATCATCTCTGAGTTCTTAAGCTGTGATTCAACTACTAAATGTGTAGAAAAATATCCCCTTTTTCAAAATTCCATCTTGGAAAACCTGTATAATTTCGTTAACCAGTGTCACTAAATAAATAAGTAAACAAAATAAACCTAAAAAATTCTATGGCAGTCTACAAAAATTAAAACATTTTAAAAGTGGGGAAAGAGGGAAATTAAAATGCAGCAAATTCCCTAATCCACACTAACCTTGCCTTCAGTCCCTGGCTACTCCCACTGGTTGATGTCAAGCCTTCTAACATTTGTTTCTCATTCATCCTCATAATGTGAATGGTATAATTAAAAAATAAAGTAGATTAAGTAGCAGTTGCTCTACTGTCAAATATTCAGGTAAACATGTAAATGGGCACAAAGGTACACCTTTTTCTACACCGTACGGTTCAAACTAAGTTTTTTAAAATTATTTTTAACAAATTCCTAATGTATAAAGAGTCTGCGCAGTGACCACTGTTTCCGGGTGAGGTATGAAATTTTTAATTTGATTGAATAAACTGTCATCCTCACCAAGCAGCCTTTGCAATTTGACCACTTAAAAATGGAAACACTGTATTACAAAATAAACAGTTCATTTTTCCAGAGTAAGGATGACCCAAGAAAACTAGCAGCCAATTACACACCTCCACGTTTTACAGAGCAGATCTTAGAAAAGCTACAACTTACCCAGTTTTGGGGTCATGTTGCCAACAACAATGAATTCAGGGATTTCTAACCCAGGAGCATATCCAGCCGCCCAGGCAACCCTGAGGGAGCCATATGTGCCTCTCCTAGAAATCACCACTTGGCTCGTCCCAGCGGTGATGTCCGTGAGTGAAAAAGCAGGAGATTCAAATCCAACCTGAGGAAAAACATGCTGAGAACATTGTACTTCTCTCTAAAGGTTCTTGTTTTCTGAAGAGTGGATTAAAAGTCAACTTACTGTTGGTTTACACAATCTATTTTCCTGTTTTAAAATATATTCAATTGAAGAGTTATGTTTAAGAAATAAGATCAGAGACTTGACAATTCATTCTAGTTTGTAATTCTGATTATAGTTTATAACTTTTTAAATCAAGATATACTCCTTTGAATTAACAATATCCAAAAAAATGAATGTAATTATAGTTAAATGAAAGCAAAAGGTTCAAAATGGCATGGTAGTATGACTCATTCACGGGTCTTTGTGGAACCCAATTTGTCTAGAACGGAAATTTGACTTCTTTCTAAGACATAATAATATAGTCTTTGTTTATAAAAATGAGAATGAAATAGATTTTCTATTAAGGTTGTTTTCAGCTATGTAAGTCAATTTAATCTTTTTTTATTTCTAAGGATAAGAAAGCTTCAAAGATTTTTAAAAATATTTTTCATCCACATCAAGTAAGATCTATTCTTAAGGGCTGTCTTCCCAGGGCACCCTGGCATTTATAAATGATTTATAGATGAATTAAACTGCTGGTCAGTGAGTAAGAATAAAACCAGATGCCTGGCTTCATTTGGACAAATCAGTTTACCTCTTTTAGTCTCAGTATCTACAAATTTGGAATACCATATGATTGACAATTCTAAATTAAGTCTAATTCTCCCCATTTTAAATTAAAATGGAGAGTAGCAGAAAAGTGTGAGAGGGTGCCACAAGATAACTTCTGGAGATAAAGAGGAAAAAAAAAGCAAGAAAACTCCATTTTGACACCAGATTAGACTGACAAAAACTTTAGTACATCTGAGGTCATGATTGCTACATGGCTAGAGGCTGTTTAAAAGTGTCCTAGCCACACACCTCACCCCATACAAATACTGGTAAGGAGGCCAACGGTACACTGAGGATGGGAGTGCACGGTGACAGCCCTGATCTTGCCCCTTGAGGTGATACAATACTGTGACAATGTTCATGGACAAGGAGTAGGAAATAGTTATTATGTGAAATGGATGATGCAAGTTGAAACCAATCTTTTGTTTAACAACCTGTGAGCAAAAAGAAGACAGCACAACTGCAAAGCTTTGTTAAATTCTATACCCTCGTTCCCTTGAACAGAGGAGGTGCAGAAAGAAAACGATTCTTCCCAGTTACTTTTAATGTGGGTGGATTCCACTTCAAGGGACCAAGCAGTTCACGAGGGAGTAACTGAACGACCAGGGACCCTGTCACACAAGCTGCCGGTCAGATCTACCCACACTCCTGCCCTTCATCTGCACAGATTTCACGTCCGTATTTTGGGCCAGGCCTGTCTCAGTCAAGATGAAGGAGCTCCCAGCTTAAGGAAAGGATGCAATGATTCCTCATAATGGTTTCAAAAATACATTCATCACCACTGCCTGAGACAATAGCCCTATCTTGCTCCTAATACTGACTGAATCAGCCTACGCAGGAAATAAGCCCCTGAGGTTGTTTTTTGTTCTCATGGAATTCATGAAGGGATGAGGAAATGACCTTTCCTACACTGACCTCAGGTAAAAGACTCAAATGCTTAGGTGCAACTGTGTCACGGGCTTTCAACACTATACCTACATCAGCACAAATGTGCCACAGAAAAAAAGAGTCTTGAAAATTAAGAGCAAATAAATGAAAAAGTTTGAAATATTAACTTATGTTTCATTCTAATTATAATTATTTAGCATAAAATACCTCAATATTCAGTATCAAGAAAAAACCCCTGGAAATTCTGACTCTGCACAATTGTTGTTTCAAAAATTCTATACCTTATATTCAAATTTTACAAGAGACAAACTTTCTAAAACTCCAAAAAGGAAATATATTACTCAAATGTCTGAAACTGACTAGTTTCATACAATATATTCATAATATCTACTTTGATACTCATAGTACTTAGATTTTAATTTTATTTTTAATTTCCTTAAATTTTTTTCAATTACAGTTGACATACAATATCATATTTGTTTCAGGTGTACAACATAGTGATTAGACATTTATATACTTTATGAAGTGATCACCTTGATAAGTCTAGTACCCATCTGATACTATACATGGTTATTATAATATTATTGACTATAATCCCCATGCTGTACTTTACATCGCCATGATTATTTTAATAACTGGCGATTTGTAATTCTTAACCCCTTTAACCTTTTTCACCCATCTCCCTACAAGATTACTTAGATTTACTTAGGATTACTTAGATTTAAGGAAATAGTAAGTCTTAAGAAATTCTGTCTGAATCTTAGGCCTTCCTATAAAAGCTGCCCTCTAGTTTCTCCCAGATACACCACGCCCAGGGCCAGTTACCTGAGAATTGGCAGCTTTCTCGGGGACAGGAAGGACAGCAGCTTTCGCTCCCTGGAGGACTTTCGGCGTGCCGTAGAGACGTCCGCCAACCAGCATCACAGTCACCAGTTGCAATGTGAAATGAGAGCCCAGTGATAGAAAGACCTACAAACGAACAGTATCAATGACTTTTTTAGTAGTAAAAATAATACCTTCCAGAGAAAAATACTAACGTTTGGCACAAGTCATCAGCACTCTGCCTCAGAATACATTTGTATCAGTTTCATCAATCTATGCCCTTTCCCCGATGTTATAAAACAAATCACTGTTACGAAGACTGTGGGGTGAATACAGAAAAACACAAATTTGCAAATTCTCCACGTGTTCCCAAATGGTATCAGGAATGATGATACACACAAGTGGGATTAGTGATAGAATCACGTGGTACAGGAACGGCAAGAGCTCACAGCTGAATAGCGGCAGGCCCTAAACCCAGGAAAACTCAAGTCCTCCCCCTTCATTGGTTGTAATAAATAACCCTGCTATTTACTCAAAATGGACAATAATTTAGGTGTACTTATTATTTGAATATTTGACAAATAATTGCTAACATCACGTATTAAATCATAAATTTTCAGAGTTGTAGAATCCAGCAAAGTGGGGGAAATCCTGAATTTTAAAATTGGTGGTTTTCTAAGTTTTTTTTTTAAATATACGTTTTCCCATAGAAATAGTGGTTGATAATGGACAGGCCTCCAAGTTACCCCACAACCTGGCAGATTACCAAAAAATCTGCATATCTCTATTGAATGTAAAAATAACCATTTCTGTGGAGTTGTTATTTTTTTAAGGATAATCAATGTACTTAAACATATATCATAACCCCCCAAACGTGCAAAATGTGTACCACGGTGGTTTCAAACACTGAACAACATGAGGGTAACAGGTGTCGCATTCATTTAATCAATCTTTGTTTTTGTCAAAATGACATTCACTGAACATGAATCATAGGTCAAGCGCTAAGGAAAGAAAAATCAATCACAGTGTTCTGATTTCAACCAGGTGTCCCCGACCTGTCCCCTCAGGATATGTCCCTTCTCCCCCATGCAGTTCCCTGGCTGGGCAGCTACAGACTTTCATCCCCACTTCTGAGGAATGAAGGGCTGGGCTCCCAGTCGCGTGCGCCTCCCCACCCGGCTCCTCGGTGCACGAGCCCAGCCAGCATGCACAGCCTCCTGTGATGCAGCAAATCCCCAGGGCACAGTAACTGCAGAAGCTGAACAGCAAACTTGGGGGGGTGGAAAAAGCTGGTCTGCCTCCAGAAGAAAAGCAGGTAATTGATTTGAAGAGGAACTTGAAGGATTTTAGGAGTGGTTAATGTTCTCCAGAATGCCCTTCCATTTCCCTGACCCAGGACTGAAGCACCAATGCTATCTTCCATATTTCCCACGGTTCTGGATTGCATTTGGGTATAAACAGAATTCATAGCCCCAAATATCCCGTGCATGTCTCAAACCCTGCTTATCCACATTTTTATAACTGGAGGTTAATGGGCCTTCTGCACTAGGCAAGAAGCAACAGGGTGACGGGGACTTATCTTTGTCACCTTTGTATCTGCTGTGCTTATCACATCACAGTGAATGGCTCAGAGTAAACACTCAACGTTTGAATAAGCGACTCAACCACCAATGTAAAATTCTGCTCACATTCTAGTTTAAATACTTTAAAACTTAGACTTGTTTTCTTTAGTGGGCCAATGATTATTATCGTCAGTTATGCACCCTACCGAAAAAGTCTGTTGTTAACCAGGGGAGGCAACCGTTTACACATCCAGGTCCTCATGTTAAACCAGCACTAACAGTCTTCTAGATTTCAGAGCCTAAAGGAAAATTATCTGTTCAAAGACCCCCTGTCCTTGTCTGTGGCTGACCTGTCCAAAGCCCTAACTTATCCTGAGAGGGAGGAACAGGTGGAAATCTTCCAAACTTCAAAGAGCAATGCATTATATCCAGGATATGTAGGGAGCGGGAGACCACTGAAAAAGTTTTACCCTCAGTTTGAGAGCGTGTCACACCCTGCCCTGAGCACTTACCCTGGAACGCTAATTCACATAAGATCACCTAATATAGTCTGCATACAGTCTTACCCCACAATCCTGGAATGGGAGAGAAAGAAGCAGCCTATGCAATTTTAAATACGTTACCAAGTGAAATTAAAATAAGGAAGTAAGAGGAAGCTTTTGTGTATGCAGAAGTCAAATTCTGTTAGTTTCTATTTAAAATAGAAATTAAAAAAATAATAAAACTAGGTTCAAAAAAAGATACTGAAAAATTCAGATTCACATAGGTATTAGGAAAGCTAAGTATCTTTATAAGCCTATGTAAGCTTTATAAGCTTATATATTTTAATGATATCTTTGTATTATTAAGCTTTTTAAATGAAACCTAAAGAAGACTACCATCTTTCAAAAATGTTCCAGGTAGGACTCGCAAGAGACAATCTCAGAGTTGGGCAGATCAATGGTTTTGGTCAATGTAAAATATATCACATATTTTGGTTTTCCTATACATAGTCTAAAAATAATTTTGTACTTTCCACATTACTTAGTAAAATAGAATGATGTAATCTTCAATGAGCCAAGTCTTATTGACAAATGAAATCTTACTGTAAATACAAGATATATAAAACAAAACTATTCCTAGAAGGAATGTTCTCTTGTGTTCATCAGTAGATTATAACTTTAATGTGTTTAGAAGGTGATGTTACACAGATATGTATGCAAAAATATTTCAAGTTATTGTGTAATTATATAATTACATTATGCCATTTAAGCACAGTCTATTAAAAAACTGATCATTTGTAAACAAGACTTTATAAAATGATATTCTGGTTAAATTAACCCACCTCTTATTTCCCCAGCTTTGCACTCTATTTCAGTCTTGAGAATTTTTGGATACAGAAACTGAAGTTAAAAATTGATATAATAGGGCTGTGGCATTGAGTCAATTTCCCAAAGAACTACAAGGACACAAGAATAATTATGGAACCCACGTTTCACTAATAAGCTTCCATTTTTCTCCTTTATTAAACAAGAAAAGTAAAGATTCAGGTACACAAAAGGTCAAAAAGCTACATAGGCCCTGGCTGGTGTGGCTCAGCTGATGGTAACATCATACTGTAAACTAAAGGTCATGGGTTCAATTCCCAGCCAGGGAACATGCCTGGGTTGCTGTTCGCTCCCCTGGTTGGGGCGCGTACGGGAGGCAATGGGTCAATGTTTCTCCCGCACATCAATGTTTTTCTCTCTACCTCCCTCCCCTCTCTCTAAAATCATAAGCATGTACTTAAATAAGGATAAAGGCTACATTGTAGATACAAATTAGTATAACATGCTTGTTGATTATTCTGAACGGCAGCCTGTTTTCTATTGATCATAACTTTATATGAAACTAAAATAATCAATTACTGACTGGGCTAAACTTAGTGAAACACAAATAAGAAACTGCTTCACTTTTCTCCTATTACTGCTTTGTGGGGTTTCTTTTGTTGACAATGCTGTGGGTAAATCTTGAGGTTTTCTGTTACTTTCAGGAAGGTAAAGGCCAGACTTATATCAGTCAAAAGTTCCATCATGCATACTGTCAAAGCTCCCCTGGTTACCCCTGTTTTTGTTTGCTTCATAGTTCAGGGTCTCCGGTGGAAAAGGGGATGCGGCATGATGTGTCAATACTCTTCCTGTCCTATACCCTTAGACCTATGCGCCAATCTCTGGCACTTTCAAGTTTGGAACAGAAGAGAGTCACTTTGCGAGAGAATGACAAAATGTACTGCCTCACAGGTGCAGTCCTTTCTTGCCTAACACTGGCTGCCCTCTCTCCTTCCTTGAAGACAAGTCCTCAATTTCTGACCCTTTCCTGGAACTGACATGGGTGTTCCTCAAGGACTTCAGAATTCCACTCCGCACCATTCCTCCAGATGTGGTGACTTTTTTTAGATTCTCTCCTAGCTTCATAATCCACTCCACAGACTCTTCTCAAGACTATTCTAATGTAATTACTCTCTGGGGCAGCCTTTCTCAACAAAAAGACAACTAATCCCCAGTGCCATAATGCATCTCATGTATGAAATAAATTAATTTCTCTTTTATGCATATAGAATGATACTAGTTATGTACCATTCTCTGAAGAAGTAAGACAAAGAGTCACCCATGCCCTGGCTGGTTGGTTGGACTGTCATCCCATACACCATAAGGTGTGGGTTCAATCCCCAGTCAAGGCACATTCCCAGCTTGCGGTTTCAGTCCTAGTCAGAGAGCCCACGGAAGGCAATGAATTGATGTTTCTCTCTCACATCATGCCTCTCTTTCTCTCCCCCCACATCCCTCCCTCTCTGTCTAAAATCAATAAACATATCCTTGAGTGAAGATTTAAAAAAAAGTCACTCAAATCACTTTCCATGGTTTAGACTGAGAAAGGCTGCTGAGATATCTACCTGACTCATAGGAAATTCACACATTCTTATCACTCTCACCCCAAATGCTTCCTTGACAAGTCTACTGCCTTCTCTCGTTATTACTGTCAAGAAAGTCAGAGCCGATTTACTATGTTCTAGATCTGCAAGGACAGAAGCAGTACCAGTAGTTTCTGTGTTCATGTAGCCCTTCCAACCTCCAGGGAGCATATGTCAGTCCCACAGGAAAGCCTACATTTCTCCCCTTCATCAAGTATCGTGTGTGTATGCGTACATGTGCGTGAATATGCATACATGTATAGCAATTGAAATAATTTCTGGAAGTTTGTAGATATTAAATAAATGCCTGCTACTATCTAGACAAAATAGACAAAATATTTTATCTTCAAATTGGTATATATTTATTCATTTATAATCAGCAAATACGTCACTTCTATGTATTATGCAGTAATTACTATGCATCTTCCAAGGCATTTTTCATGGTTACATTTAAATATACGAATAAGATTTAAACTGATCATGAGGTAAGTCCGGGCTCTCACTGAAGAAGTTTGATTGGAATGATGAGGACCCTAAAGAAATACTACAAACCTGACTCTTTACTGGCACCGTGTCCACCTGGTATCTGGCACCATCACTGACCACCAGCTGCCTCTCGGCATTCTCCGCAACTACTGGCTGCTCCCTATGATCAAATGATATTCGATATCCAACAGCCACATCTCCAAAAGTTCCGGCAAGCCTGGTTACATTAATTTGGATGAATCTACTAAGGTTCTGCCCAATAAGCACTGACTGGCGATCTGCATACAGAGCAAACACTCCGTGTGGGTCATCACTTGCAGAAACAGAGAACTGTGTGATGCGTTTTTCCGGATCCAGTTCTGCTCCTCCTTCTACAGAAACAAGCTGAAGCACATACTCTTCCTCTATCTCAGGTATATCATCTGGTAGCAAATGAATGTCAAAGCTCACTTCACTCTCTCCATCAGCAATGGTGAAAAATCCTTTTGTAGAAAGAAAGTCTCCAGTAATATCAAACTGGCTACTTATTTCCCAGTAAACCTAAAATAAAAGGGAAAAAAATTCAGCAACATTATATAATTCAGTAAACTGAACCCAAATCCTTTAAATTGTTTTCCTTTCTAATATACAAAACGGAATTATTAATTGTGCATCATTGTATTCCAAAGAAAGTCTCCAAGCAGTTAGTTTAAATAGTGGCATGCATATCATGAAAGCATATTAGCTCTCTCAGGCTGTCATATGCAATTTGCAGGACAAGATTACAAAACCTCCTTTTATCTTCTTTTAAAATAATAACTAGGAGAGACATAGCGGAGCAAGTTAACTTTAAAATACCAGCACCACAAATACACTCAATAGTAAACCATAGACAGTATTTGAGGGCAAAAAAGTAATCTAATGTTTCATATCAGAATTGTTTGTTTTTTAACTACAAGAAAAGATATACTAGATTTCTTAGAATTAAGAGTTATTTTCCGAGGATTTTTGGCCTCTGAACCATAAAGATTCAACTGAACAAGTGCCAGGTACAGGAAATGAGGTAACTTCAAAGAGAAATTTCACAAAATATGTTTTTTTTGAGAAAACAAGTAACCTAGATCTGTTAGACGAGTATCTTGATGATTTACAAGGGCACCCTCAAATGTTTTATATCAATGAACACACAAATGTAACTGCTTAAAAATCAGTTGCTAAGTGAAAACATTATATTGAGAAATAAAGCCCTGGAGAATACATTAAGCAATTTACAAAAATCACTCAGAGATCTAAGTAGAAAAGGCTTCATGTTATAGCAAACAAGAAAATACAAAAAAGTTCTTCATGATTAAGTGTGAGGAAGATCCTTTAATCTAATTGTAACAGAGTAGAGAGACTGTGGAGGTTGGTGCTGGCGGGATAGTCTGAAGGTTCTCAAAGGAACCTTCTCAGTTTCGTTGAACACACATGTCACTTAGGTTTATGAAAACCTTTAACCAGAACGACGCCATTTCTCTGTTCTCAATCACATTTGTTAAGCAAACTGTCACTCTACTTAAAAATCAAATGAAATGAAATACGCTACCTTAATATCTCCCAAAATGCCCTTGACTCTTTTGACAAAGAAAGTAATGACCAGGGGCCCTTCCAGAGCTGATGGCTCTAGGTAGGTTTTGACAGATAGAGATTCAGGAGCAAACTGGACCACGCCATTGGGATCACCAAACTTTTGTATCTAAAAATAGAAACAGAGGAGAGTGAATTACATATTTAACAACAACGAGCGAAAATACATTATCTAACTTATCAAAACACAGATAGCTAAAGAAATAGAAGAAACACAGAAATAATACTTAAATATAAAATACCTAGCTATATGATTTTTTTTTTAAACTTTCTTTGTAACACTGATTGTTACCTAAAAAAAACAAGTAGTTCTTATTCCAAAAGGATAATGGAAATAAGTGTCTGGAAAACGGTAATTTGTAGAATCTCAAAAGGGTAGTACTTTGATGCCTCAATTTAGGTTTATTTGCCTTACATTTGTTTTATATAACCAATTAGTTTTGGTTAACTTCTTTCTACTGGTTATAATACAATGTGGAGAGCAGCAAAAAGGCCCTGTGATGCTTAGTTTCACGTGTCAGCATAAAGATTACAGTGCAGGAGTGTGTTTGGTCAATCACTAGTTCAGATGTTGCTGGGAAGGTATTTTTGTAGATGTGATTACATTTACAATCAAGTTGACTTTAAGTAAAGGAGATTATCCCCAATAATGCGAGTGTGCCTCAACTTAGAAATCCTGCATCAGTTTCCAGCCTGCTGGCCTGCCTCACAAAATTCAAAGGCAAGACACAACTTCACTTCTTTCCTGGGGTTTCTGCCTGCTACACTGCCTGCTTGCCATTTTTCTTTCTGCCAAATTAATCTGGGGAAAGTAAATTAATTTTGTTCAGATTCTGCTGTACTGTTTTGAAATCCTTTATGGGAATGTGAAATAGTCCTCTGCCAAGATGGTCAATCTCTTGGCCCCCCCGCCCCCAAAACTTCACTATAAGAAAACCCAGAACTTGTTAAGCTTGGTTCCCACAGCCAAAGTCGATCATCATGAGTCAGTCAATCTTTCTCTCTCTCTCCCCCCTTCCCTCCTTCTCTATTTCTCTGGTAAAATATAACTGATACAGACTCCAGCAAAGAGTATTTTCCAAACTTAAAAGATGTCCACTTCTCTGTATTGATTTCAGTAGCCTTGGCCCAAGCACTTCCTGTCCTGATGGACTGGGTAGTCCATATCAAATATGCTGAATTCAACTCTAACATATCGTTGTGCTAACTGAACAAATACCAGTCTTCCTTCACACAATCTGACTCGTAACTAATTAATAATTGTTATGTACTTTGATGGAAAGATAATCAATGTTTATGATGATATCACAAATATCTGCTCTCTAAAATTTGCAAATAACTCCCAAAACACCAAATTTTCTTGAAGAGTGTAAAATAAGTATTTCTCACTATACTAAAGCTTTCTTAGAAATAACACCAATAATAAGGCTATGTAAAAAACTAATAGAACATAAGAATTATTACAACTTAATTTGGTTTTATAACGTCCAACTCACCATAAGCCTGTAGAGTTTCAAAAAAAATGCAAATGCATTTTCTCATAACTCCATCAAAAATTTGGTGGGCAAATAAAAGTCAGACTTACAATTAATGTAATGTCTTTAGCTCTGGAGTCTAATTTAGCTTCTCCTTTCACAAGTGTGAGTTTAATAACAAAGGTCTCTTCAACTTCAATTTCTTCATGAGGATAGATTGTCAGAATCAAGGTCCTCACTCCACCTTCTCCCTCTCCAAAATAGAAGTAGCCGTTCACGGGGTCCGCAATGTCTCTGTTCTGTGGCTGTAAGGCTTCCTGAGAATTGGGTCCTACTATCTCCCAGTTCACCTGCAGGGTGTTATTGTTTTTAATAGATATGGTCAGTTTTACACCAAGAGTTACTTTGCAGGATATGAAGTATTCAAAAATACACATATATATGAAAGTCTTTCTACAATGTCTCCAGAAAATTCCTGTTATCAACTCAAATTTTTAAATAATGATATTTGCATAATGATAGCGTATCAGTTTTCACGAATAACACTAACAAGAGAAATATGAGTACCTGGTCATTTTTCATCATCCCAGGGTAACAAAAATATAAAAGTACATATTTAAAAGTATATATTAGAGCAATTTAAAAAATTTAAATATATGAGCACAAAACTGTCTTGCTCTGTGCACAGGTTCTGTCAATCAAAACCTATTTGAGTAATAAAACCACGTGAAAAGTCTGCTGGATGTGCAACCTCTTCTAAATATATTTCAGTAAACTCCTAGTATAAAATGAACAGAAATTTTCATTACCTTTTATAAGAAACAACGTTTTTATATTGTAATAAATGCATTTTTGAAAGTTCCTATAATTTAAAATTGTATGCTTTTCAATATCCATGAAGAAGGAAAATTGAGCACTTCTCTTTGCTTTTTTTCTCTTTCATCAGTGTTGTACACAACTGATCACCTCCTTTTTCTTAAAACATTGTGCCCTGCACCTCCTGACTTACATGATACTCACATGATGCATACCTTCCTAGTTTCCTTCTTCCTTTACTTCTCCATTTTCTTTGCTGGCTCTCCTTCTTCAAATCCCTAAATGCTGGGTGTCTGGGGCTCAGCTCTGTATCCTTCACATCTCTTCCTACACTCCTTAGACCTCATAGTTTCAAATGCTGCATTTGTGTCAAGACCTTCCCTATCTGCAGCCCTTACACCTCCCCCACAACCCGCACTTGATCTCACTAACTACCCGACCCCTCCCTCCCCACTGGATAGGAACATGGCCAAAATGGAACTCTTGATTCTCTCCCAAGCTTCTGCACTTCAGGGAGCAGGACTATAATATAACCAGTTGCTAAAACTATCATTCTAGCAGTTATCCTTGATTATTCTTTTCCTCAGCCTCCATTAGCCCAATGAGTGTTTCTTCCAAAACATAATATCTTATTCACTTCTCTCCATTTCCTTCTCCAGCCTTGTCTGGGCGGACAGCTTTGCCCTGGACAATAGAGGGCAACGACCTCCTAACTGCCTATCCTGCTTCTCACCCGGTTTCTTGACAGTCCATTCTCCTCACAACTGTCCTAAGTGAGCTGTTTAAAATGACAAGCCAGTGGCATCAACATTAGTCCCCTGCTTATAACTTTCTAATGGCATCCTATTTGCACTTAGCATAAAATCTTTAACCTGTTTTAGGAGGTTCTCTTGATCAAACACCTACTATCTACCCATCATCTGCCCTGTGCTGTGATCCCACCGCCTCCATGCCCCTCACAACATGGACCTCTCCCGATCGCAGCATGCCAGGCCGGGAGATCTGCATTGGCCTCCCCTCTCCCCAAATACTCATCGCTCTAACAATGAACAATGGCATGACCACCTGTTTCTCATCATCCAGCTTTCCCTTTGACTGTCATATCCTCACCATCTAATCTAGAATAGCCAGTCAGCAGTGATTGTGTCTCTTGATTTTACATTCCTGCACAGCACTTAGTATTATCTGATCACCTTCCTTTCATTTATTTGGGTATTGTTCTAAAAATTTTACGAGAACAGAGACAAGGTCTGTCTTGTCCACCAGTGTATTCTCAGTGCTCACAACAGGGAAAGCACTCAACAAATACTTGCTGAATTAATGCATTCTACCAGAATCCACCACTTAATTTTTAATATGCTCTCAAGAGTTCCCTGAGGATGGCTGTATGCTGAGGAAACTGTATACTGCATACCTTTTTATGTGCTTCACAGGACTCAGAAGCTAGTGAATTAGCTCAGAAGCTAATTACCTAGTAGGTAATTAATAAATATTATTGATTGTGAATAAATGAATATATTTGAGGAATAAGAAAATCCAATGCCAAACTGAAATACCAAAAATTTTTAAAACCATGGGAATAATAACTATACCTGAATCTCTCCTAAAAGTCCTCCAGTGCGCTCCAGCACCAAGAATAAAATCATTGTGGAATTGGGATTAGGAAGAGATATTCTGCTTTGATTAAGAAATCGTACAATGCCAAAGGGAGAGTCACTCTTGGTGACCGTGATTCTGCTCACTAGGTGGCGCCCAAGGACCGCTCCGCCAGTAGCTCCAATGAGCAGAATTTCAATGGGCTCTGCAAAGTCCCTGCATTGCAAGAAGAAATTCTGTGAGTCTAAATACATTAAAATGCCTCTAAAATCCAAATAACTACTCATTTTCCTAATTGGTCATACATATTCAAGGCACAGTAGTCACACACAAAGTGGGAAGAAGAGGGTATTCTGCTAAAGGCAAAAATGATCAACTTCACTATTACATAGCCGGAGCTGGTCATTAGACTTTCTTCTTCTCTTTTAATTGTTCTATGCATTAAAGAAGTGAATTTCAGAATGCTTCTAAATTCTTATTAGAGTTTTCAAGTCTAAGGTAAAAAAAAACAAACAAACAAAAAACAAGAAAAAAACACCCAAAACTTTATGCCTGTATTTGAAAGAAGTAACATGCAATCACAATGGGCTCCCAATCCCTTTCCCTGCCCCAGTGCATGCTGCCTCCAATTTATCATTTGTTTCTCAATGGCCATATATATAATCTAAAATCCTATTAGAAGTGCAAAACACAGGTAAGGACTGGACCCCAATATTCATGTTTTCTGTATACCCACACTACAGCAGTCTCCCATTATTTGCAGTTTCGCTTTTCACGGTTTTAGTTACCTCCAGCCAAGCAAGGTCTGAAAATCTTAAGTGAAAAATTCCAGAAATAGCAATTCATCAGTTTTAAATTTCACACCATCCTAAGTAGCATGATGAAATCTCCCACTGACCCGGATACTCCCAACTGTGACACAAATGGTCCCTTTGTCTAGTGTATGTATAAGCTACACACTTTTAGTCACTTACTAGTCATCTGGGTTATCAGATTGTCTCAGTTTCAGTATTTTATTCAAGTAACCCTTATAGTAGCTTAACGCTATGTCACAGCGCCTACGTTATTCACCTCGCTTCATCTCCTTGCAAAGGCATTCACATCATCTCACATCATCGTAAGAGGGAGGGTAAGCAGAATACAATTAAGATATTTTACTACAGTATGTTGTTATAATTATTCTATTTTATCATTAGTAATTGTTGTTATTGTCTTACTGTGCCTAATTTATTAATTAAACATTAGCACAGGTACGTAGAGTAAAAAACATAATATACAGGGTTCAGCGCTACCTGCGGTTTCAGACGTCCACTGGGGGCCTTAGAATACATCCCCCGTGGATGAGAGGGATGAAACCGCTGTATTTTTGATAACACTAAGTAGTTACCTTTCACTGTCTTCAAGGATGGAGACATTTATGAAACCTAAGCTCTGTCCATGCTGAAACGTGACTGAATCGCCGTGCAGGATATAACCGGTGCCGCCGGGAACCGCGGAGGGGCTCTGAGAGATGAAGTCGGCTGTCACACGGCCGTGGGTGCCGTGCAACCTCACCACTGGAATCGTGATTGTCCCGACGTCTTCCTCCACTGTAACAGGCACTTCCAGTTAACGGGGGTGCCAGACGCAGCAACTCACTTTTATGAGATTCAGTCAAATTAAGCATGGCAATTAAATATAATGGCACAGTGCAAGTACTCGATTTGTCCATAGTTCATTTATCACTTCAAAAATGACTTGAAAATTTCATGACTTGTTTTTTAGGAGGAATAAAGTTTGTCACAAATTGGAAGTGCAGCAAACAGTATAATTAAGAATTTAAATAGCCTATGTAATCATCAGCATAGGCACTCTTCCTCCATGTGCTACATATAAATAAATGACGCTTTGTAAGTGGATATTCATTGACTTCTAATCATGAAGACAATTAAGTATTGCATAAGTTAAAAATATAGTCATAAAAATGTTTGAAATATGAATATTTCAATAATCCTAAGGTTAAAAATAATTTTTCTAAATTGCCTTGTTCCTAACCATTCAGCTTTAGCACATATAAGTAAGGAAGGGTCAAAATTGCCCAAAGGTAACTCAAAACATATTTTAAAATAAAAGTATAAATATATTAAGGCATATACAAATTCATATGAACATATATACACATATGTGTATATACATATAAAGGCATATATGTACAGGTGTGTACACACACACCCCAAACAGAGAAAATGTATGTATGAGAATTCAAACTGATAATGTTGAGCTCAGGTACCCTGTAACTCAGAAAGTAGTGGTAAGTTTATAAATAAGGTTACTGAACCTACCTTCGAAGGCAATGTACCTTGGGTCAAATTCAATGGTGCCCTCTGCATTATCATTTTTCATTATTATGACTCGGACAGTGGAGATATTTCCTATTTCAGGAGGCTGATCTACTTGAAGTCCATTTTCTTGGATGGTAAAATCATACCCTCTTGCAAAGTAATAAAAAATAAAATAAAGTGAGTACATAATTTCCTAGCATGAACTGAATGGTCCTCTTCGTTCCTATAACTTAGTCCTATTATGCATTTTAATACTTTTTAAAATTCCCAACATTAGAATACTCCTTCTCCTCCCTCCCAAAATGCTGTTTGAAACAGATTTTTGTGCTGCTCGCAATTATCACTGCCTGCATGAAACCCCAACTAATATAAAGTTATTAAACTTAGGCAATGGGGAGATAATACAAGTACAAGGGAATTGGGAAACAGTTGTTGTAAAATGAAACTCTGGGGCTAGGAATGCACCACTGAACACACACTACAATAATGGACCGAGACAGTAACGCGCACCAAACTGCAGTGCACTCCAAGACGGAGACCTGCTGGGCTGGAAATGCACGGCGTTAGACTGAGAGACTTACTTCAGAAAAATGATGAGTATTACGCCACAAAAGAAATTTCAAGCTAAACCTTCAAGATTCAATAAAATACTTTAATATCTGCAGAAAACAATTATAATCAATGCCTCTGTTATTTAATAAACATGGTAGTCTACTTGTCTAAGGACATATTTACACAAAGGAAGGTTTTTTTAGATTGCTATTACTCCCATTAAAGAAAAGTTCTGACTTCCAGAGTTTTATATCACTTAATCCCTAAAGCTAAACAAACGTCAGTAAGCCATTTTAGTCCTTTCTTCAATTTCCAAATTCTATTTACCTGGTATTTTTACCACACCTAGTTTCAAATGGTTGAAAGCTGGTTCATAAGATTATACATAAGGCAAAATCAGAAAAAGGGAATTAAAATATTAAATGATAAGAGTACCTGTTATCAATAGTCTGAGAAAGATTGTAGATAAGCAGTACATTTTCTAGCAACTAGGCAAATAGTTTATAATAGTTTTCAGATCAAAGGATGACTAGAAATTTATCTAGAAAGTAAAACTTGTTTCCCCAGAATTAAAGTTATGTATAAACTGCTTCGTTTAAAGGGTAGTACAGAGAGAGGGCAAATGCTTCAAGTCCTTCATAGTCAGTAACACTGATATGCTCTCACACTTGATGAGCTACTTTTACCAAATTTTACCTATTTTAATAGTGAGTGACCAGGTCAAATTTTAACACATTTAATATGAGTACAAATTCCTTCCCATCATCAGGCACAGAATCATCTCTGGGAAATTTAAGACCTGAAGTGCACTCTCTATTTTTTCCAGGTGGGATGATAACACACTCTAAGTCACTTAGTGAAATATTTTAGTTTAAAAAAACATTTAAAGCATGGCATTTCTATAAAATGCAAACAAGAAAAACATTTTCATGTACACGAAAACTTCCTTTAGAAGTTATATAAATGCAAACACTACTAGTGGAAGGTCTGGTGAAAGCTGTCAGTGTGGAGGGTACTTCACATGCCAAAGGCGCTTCCCACCCTTGTTAATGAGTCCCTCCCACTAAAGCAGAGAATGAGAGGGCCTCCACACGGTTCATTCTTTATCTCCAATGGAAACATGGTGCACATTAATGACCCCCTTTGACTCCATTTTTTTACCCCCTATAAAACTGGAACTAGGCGAGCATCTGCCACATTCACCCAAGGAGAACACAAAACAGCCTTCATTGATTCCAAAAAGAAATCTCTCACTCCAGCCCATTCACAGGTATAGAGATAGAAATAGGCAGAAACACATTCCCACTCCCCACTCCCGAACCAGACCAGCTGACCTCTGACCTAGAGAACAGTTACTCTTATTTCCTCACCGAATTACTCTTGCTCAAGCCATGTTCAATTTTCTGGCTGCCTAGAGTGCCTGCACACAAGAGAAATACAACTTTCAGGGGAACAAAAATATTTTAGGACAATGCACAGTGAACAGCCTTTGTCATGATTTCCTACCACACACTGTTCTAATGTCACATAAGCCTATGAAAGAGAAGGGCAAGAACACTTTCACAGTTCTGTATTAATCCCTACACAACCTAGCACTTGCTTTTCCTGTCGCTGTTTCTGTTTTGTTTTCTTTTCCTACTTTCCTTTTTTAGTTTACCTTTCAAGGAGTTCCACTTTCGTAATTACTAGAGAAAATTCCTCAGGGCCTTCAGGAAGGTCATCATCAAGGATTTCAATTTGCACGCTTTTCGCCATCTCCTGCGCTTCAAAGAGGAGCGGCCCTGGCGCAGGGATAAAATCCAAGCCCGCCTCCGCACTCCCACTCACTGTCTGGTACCAGAGTCTCACGGGGCGCAAGGATCCACCCGAACGGATGACTGTGATGTTCACCTGCGGCAAGGAGAGGTTTGTTCTTTGACTCGGATGATTAATCTACCAGAAAACACTTAATTGTGATTGTTTCTAGTTCTATTTACCAGCATTACATTGAAATTATAAATTTCTGAAAGTATGTAAATGACAGTATTAAAATAACAGGAGCAAATCAGTCTGGGAAATCTTTGGAATAAGAAAGAATAAGGAAACACGTTTTAAAGATCACTTCCACATAAAAACCAAAAATGACATTTCAGATTTTAAGCATTTCACACTCTACCCGTTGTACTTCTTCCGATACTCGAAGTTGCTCATGTGAAAAGGCGAACCGGCCATAGGGGAAGTCACTGGCCACCACTGTGATATTGGCAGTGCTGCTGGCTTCACTCAGCACTCCGCCCTCGCTGACGCCAGTGAGCTGAAACTCATAGAAACACTTCTCCTCGGGAATGTCATCATTCAACGCCTACGGGACAAAAAGGACCATTAGCAGCAGAATCTACAACATTTAAAGAGAAAAATATCTATCTCGCAAACAATGACAACAAATCTGGGATGTTAACCATCTCCCATTCCCCTCCACCACCTCACTGCCCCTCCACCCCCACACACAATACAGAGCAAAGGTCGTAACAGAAACCAGTAACATGAATACCTGGATCACCACAATTGCCGTAGACTGTCCTTCTCTCATTGTCAGTTTTCCTGATGTTTTAGCAAACTCCCCTATGGATGGGGGGACGATCCTCCAGTACACCGTGACCTCTCCCCAGATGGCTGGGCCACGAACGAGGCTACAACACACACAAATATTTAACACATTTTTATTGAAGGAACTTTTCCCAGATATTTGCTGTGTCTTTCAACAATGAACAATTTTCATGTATTTCAGGAACATTAGGCGTTTAAATAACCTTATCTATCAACTATAAACCAAAGGAAAGCCTTATAATTCCAAGATAGTAACACTCAGGGTACTGAATTCATGGTAAATTTGCTTGACAAGAATACCAGCAAAAGCTGAATCCTAAAAGTAGAAGGTTTAAAGGAATAAAAAGTTGCTTATAGAATTTCACTTAATACACAAGATACAAAATATTAATAGTCTCACAAAGTTCTCTAAAGAATAGGGAACCCTTGCACATGCATTGCTAATGGAAAAACCAAAAAGGGAAAGTTTTAGTTCAAATTCAGCTACTTCACTGTTAGTTGCTATTCCAATCCCAATTAAAAGACTGTAATAAACAAAGTCACCTATGATCATCACAGAGTTATATACTGGCCCTAACTTTAGAACACTTAGAATCATACAGTGCTTGATTCAGACAGTTTTCTAAGGAATGACTTTGTAGCTAAGAGACAAAGTACAATACATGGCCAGTGACAGACAAGACCGAAAGCACAGATCTGATGTCAATGCAATGTGCTTTCCACAGTATGGGTTGTGCAAATTACCCAAGAAACAGCCAGAAATCTGCTCAAAATCTGACTTCAGTGTAGGTTAGAATATATCTTCAATGTGTACCAAAAATGGGTTCTACTCTCCACAGGATGTTACCAACATATAAAATAACAATGCTTGAAGAATGTGTATGTGTTGAGAACAATGTATTGAAGGGACAAAATTGCAATTTACACAAAACTTTAAAACGCTAACCTGGGTGCAGAAAAATTATGACACCCTTACCTGATGATAGCGGTCCCATTATATTTTGCTGAGGGCTCCCCAATGAGGACGTGCCTGGACGACTGCGCAATCCCAACTTCTCCCAAAGCTCCCTTCTCTCCCCGAAAGATTATAGATGCGCTGCCTAAATTGAAGATGATACAAATACAGATTATATAGCAAACACTTGTATTCACTTAGTACATACCTGCAATGTTCTAAGTGTTTTATGTATACTAATCTTATGCGTTAATCCTCATGGTAATCATATAAGGTAGGTACTACCATTACACTCATTTTACCAACGAAGACATCTAAGTTCATTGATGTACTGAAGAGACTTTGCAAATAACTTCTCCAAGGTCACAGTTTAATGAAAGTGGGCAATAATTCCACTCTCACTGCTGTGATAAGAAAGTAGGCCTCTACCATCTGCATTAATTCACTTCTACAGTAATCATTTTGCCGATCACTGCTCCTGGCTTTCTGGCTGTATCTGTTAGCTAAGGGGCAAAAGCAAGATTTCTTTAAGTTACTTTTTATTTTTAATTTTCTATTATTTGCTTATAAGCATTTATTAAAAACAATAAAATAATCTTACAAAAATAGAAATAAAAACCATATTAAGTAATTTGAGATACATATTATAATTTAGCAGTAACTTGAAGAAAACTGTTTCTGGAAGCACACAGGGTTTCATGAAACAAAGGACTGGACTGCTGTACTCTTTCTTTGGCAATGGAGTAATAAAACCAAGAGGGGTTTGTCATGTACAAATGTGTCACAGTTAGAATTATACTATGAACTTGTTTATATTAATAAATGATTTACCTTGATCCACTGGTAATTTAGCTACCCTAGGCACATATAGTGATACTCGAAAATTTTGAGAATTTCCATGACCACGGAATTCTGCTTTTTTGGCCATGGACCCTTGCAGAGGATGAAGTCTTGATGGCAAGAAAGGGCATGTAACTAAGCGTTTATATCAACGTTGCTGGGCCATTTTTTATGGTTATTACTGTCTGTACCACGATGAAACGATTCAGAACCATTAATCCTTTATCCATATCCAAGAAACAAACTTTAACATGGACTGTAAACAAATAAGAAATAAGGTGCCTGTTTCTGAAATGTCAAAATATCTATGTAATTACTTTCTGATGAAAATAGGTATAGATAGGCTGGAATAAATACAATAATATGATGTTCTAAAATAATATTTTATCATAAAAGTAATATGTGGTCAATGTAAATATGTGTAAAAAATATAGGTAATCAAAAACCACTAATGTTTCAAGTAAACCATTCCAAACATATTTATGATATGCACATGAGAAAAAATGGGATTAATTTGAACATGTTGTTATGAAGCCTGCCTTACTAATATACCAATCATCCATGTAATTAAGTATTCTTAATTTTTAATGTAATTAAGGCCTTTTATATCATATTCTATTGAATAGCCGCATAGTATTCTGTTATATTTAACCTGTCTCTTACCTAGTTAAGTGGATCATTTAGGAAGCTTCCACATTTTATTTCATAAACATTGCTAAATGAAACACTTTTATTTTTTAAAAATCACACAGCTAGGTTGTTATGAAATCTTTGACATATGACCTTACTAACACTAGGTATTAGAATATTACTTTTAAAAATCCTTTAGCTGAAAACATGGGTGGAAAATGACATCTTCATGTTTTAACAAACATTTTAGTCATTATAAAACCTGTTACCTATTTTAGTATTATTTGGTTAGATTTTTCTGAGAAACTACTTGCAATCTCCAAAAAATGTGAACTTCTCTTACCTTTCACTGGAGATATTTCTGCCTCATCAACTGGTATCAGTTGAATGGTGAAATGCCTGTCCTTCTCGAGCACAGTGTCTTGAAGTGTGCGCAACGTAATGGTCTTCTGGGACTCCGTCTACATCAAATGACAGAAATAAATTCTCCAGATTGATTAAAGTCACATTTGGAATATTCTCACTAGTGGGATAATGCGTATACCCATAAGCATTTTTAAAAGTACGTCTTTTTTGTCCCCTAGAATTATGGGTTGCTTCTAAAGAGAATTACAACATAAAAGTTAGCTCTGCCTATAAATACTATTCATGTCCGTAGTGGCAAAAAGGAGGAAAAACTTAACACAACTTCTAAATTTCTAAAAATTTTCAATCATTGAAAGTCCAATCTCTTAAAGAGAGCTAAATGGTTGGAGCATGATATAAAAAGACAAAGGTCATAGGTTTACACTTATAAGGGTTATCTTGCCACTGCGCATTTTGTCTCTGCCCTCTACCCACTCCCACATCCGTCCCAATCCTTCCACAGGTGTTGTCCTCACGAGTGCCCACTATTATTCCTTTCCTCTCTTGCCTTACACTGAGCTCAGTAATTTTTCTGAACATTGGTTAAGTTTTCAGTGTAGGCTGGAAGAGAAGGAACAAAGGAAAGCAAATATAAACAGGACAACTAGGTTAATACTTTGAGATAGCATCATGACAGTTACCATTTTTATCTTTACCTTTCCTACCTCTTCCTTTGTATGCTGATAAAGCAGCTCCATTGTCCTATGCATCACTGATTCATTTTCTACAGTTTGAATTCCGTTTATTCCTTCTCAAGTACATCTTAATTCTACACTTGCATTTTTGAGATTTTCCATATTTTTCATTCAAGTTGTTCTCCAGAGTTCCTTGTATCCATTTTATAATATATGTACTTTAAAAAAATCTTTGTAAGAGTTTCCAGGAAAATGTATACTTCTTGCCTCAGACCTGAGTAAATGTGTTCATGGGGAAATCTATAATTTATGGAATGCAGCAAATCAATCCCATCCATTTTATTTACTGTATATTGTGAACTGGAGGCTCTGACTATGCCTTAGGTACAAGACTGTTCCTTTGAATGGAGACACGTGTATGTCAGAGCTGGATGTATAAGAGCAGTGAAGCTGCTATGCAGTTGTGTATGAAACACACAAGGTTGGTGACTGAAAACCCAGATGGAGAGAGTAAAATACAGAAGGATGTACAAACCCATCTCTCTTGATGCAGTACTCTACAAAAGGATGATCTTATTCCGTGGGGGAAAGATCAGGCTACGTGCCATTTGAATATTGATGTCCTGCTCCAAACCAGAAACCTTTCTAGTCCTCTGGAAAGCAGATCTAGAGATTGGAATCTGATAACTGGAAACTGTTGCTCATTATTACTGAGGAAAATCTTTCTAGAAATCCGAAAGTAATCTCTAAATTTTGTCATTCCAGATAAGTTTTCAGATCATGGCTAGGACAAGCAACTCAGATGTGTCTTGAGTCATCATCTTTCAGAATCTGAGAAAGGAGTGGATGAAATATCTGCAACATCTGGCTTGAAATCATTAATGTCATTAGAGTAACCCATACCTCAAGGCAGAGTGTTAAGTGACAAATGAATTGCCAGAGGGCTTGCTGATTAACTTCTTAATCGCCTATCAGAAAACTGAAAGAAAGTATTTGTTTCAGTGGTGTTTGGTGTTGAAGGCTCTGAAAAAAGATCAACACATTCCCCCCAAAACTAAATCACGCAGTATTGGGATTACCTGATCTTTAAATACGTGGTTGAATTCCTTCCGGAAACCCCCTTGGGAGCTTCTACTCCCATATTTAACTTTTACTCCTATTTCCTTTGTGAAAATTCATCTGTTTATACTTTCTATATCTACTGTATATCTACCAGAACCAATTTCATATAGGTTTTTACATTTATTTGCTTAGATTTGCACGAAGAAGTGTCTTACAATTTTTAGTATCTTCTCTCTTTGAATGGTTATTTTGTACGCTTTTTAAAACTTATTCATCCACTCTACTTTTCTGTTTTTTAATTAATTTCCTTCTTATTACATCTTTATTAATTTAGGAAAGATGTATTCAAACAGGATTCTAAAAGCAAGGTGGAAGGTACAGCCAGGATTCCCTTACATGAGGCTTTGTGTACTGTGTTAAGAGCCTGGATTTCTGTGGGTAAGAAAAAGCCACTGGGCAAGGGGGTGGCATAACATGATATATCTAATAGGATAATAACCCCATCAGTAGCACAAATAATGGACAGAAAAGGGAAAAGATTTGGAATAGAGTTATAAGGTAAAGGACTCTGCTCAATGGAAGATTATGGAGGCAAACGGAGGCAAGCACTGCCGCAGACATGATAGAGGAGGAGGAACAGTGAGAGAAGCTATTTAAAAGGGGAAATTGACAAGACTCAGTGATCAAATACATGCAAGTGTTACATAATGGATAAGAGATGGGGCTGACACCAAGATGTCCAGCTTGGTTCACTGATTTTACCTTCCATCAGGAAAGAAAATGTTGAGAAAGAGTAGTTGTGATGGAGCGATGGAGGCAGTGTCTGAACTGAATGTGATTTCAGACATGTAAGGTTGTGCCTACGTGTGGGTGGGCATCTTTGTGATTTTCCACACAGTGCATATAATTTCACTGAAAGTTCAAACACAATGTAATACTGTAGAAAAGAAAATGAAGCAAAGACAAATTAGAAAGAAACCGCAGGAGTCCAGATGCTGACTATACCTCATCAAAATGAAGTGTCCCAGTCAAAGGACTGAGGTCATCTTTAGCGGTCTCATCCACAGCCCACTGGAGTCGGACGGCTCCCTTTCCTCCTGGGGACCGGACAACTGTCAATGTCACATGTGAATTAGGGTCATCAGACAAAAGGGATTCATCAATCATTACCTGAAAGAAAAAGAAATCCGGTAAGGTTAAAAACAAAAGTAGGAACAACAAACAGAATCTTATTTCTATTTACAATGACTGCAACTTCTGAATTTAGAACTTTATCCACGTCATGTTATAATCAGGGGGCAGAAAAGATATTTCAACACACCCCATTTCCTTTTTGTCCTCGACATTCAGGTACTTGGTATTTCCTAGCTATTCTTGCAAATAAGTGAAGAATGTGACTGAATTCTGACCAAAAATATATAAATACAAGTAACATATGTTACTCATAGTATGGCCATCCACTTCTCACACAATCCTCCATATCTCTTTTCCCCACTTGCCCAGCGAAGAGGTAACTCCCAGGACCTAGAAGAAGACAGAGCCACGAGATGGAAAGAGTCTGGTACCCAAGATGCAAGGTGAAGAAGAGGTGTAAGTAAAACCCCATGTGGGAACACTGATGGAGGACACTTGCATGGAAAAAAAAAAAGAACAGGAAGAGAAATATCTTGTTAACAAAGTAAGATTTGGGGGTTCTTTTAATGACCATTAGACATTCCACGTAATATGGACTTAAACTGTCTTCTGAATGACCTGCAGTTTGCCAAGTTTAGTAAATTCAAATTTAAGAGACTTTATTATCATGACATAAAGAGAGAAGGAATTTCAGTACGTTAATTTACCTATACTATTTATTTTCTACACAATATCCTTATTAAGAGGCGTGGTTCAACTGAATTACATATATTGACTCTGTGAAGCCAAGTCCAAATTGAGTGCATAATATCCACCTGTTTATGTAAATACAAAACACAACACAATGTTCTCCATTTTCAAGATAGACAACTAATCTAATTTTGGTTTGGTTTTCCATGAGATTTTGCATTGATGCCTAGAGTAGGGATTTGGAGCAAACTGATGCTGAGTTTCTGTTCTATGTCAGTTGCACATACTTAAACTTACGGAAGCTCACAGAAATCTGTGAGGGCCAACTATTTATACATGTATTTGGAGACGAGGAACCTGGAATCTAGTTAAGATGTGTGACACCACACCCAGTATGATTCATGTCACTCCTCAGAGGCTGGAAGTACTGAATAAGACATAAACAAAATGAGGAAGGAAAAAATCCATTATAAACCAACTGCACATACAAGTCCTTCTTGTTTTCATAGATAATATTTTCACTTAGGTTTCACAAGGTTTTCTTGAGCCTCTGCTATTCTCAGTGCTTTATATACTTAGCACATTGTCCTCATGAACAGCTTATTAATCTTGACAGATTTATATTTACGATCTTTTCTCAATGTTCCTCAGTGCTGAATCTAATCTGTAGCATCAAATAAGGCTAACAGAATGTTCACTGTGTGCCCAGTATTATCTTAGATACAAGTTAAAAGATAAACCCCATGTTATCGTAAGCCTTTGGAAGAAAGAAAGATAGGATAAAAGGAAAGTGGCCACAAAGGGCTGGTAACAAGCTAATAGTAACACCAGCAACAATAAAAACAGCAATTGACACCTGCTGAATTATAGCCCAGTTATAGGTGCTTCACATATATCAATTCATTTACTCCTCATAACAAGGGTTATGAGGGATAACACATTAGGGGTTTGGGTGACCTAACTCTTACTTTTAGACTGTAAGACAAACTGGAAATTTGAGGCTATTTCGAAACAGTAAGCTATGAGATCCCAGACCAAGAATGCTTTAAAATTTATACACTATAGTACTTAAAATAAAATGAATAAACAGGGGGGGGGGGGGGGAAGGGGGGGGGGGGGCCGGGGGAATTTAACTCCTTCCACCCCCGGGAAGAGAAAAAAATAAAAAATATAAAAAAAAAAATAGAGAAGGAAGAGGGGAAAAAAAAGAAAATGATGGGGGGGGGGGGGGGGAGAAAATGGGTAAGCGCCACAAAAAAAGAAAAACAAAAGAAAAAGAAGGAGGGGGGGAGGGAAGGGAAGGGAAAAAAAAAAAAAAAAAAAGGGGGAAAAGTTTTTTATGAAGAGTAACGTAAGTCTTCATTTCCCCTAACAGTGAAAGCTTATAAATAAGCCAACCAGTATCTAAGTCCAAAAAGAGTAAAAGTTAAAAACAAAAACATTATTATAAGGTTTCACCAGTTAGAGGTGTGACTGCTAAGCCTGAAACTTTCATCTAACTTCAGAAGCTAATGGAGACATTGTGTAAAATTTAAACTACACATTGATATGTACTGAAATATTTCTTTGCATATATGCCAAGAAAGCAAGCCCAGGTAGAAATACAACAAAATATTAGCGATGCCTATCTCAGGGTAGTAAAACTACGAATACTTTTACTCTCTTCTTTATATATATTTTTGTCTTTTTCCAGACTTTTTATGTTGCCTGGGGACATTCACAGCTACTTTCCTGGGAACCTGCAACTCCTCACAAACACTCATGTCTGCCTGTCCGCCCCTCCCACCCCACGGAAAGAAGAGCCTCACTAGGCTACAGCAGGAGTATGTTCTGTCCCTCTTATGGTTTCCATTTTCTTATGAAGTTGAAATTTCAGTGATCGAAACATTTGACGATTATTAGGGTACTGATATATGGGACGCCCAGCACAGGTAGGCAAGTAGTAGATCTAGCGCTGCATCCACATGCATCCACACAATAGCAATGGCGATGGGCATTACAGCAATTTGTTGTTATTTAAAATTCTCAATGGTGAATTACTGACTATACATAATTAAATGTATCCCAATACATTTAATTAAATGAAGGGAGCAGTGACAGAAGGAGCCAGAAAAGTTATTCTGTATCCCAAAATTAACTAAATATTTTTATGATTATTTCATCTCAGAATTTTCTTTGAAAGGTAAAGTCATAATTATGACACAACTATCATGTCATAATAATTATGATACAATTATCATGTCATAATAATTATGATACAATTTAGAGTACTTTATTGTATATTTAAGACATAGGGATAATTTAGTAGTAATCACTAAACCGGGCTGCACAAATGATTAGTTTTTTTTTTCTCTTAGTGGTTGAACCAATAATAATTGGGCTCCCTTTTCCAGGTCTCAGAAGTAGACAACCAATGATGAATAACAGAGGAAAAAAAGAGAAGGAATAGAGAGAAACACAAGAGCTGGGGTGATTGTGGTGTTTTGTTCAATATAAGTCAAGAAAGAGTACCAGAAGGCAAGGTGACAAATACCTCCCCAGCTAAATCCACCTGGGGTATAACACGACATCGATGACAGAATCTGGCCTTGCGACCAGGATGGTGGTCTGGCACCAGGGCAGGCAGAGAACAAATGTATGGGCAAAAAAGTATATCTTGGTCTATCAAGTCCAGTAAGTAGGAATCTGTTCCATTTTGGAATTGTCTAATGTAAGGGATCTCATTACTATCAAACTTCATAGATTGGATGATTAGCCTCTTATTCAATAGTCAACTCAAAAGAGCCTCCTTGAGAATAGAATCACAAGTAAACAGTTAGGAGGAGGTTTTTAAAAAAAAAGAAAGACATCTTTCTACTAAAAATTACACAAAACATTAGCCTAGAGGAACTGCCTCCTCCCCCAATATGTTTAACTTACAGTCTTTTCTTCAAATCCAAATACTCCAAATGGAGAATCATTTTGTGGAATAACAACAGTTACTACAGTATCATCACCAAGCCTGCCACCTCCAGTCACCCTGATTAAGGAAATACTGAAAGTCTCCATGAGTTCAAATTCCACGTCATCAGTAATGGTGATTTCAATCATGGCAGCGACCTACCAAAGAAAAGGAAAGAAGGAAATGGGAGAGAAAGAGAAACAAGAGAGGGAGGGAGAGGGAAGGAGTATACAATGTAACAGCAATTTTTGAACACATACAGTTTATTTTTTAGATGAAATTTATAAACAGCACAAAAGAAAAATGCCAGATTTTTTGCCTGTTATGTTTGTAACACATTTTAAAGTCACATATATTTATTATATTTCAAAGTCAGAAGTCTACAGCCTATTATTTTTATTATATAGAAAACTACATATGTAATAAAATATAGTGCTTTGGGATACCAAAAAAAAACAGTGAAGCCTTACTCTTGAACAAAAATATATAAGATGCCGTGTAGGCCCTAATAAGCTTTGCAGAAACGTAAATTTTAGTATACTTGGTATTAACATTACATGATATAAAATGGTACCATAGAAATTATCATTGTCCCCTCCAATTAGAATATATCCCTTTGGTTCCAAACATTGTTCTTATAATGTAGGGGAAAAAGAAAGGCGGGAAGAAAACTTGTGCTGTTCTTAAATGTTTGTGATGAGGACTTTGTTCATTTGTCTGGGTATACTTAAAAAGTTTTTATAACTTATAAGTAACTAAAACTTAGTGCAGCTGGTGATTTCACTGTTGGTGATAATAAATATCCCAGCTATATCTCATATTTAAATACTTTTGTGTCTGAAAGGGAAATTTCAGTACTTTGACATAGGCACTTACTAGAAAATGAAATTTTCTACTTAAATCTACCTAAAACCTTTAATTTAATAACAGATAAAAGTGAGAAATCTGAATGTCACACTTGAAGAGGCAGAAACCTGAAAAAAAATCAAATGCTAAAGTGGAAGCTTATTAAAGTATCTGCACCTCAAATATGTACTTTTCTACATGATGGTAAATTTAATAATAATGATTATCTTAAGAAAGCTGCTAAATGATAAACTTCAACCCAATGCACAGAATAAAGTGCTAATAACAGACTTAAAGTTAGAAGACTTCTTCAGTGAGAAACCAACTTATTTGTTTCTGCTTTTAACATAAAAAGTTTTTCCTACTTTTAGTAGAAAATATTTTAATTTCTAAATTTGTTAAAATGTCATGACTTCAAATATTAACAAAAATGGGCCTTTATGTGTAAGAAAATCTAGATCTGTATGCTTATTTTTAGCTGCATTTACTGCCCACCAATGTACAACTAATAAGTTGCACACAATGCTAATTAGTCTAGGCAAACTCAGACTATTTAGACAGATACTGCTCTTTGAAGTTGGTAACATTTTCATGGTTGTTCACATGCTTTTTCCATTTATCAATTTAAAAATATATATGAGATCCTATTCTTACATATTACAAAAATGTCATAATCCTTGTGAAATAATTTGTAATTGCTAAGACTGGTTGCCACAAATCTAGAATATTGTCTTTTGATTTTTTTCCAAGCTTGAAATATTTTGTTCCTTTTCTGTCATTTTAGTCTTTTCTATATCAATAAAAATGTTTGGAATGTTACATAATAAATGTGAATGCTTGTAGTGCAATTCCTAAATAGATATCTGTATTTACAAGCATTAAGAAATAAAAGAACCTACAATTCATAGGAACAGTTCATCAGGCAGTTTTTTTTTATACATTCTTAGATACCTCTAAGCCAATTATCATCTTCTTTTATAACTTCTTTTTAAAATAGAATCAGGTGGAGAAGTTCAGAGAATGGTGAGATACTTGACTTTTTATTTCTCTTCCTATGTCCATTAATTAACTATACTTTAACAATATTTCTGTCTGGCTTAACAAAAGTTTAGAGTACAATTTGCAATTGCTATTGCACAGTCATTTAATGGATACCTATAAAATGTTTGAGGTAGAGCCAAAAAATGCTAATATGTTCATAACTAGCATACTTGTTTATCTGCAAATTCAAGAATCCCATGAGATGGCTTAAAGTCTCCCAGGCCAGCACTGTCCAGTGTTGCTTTCCAATAAACATTTACTGCCCCAAAGCTCCCAGCCAGCCGGACTACTGGAACTCGGAGAATGTTCAAGGGTGGAGGCACCTCGTACGCAGTAATAACCCCAACAGCATCCTTCAAGTGAAGAATACAAGTTAAAATGCAAGACAAAAGTAATTCTTATAAGTCATCACTTTCTAAATTCATTTTTGGTACCTGTAGTTCCTAAACTTCACCCATCAAAGTAGAAATCTACAGTTGGATTATAAGCACGCATAATATGTGTTCAGAACTCTTACACCTAAATGCAGTAGGAATAAATGTACATAATCCTTTGGCCTAGCTCAAAGAAAACTTAGAATTAGTTTGTAAGACAAATTTTAAGATATATTTATAAATATCTTCAAGCAAAGCCACGTGTTTTGCAGAAAATACATGACACTGGCCAAATTGGCAGGCGCAAGCTCCTATTTACTATAGACACAGGAAAGTTCATCTCACTCTGGTAACATGAAACTTAAAAATTCCTCTGGGATCATCATTTTCTTCTATCATTATCGCAACTGTTTCCATCCCAGGCCTCCGAACACTTGGCTGGCCCGCAGAGAAGTCAGAGTTCACCAGGTACACCTTGGTGATGTTGACAATAAATCCTTCCTCCAATTCAGGAGCATCATCCTGGAGGTGGGCAGGGAGGCAGGGGGAGAGAAATGGTCTTTACTTTTTTAAAATATATATACTTTGGGTAGTTGATATTTTTCAGTAAGGAACAGAGGAGTCTCCACATGAATGGATAGCTATATCACACATGCAAAGAAGAATTTCTCTGTATATTTGAATACGTTCCTAGTGTCAACATCAGAATCTTAGGGGATATTCAAGTTTTTCAGCAATGTTTTAATAGAAGCCTCATATTTATTAGAAAGTAAAAAAATTTTTAGAATTCCATCCTGCAATTTTGACCAGGTTGTATTAAATGTTTTACACGTATGATACCTGCCCCCCAAATCTAGGACAAACTGGAAAATGCTACATCTTAAAAGTAAAAGTCCTAGACTTGTAAATCTAGACATAACCCTACATTTCAATTAACTTTTTCAAGATTGTTACCTTATTTTTGAATAGATGATAAAAAATTTGAAAAGGTGAAGAGAATACATAGTGAAAAGGAAAGGAAACTTTTGTTCTGTCCCATCCTCCATGTCTTTCCTATGACTTCTCCAGAAGCCACTATCACCTAATACCATTAAGTACCACTGTTAGTACCACTAATAGTTACATATTATATTTAACAATATATGATATACTTAATATTATATATAGTATTATAACATGTAAGTACAATATTTAATTATATCATATTATTAATAACACTATTGACCACTTTCAGTTTCTTAAGGATCATTGAGAAAGTGCTAAAACCAGATCTAAATGATCTGAAGATTCAAGTAATTGTTTGATTGCTTGATTCAAGTAATTGTTTCATTAAGTGAAAATATTGCCCTATCAAATGAAAAATAAAAATAACTAGATTGATCTGCACATTTTATGATTTCATTTACAAATTAAAAACAATTAACCAGACAAAATAGTGGATTGAATCAGACATATAATCATATTTATTGCAGCCTAGACTCACCGGCAAAATGGCAACTTGGGCATAAGTTTTTTTTATGTTTTCTTTCATTATTATTATTGTTTCTTGTAGCACATAATCTTCATTCTCGGTAGCTTGATTATTGATGGGCAATAAGAAATTAGGTTTAGCTATCAAATGAATGGCCACATCTCCACGTAGTCCTTTATGTCGAACAATTTGTAACTGAAGAATGGTGATGTTCTCTGTGAGAGAGATGCCTCAAGTAACTAAGATTTTCTATCTGCTGTCAGTGCTATTCCAAGCCCTTACGGTACAGTGTTCTGCACTATCTCTTTTAGACAGTTAAGGAAAGAGAAGGGAAATAAAGACAATGTTCATTCCCAAGGAGTATTTTGTGCTTTGCTCACCCTTGTCCCCAAAGTTGTGCTGAGAATCACCATACACTGAGCTAGCACTATAACCCAGTTCTAAACCCTCACTTCTGGTTTTCTAACATACTTTCCTACATTGCCTATGTCATGCGCTTTAACAACTTGCTGAAGTCTTAGGAAAGTGTACACATGCAGGTTGAGCAGAGGTGCTAATTACAAATGCTAAGGAGATTCTTCAAAAATGAAAAATTAAACACCAAAGTCATCACTTAATAACTAATGATTAAAAAATTTTGTTTTTATAGTGGCATGTCCATCATGAGGCTCACAGTATTCCATAGCACCTATTTTTATTTCATTTCTTAGATTTTTAAAATTTAATTTGCCATATAGATGAAGAAAGAAATGTTTGTCAATCTTCCCTACTCATATGTGAGTTTCTAATAAACAAATACGGTGTCTTTGTTTTCAGTATGCACAGTACAATTTTTGGTACTTACTAGCTGCTTCAAAATTATATGTTAAATAAATAAATGAACAGATCATTTTATTTTATTTCGATTGCTTCTGTTCCTATATAAACAGAAATAAAAAGGCCCAGGTGCATAATTACATTTTTTCCATCAACTCTTTAAATGAAAGGTCCTTGAAAAATGTCCATGTTGCTAACAGAAACTTTTAGAAACTTTACACAGCATACTCTAAACACATACATATTATATACAGGGGTGGACAAAAGTAGGTTTACAGTTGTGAGTGTGCAAACCAGAGTTTATTCTTATATTATTTATTAATTATTCTATTATTTGTATTAATATTTCCATACAAACTGTCATCTTACTTTTGACAACCCCTGTATATATACTTTTTAAAAAATATTTTATTAATTTATTTTGAGAGAAGAGGGAAGGAAGAAAGAAAGAGAGAGAGAAACATTGATATGTGAGAGAGACATTAATCAGTTGCCTCTCACAGGCCCCCAACCGGGAACTTGGCCTGCAACCCAGACATGTGGCCCAACCTGGAATTAAACCGATGTCCTTAATGATTTTTAAGCCAGTGCTTAATCCTCTGAGCCACGCCAGCCAGGGCACATATTCTTTTATTTAAGTAAGTCAAATGACCTTAACTACAAAAGTCCACTTATAAACTTACATGAAGTTATTCATGTAAAGATTTCAGCAGTAAGCTCAAAGGAAATAGGGACTGATCACTGTATTTCAGAGCGAATATTATTCTAACTACTACTTCAGGTTATAGTTAAGAGCTGGAGTACCATATGCATTTCTTTGTGTTGCTCCTTGTTTCCTGTAACTATTGAAAATCTATAGAGAGGAAATCAGAGTGAGGAAAAAGGACAGCTAAATGAAGGATGAAAAAGAGAAAGTAAAATAAAAATCAATCCCCTTTACTGCAATGATTTACTAAAATATGAGTATTTCTATTATGATAGAAATGTCTCAAAAAAGTAAAAGTATTTTCTATATCATTATTACTGAATGCTTACATTATCATAAAATTCAGTAAATATAAAGTAAAAAGGATTACCACCTGTCAAACTAAATAATGTCATATAAAAAGAGAAATGTACATCTCTAGTAAATATTTGAGTTAAATTATCCAATTAAACTTACTAGAAAAATGTTCAACAAAATTTACCTTTAGGCTCTGCTACTCTCACATAGAGAGACTCAGCATGCCAGCCCACCACTCCATAGGGTGAGTCGCTGGGCAGAGTGGTTATCACAGACTTCTTTCTTTTCTGATCTATAGTGGCGCCTTTGGATGGGTCCGCAACCCCTTCCGTGCTGATATGGGTGAGTGTTACAATCACAGTTTCTGATAATTCTGGTACATCGTCAGCAAGAACAGTCAGAGTGATTGTAGATAGTGCCTGGCCTTCAGAAAATGAAATCTAAAATTTTTTAAAAGAGAAGGTTTTACTTATTTTTTCATTATCACTGTGCAGTAAGAATATCAGAAGGTTAGATTTTTTTTTCATATTGGTTACAACTTAAATAACAAGAGATATTTAAGAACATATCTAGAAATCAAACATCTTTCATGTTAATAGTGGAAGCTTGTTAAGAAAAAAGGTAGGCCATTACTAAAACTTAAGCAAATAAAACATGTAGCCAAATTGCCATATCCTGAAGCCTACATTCTGTTAAAATACAGAGTACATGGTCTCCCCTCTGGGAATCTATGTCCTAGATACCATACATAAAAATCTATAAATATTAAGAAGGTGGCATATAGTTTAAACATTTTTCTTTACAAAAGTTTTCCAGAATTGCTATTTCCTTAGGGAAACTTTGATGACATGTATCATTTAACAATGATTTAACCAAAACAGAGGTAGAGAACAAAGAATAGGCAGAGACACAGATCAGAATCTCTCCCTTTTTAAAAAAATTTTTATTGCATTTTTTCCATTATCATTTAGTCCCCTTACACTCTCCTCTCTGCTGCAATCACCGCACTGTTGCAATCACCACACTGTTGCCCATGTCCATGAGCCTTTTTCCCTTTTTTGCTCAATCCCTCCACCCCAACCTCTCCTCACTTAGCTGTCATCCTGTTCTCTATCTATGAGTCTGTCTCTATTTGGCTGTTCAGTTTAGATCATCTCTCTTCTCCTTTCATGTCTCCACTGTCTGAAGGGTCAAATCCAAATTTGCTTGATTGCATCAAGTTCTTTCCAATAAGGTTTCTTTCTGCTGCTTGAATTTCATTTACCATCATTCCCCACCTCATGCCTTATTCTCCAGCAATATGGCTGCACAATTATTCAAACTAGCATTACAGGCCTATTTTGTTGACATTCATCTCTCCACCTTGAAAAGGTACTTGAGGATATAAACTAAAGAGCTTTATTAATGAAATCAGGAGTCAGAAAACTACTGCCCTTTGACCAAATCCATTTTTTATAAATGGAGTTTTATTAGAATACAAGCTCATTCAATTGCCCATCGTCTATTGCTGTAAGTGTATGACAAAGCTGGGAAAGAAACTATATAGACCTCAATGTCTAAAATATTTACTATGGGACCTTTTACAGAAAGAATTTACTGACCTTTGGGTAAAATAATTATGCATTTACAGTTAATAGTATTAAAATACTATTATGCATTTAAATTATAATTTTAATGTTTATATAAGATATATTAATTGGGAAAATATAATTCAGAACACACAGAATCTGAGAGAGATAACTCATAGTTTTTGTAGCATGCATAAAGTAAATATTCAGTGCAATAAAATTTGCCATATTAAGACAGTGAAGTGCTACTCACCTTTCAAATGATATAGAAAGCTGGAAATAATGGACCAAAATACCCATCTTTCAAGGGAATTTTTCAGGGAAGCATCTGGGCTAAATACATGGATTAATCTATGAAACCCAAGCCAAGGAGACAACCCATTTTCCAATGAGGAACTAAAGGCTCCTTGAACCCTCCTTGTGAGTCTTCTGCTTCTTTGGCCCATTCTGAACCTGTGCCCCAATTTTATGCTATCTTCCAACAGTAGATAATGTGATCCTCTGCTCAGATATCTTCTTGAGGCTAATACACCTATCCCCCAGCTGCTTGGAATAAGAGTCTCTGTGCTTCTTTCTGGGAACTGCCTTAGCTGCAGCAACTGTTTCACCCAAGGTTATGCCCCACCCAGAGGGAAACTGAAGGTCAAGGGTGGCTAAAACAGATGCAACATCTCAGTCCCTTGACCCGAATGGAAATAACTGCAAAGGACCAGCTTAGCTCCAGAACCCCTTCATAGGTTCAACAATCACCTGTGATCAACTTCTCCCTCTGCACATTCCCATCTTCCTCACTTCATTCTAAGTGTACCTTCCCAATGAACTTAAACCTTCAATCTCAGAATCTATTTACAGGAAACTAAGGTTACATCACTCAACATCTCATCATCTCTGGTCTGCTTTTTTATACATCTGGCTATTTTATACAAACTTATTTACTATTTACTGCTTCCATTTACCCAAATCTTGAAACCACATTTCCATCCCCAGTTTGATTGGTTTTATCCTCTGACAATGTAATGGATACACAATTTGGCCAACCAATGTACTGAGCCTTAAAAGGAATGACTTTTTATAGATAACTTTTGCATTATATAGAAAAAAAGAACAACAATCACAATAAAACTAACCTTAAATTGTATCCCTCTCTATGGTGATTATTAGGAATCCAATGTTGACATGGTCAAACTCAAACACTTCATCCATAAAGCAGGGTTTGGTGCCATGCATTAGTAATAACCCTAATTTAGAAGTGACTCATATTATTTTATAAATTACATACCACTCCTGAGGTAGGAAATATATCACTGATACTTCCGTCAGCTTCCCATGCTATGGTTATACGACCGTAAGTTCCTTTTAAGCGCTCAACATTCAAGGTTAGTAGGCTATCTTGCTCCATTTCTTCTACTTGCTTATATAGTGAATTCTGAAAAATTACATGAAGTCACAAAGGTTATTTGAAATTACCTATGTAGGCTTTTACTTCATGCTACCACACATCTGCAAACTTCAGTGTGAAGCAATATGATACATTAAGTGAAAAACAATAATTAAAAATTATAATATAGGATGGCTGTGATTCCATTTAAAAACATGCATGTTTGAAAAATACTAAGTTAAAATGAATGGAAATGTAATTTTTTAGGATTATATTTACTTTTCCTGCTTCTATATTTTTTAATTTTCTTCAATGAACATATATTATTTTTATACTCAGAAACAACACTTTTTTTAAAATGTACATAGCACATAACAAGTTTGTAGAATGGAAAGGACACTAGAGTTAGGAGGAGAAGGAAGTTTTTCTTTGTAACCTCTGGTAATCCTTCTAGGTCTTTGCTTTCTATTTATAAAGAGTTTAATGAACATGATCTCCAAGGTCCCACCCAAATGAATGATGCCATGAGAATCAGGCTCTTTCTGATTCTTTACAGTGTCTCTTATCCTTAAATTTATATTCTCTGAAATGTTTCTACAGGCTGTCCTGTTTCCATTGATGTTTCATCTAGCTCATGTTCTTTATGACTATTGTTCCTGCCAGAAATATCCTTTTCCATTATGTTTGAATTCCTTACTGTTTTCTCATCTCTACTTCTAGCCTCCTTCCTTTGTTCCAAACTGACTTTTACCTCCGGGTGCCTATAATATTCCTTGGTTGACACTTGCAACATCTCTTGCCAGCCATTTAATGAACTTTTCCCTCAAAATCAATATTTCAAAGAGTTCCCTCTTTACAATATTCCTGGTTTCTCTATACACTTTAAAGCAAAAATATAGAGCATAAAGATTTTTTAAAATCGTTCCAGTAAGATTTGTCTTGTCCTTTTACTGTGGTAATCTGAAGAGATGTCCCCATTAATTTCTTTAAGTTTCTATTTAGAATGTTAATTTGAATAGATATCCAATCTTATAGCAGTATTTTACACAGCATTTTAACACAATGTTACAGATGTTACTTGGTAATAAAGTCTTGCTCAAGGCAATGAAACACTCCTGCAGAAAATGCCTTGATTTTAAATATGCATATAATTAGTTTTTATTAAGAAAATGCCTTTTTAAAAAGAAGCTCTCTCTGGCTCCATGCCCTCTATTAACAGAGGTAAGTAAAATGAAGACTTAATACAGCCTGAAAATATTCAAGAAACTCTCATTATCTACTAAATCTCATCTTAGATTGAGGCTGTCCTAACACAAAAGATCTGTACTGAGGAATTCTCCTGAAGAGGTTGAAGAAACTCAGGACACTATCTATTGATAGAATTAAACCACTTTGAATTGATGCCTCTGGAACAATTTTGGAACAAGCTTCAGGAAGAGAAATCTATCATGCTAAAATGGGTGAGAGAGAATATACTCTCCATCTCCAGCAAGGCTTGTAGGCGAGAATGGAACTGGGAAGCACAGCATGCTGTTTTTGTCCCAGGAGCCCCGGCTCTGCTCTATGTAGTTGTATGAGACCCTGGGAAGGCATGTGAGTTTTCCTTCCTCTCCAGCAGAACAACAAGTTCATACTAAGAACCCACTGTGTGCCAGGTACTTTTCTCGCCGGTGATACAGCTGAGAACAACGTGGTATTCCAGATCTCATACTCTTCAATTCTAGTACAAAGAAGCTAACAATAGACAAATGGGTCTATTGTAAGAGTCATATGGAAGAATAAGGCAGAAAAACAAGGTGTTAATTGATAATGAGGAGTTTAAATTTCCAACCAGGGAAGGCCTTTCTGGTAATGTGACATTTTAGCAGAGACCTGAATAAAGTAAGGAAACGAGTTATGTACAAAGGTTGTCTTCTTTCTTTCCAATGCCCCTACTTGGCCTTGGTCCCTATAGCTCACGTCTTAGAGCTGTGTACTGTCCTAACACAGTAGCTGCTGGCCACATGTGCCTACTGAGCATTAGAAATGTGACTAGACTGTCAGTGTAAAATACACACTGAATTTGAAGATTAAGTATGAAAAAAGAATGTAAAATAGTTCATCGGGAATTTCGTATTGATTACATGTTGAAATGATAATGTTTCAAATATACTGGGTTAAATAAAACATATTAGAAATAACTTCATCTGTTTTTTATGTGACTACTAGAACACTTAAAATTATGTATCTGACTCACATTATATTTCTATAATATAATATATAAGCTGACCTGCCTTGAGTTCAGAGACGGGCCAGGCTGGGTAACAGGGCGATCCTACAACCCCTGTAAGCAACTGACTCAGGACATTAGTATATCGAAAACTCATCTCATCCCCGAAACCTGCTCTTCCTGCCGTGGTCTGTATCTTGGTGAAAGGCAACCCCTGCTTCCTGTAGCTTCATCATTTGTTGCTGGATTATTTCAATAGTCTCCTAACTGGACTATTTCTGTCCTTGCCCACTTATAATCTTCTTTCAATTATATGGCAAGAGTGTCCTTTTAAAAGGTCAGATCATGTTGCTCTTCTACTCAGACCCTCCAAAAGCTCCCCATATCCCCCGAAATACCCCATTTCCCTCAGAGGCCAAATTCATTATGACACGAAGGCCCTTGTGTAGAAGAATTAGCCTAGCAGGCCTTACAGCAGTCCTTCAAAAGGCTTCCTTCTAAGACTGGCCCTTCGCTGGTGTCTGGGTACTTGAATTTCAGGACAGTTCCTGTTCCAGGACTGATTCCAAGCTTCTTTGCCCAAACTGTTTGAACATACAATGTGGTTTATGCTGAAGGCCCGTTTTCTTTCTGGAGTCTGGAATTTTGCTATGTGCCAGATGATCAGTCCCCAATTTAAACCCTGAGTAGCTATTCTCTAACAAGGTTTCCTGGTTGGCAATGCTTCTTGCGTGTTGTCACAAATTCATTCAATGCTGCAGTGTGTTCTGTGTGACTCCACTGTGAGGGAACTCCTAGAAATTGGCACCTACTTTCCTCTGGACTTCATCCTATGAGGCTCTTCCCTGAGCTGATTTTGTATTGTGGTCTTTCAGTCACCAAAATAATGGTGAGTCCTCCTTGCAAGTCGTTGAGCCTGCGGGGGCTGGCGGGGATCCCTGACACAGGGCTCTGGTCATTCACCTGGTGGGCCCCACCTGCTCCAGCAGAGTTCAGACGGGCAAGGCCTCCCTTCAGGGCCACTTGCCTGCTGATGGTTTCTCCCTGCCTTGATTGCTCTTCCCCCAGAAATGTGTGTAACTCACTCCCTCATCTGCCCCAGGCCTTTGTTCTCAAGCCACTGCTCAGAGCAGCCCTCCTTGACATCCCATTTTCCATTCCCCTGAGCACAGCCTCCACCCCTTCCCTCCCTCTCTCCTCTGCCTTCCATGCCTAATGATTCTCGGTGGTGCTTATTACCATCAGATATAGTTACAGATGTTTCTTATGTCTTTGTTTATTGTCTTTCTCCCCTGACCCCTGTCACTACAATTTAAGGACCATGAGGACAGAGATTTTTAGTTTTTCATTTTCTGACATACCTCTAGCATCTGAAACAGGATCTGGTTCTAAATACATAGGTGTTTGTTAAATATCTGCTGAATGAATGAATGAGTGAATGAACGAACAAACCAATGAACAAACCTGCTTGTTACCCAGTTCTGGCAAATGAGACATGAGAAGAATTTCTAGAGGCTCTTGAGAAACTTATCCCTTACACTGAGAGCTACATAAAGAATCTCACTCTCCCTAGATGGACCTGAACAGGGAAGCAGTAGCCTTAACAACAAAATAAGAGATCATCTTTGTGTTAGCCAAGTGGAGATATAAAAATAATCCGAGCCACGGTGACACAGTATTCAATCAGCCTTGAAGTCCACCTTCTCTGTGGACAGGCTCTAGGTGAGTAAGCCAATTTGAGATAGGTTTTCCTTACTTGCAGAATATTTCAAAGAAAGACACATGACAGCTGTATCTATAACTCTAAGAAATCAGGATACTTCATAAACAGGAATTAGGCAATATGAATGGGTGTCCTTTTACTATTTGGTAAAGGAATGTAAAGTCTGGGCATAGAAGTTGACCTGGACAATTTGCACAGTTCTCTTTCCTCAGGAGAAAGTGTGTCCATGTGTACCATGCACATACAGTTACAAAACAGTCTATCTTTCTCTCTCTTCCCCCTCCCCACAGAAATAGCAAAGGCACAAAAGGACAGTATATATTTGCAGATAATGTGAGTGACCAGACACAATGTTTGGAGTTTGCTTCATCATTATCCCCTGGAAACAGGGCTAACAGCAAATTCAAACTCCTGTATCAAAGCCAACTGGTAACATTTCAAATTCAATTTTATAAAAGGAAATATACAAAAAAAAATAAAGTTTAGGACAAGCTGACCCAGAGAGTCCAGTGTGTAAGACTGTAAATTGTAAGGCATCAGTAGAATTCAGCTTAGAATGCACAGTAGGGGGTGAAGTAGGGAGAGGGTAGGACGAGACACTTAAGATACTCAAAGCAGGACTCACTGAGTGCTGATAATAGCTCATATATGAATACAGTGAATAAATCATTCTCACTTCTCAGTGTGGGATCTTTGGTATCGTTACCTGAGCAAATCCAACAACTCCATAGGCATCATCGTTAGACAGAATAGTTATTTTTACATAACTATTAATACCAATCTCTGCTCCTCCTTTGGGATTTTTAAGCTGAACTCTGAAGGATTCTTCCTCTTCTGGAACTGTATCATCAACAATATTTACTGCGATTACAGCTTCTCTGTCACCAGGTTCAAATATCAGTTCACCTGAACTGGCGTAAAAAGAATGTATAAAATAAGTCAACTACAGCAAATTAAAGACATATACATAGTACATTACTCATAAAATTCTTGTAACATTGACTGACATTTAAAGTTTAGAAAAATCACATTGCATAAATAAAATTTTAACCTGAAGTGTTCACACAGTACTAACTACCTTGGTAAAATAAACATTAAAAATGGATAACAGCCAAATTTCTGGTTTAAAAATAGCTCTTCTATACATTTTTCAGTCATTAAAAAAAAAGACTTAGAATTTAGGTGCTATATAAAATTATGGTGAGTACAGAGACAGCATAAAATGTTGAACCTACCTTGGAATAAAGTCAGACTGGCTTGAGACATAGGCCAGCTCATATATGTGTGAATGGGTGGCTCCCACTAATGCAATTAAATTCTTGCTTGAAGTAAGGGACTTTACTGTAACAGAAGTTGCATCGTGAGCCGAAGGTGCTTCCAGAACGAGAGAGAACTGATTCAGCTCTGAATTCCAGCAGTAAAGAGCAGACACAGGTTGGCCAATAAAAAGTATGTGGACTGCAGGAAGGAAGAACAGGGCAACTAGAGTGAAATATAACTTGTCACCTCACATGCTCTCTATACCAGTGCCACGGCAAAATCTCTCCAACTCTTAAAGCTGCACTTTGATTTCTTAAGTAATACCTGACTCAGCTTGTAGAATAACTGAATGTAAATAATGATTTTTAAATGCTGTGGCTGATCAAGCTCACCTGACAACGTACTCACAATCCACTTCACAAAGTGGTCCTTGGATGGGAAAAGCCAAATGGATTTTTGACTCATTTGTATGCATCTCAATATTTACTTACTGAATAGCATGCTAGGATATTTTTGAAAGTAAAAAATACCCATAATCCTACCACTAAATGTTTTATTTTTGCATTTTCATTCCGGTCACTATCTATATGAATTCATGCCAGGCATAGTAATAATGGTCTAAATACAAAAAATCTTAATTAAAAAGCTTAATACTATATTTATAGCATACATATACTATGTATAGTTTTATATATTGCTACATAGCATTCAAATTAATAGTTTTAATACATAATCTGTAGGGTTGATCTTAATATATATAATATTGTTTTCTATATAGTTCTTCACAATTCTTATTTTCATTTGATAGTTTTTTTTTAAATTTTCTATTATTTAGTTTTATGTTTTGTATTTAGAGAGAGGGAAAGGGAAGGAGAAAGAGAGGAAGGGAAACATCAGTTTGTTGCCTCTCGTACACACCCTGACCAGGGACCAAATCCACAACCCAGGCATGTGCCCTGACTGGGAATCAAATCAGCAACCTTTCACTTTGCAGGACAGCGTCCAACCAACTGAGCCATGCCAGCCAGAGCTTCACTTGATAAATTCTTAAAGGTAGTTAACAAAGCCAAAGAATATAAACAAATTTATGATCTTAGAGTATGTTCTGCCAATGCTTTTTGAAATGTTATGAGAATACCATGATCTTCAAAATTCAAAGCAATGGCACATATTTGTATTTATAGAAGTTAGGAGGAGAGAGGGTACTACATTCTATACAATACTAAAAAATCTTCAGGCTTAAAACTAGGAAGAAAAGTGATAAGCCACAGAGAAGTGAGCATAAATTCCAGTATCTGCCGAAATACACTAGGACATAAAGATATCTAATAAGATTGGGTATTAAAATAGCACATAGAACCAGAAACCATGAGTCTCTTCCAAAATTTTGTCCCAAAGGATAAAACGGGAAGTCTCATATCCTTGATATTTATCCTTAAATATCAAGAACTACTGATTATGTTTATTTATGGGAATTAATTTAACTATTATTGCAATTTAGTAAATTCTGTAATAAAAGGTAAAGACAAAAAAGTGGTTATTAATAAATTTGTATTTTCAAAATGACCATATATTTTTCATAGAGCTTTGTAAAACTCAAGACATTCAGTAAAGAGCAAACTCCTCAGATAGATCTCAACATCTCTCAAGTTTAACTGATTCTACCGTCTCAAGCAAAACCATAAGCTACATTTTCTGAACATCATTATGAATCTTAACCCATGGAGATAAATTCTGTTCACTCCCTCACAATGTGATTAGTATGACAAAGCAGCAAACAGGTGACCAGACATTCAGAGTAGGACGCACTGGGGGCTTAAAGCTGCACATACATATGCAAAGAGTGTTTCCTCAGAAAATAGTCATTTGTACTATTCAAGATCATAAAATTGGACCAGGAAATGTATGAGGAGGGGGAAAAAACCAAATCTATACTTGAGGACGAGTATTTTTTATACTTTTTTTCTCAGTTACACTTTACTTTGTATTGGCTCCAGGTGTACAGCATAGTGGTTAGACGGTCATGTACTTTATAGTGTTCCCCCTGTTTAGTGTATAGTGTTCTAGTACCCACCCGGCACCATACACAGTTATTGCAATATCATTAACCATATTCCCTATGCTGAACTTTACATCCCCGTGACTGTTTTGTAACTACCAATTCGTACTTCTTAATCCCTTTACCTCTTCCACCCAGTCACTCTACTCCTTTCCCCTCTGGCAAACACCAGCACACTCTGTGTCTACGAGTCTGGGAAAAGGATTTTAACTAGAACTGATTATAGAATTCTCTTCCATTTAGCAAAACTATTAAAAAATTTTTAAAGTATCCCAAATGAAAGCCAATGGATGAGATCATTTAAGCAGTGAGTGTAGATAAGAAGCTCTAGAACTAAGCACTAGGGCAAACATTCCCAACATTCAGAGACCTGGGAATGTAAGAGGAAACCAGTAGGAGATGGAGCAGCCAGGAAGGGCTCCATGAAAAGCCCTGTCCTCAAGACAGAGCAGAGTTTCAGAGCAAAGAGATGAGAATATTCTGAGAAAATTTTGAATACAAGGTATCTGTTCCACAGGACATCATGGAAGGATGTGGGGAGCTGGAGCAGTGAGAGTTGAGTATTTGACTGGAAATTAGGGCTTATATGGTCTAGAGCATGAGTAGACCACATGGCAACAAGAATCTCATTCCCAGGGCACCGGTGCTTCTTACAGGGACTGAACAGGGATGAAGGCAGTAGAGAGCTAATGCACATGATCTTCAAAGGTACTATTTTTGATGAAGCTGAGAGTATTGGGGGGCAGGGATAGGGAAGAGGGTGTGACTGCCATTCCAGCCGCACAAAGAGCTTCAAGGATTACATGATACAATGAAGGACTAGATCAGGACCTGGGACATAACGTTCAGTAAGTGTTAGCTCTAGATTTCCATAGTTCCTGAAAACATTTATGCATATATTTTTTCACCTGCCCTTTAAAAAGTGGAATTCAAAAAATAAAAAGTGGAATTCAGCAAGGCCTGGTTCGAGAACTCCTCTTCTCACACTACACAGTCTCTTTCTAAACAATTCCAGCTCTGACTGGAGAACGTCTGCTGTGCGTATCTGCAGTCAAGGACTCTCTTCTAAGCTCTGACTAGTAACACTTACTCAGTATCTGCTCATGAATGACTCGAAGGCATCTCAAATTATTCCAACAAAACTCATTATCTCTGCTCTTAAAAGCCTGTCCTTCCTCCCAGTGATCTCCATAATGGTTATGGAACTACCATCTATGTGGAAATTAGGCTCATTCTTGACATCCTCTCCATCACACACTTTTCTATCATCAACTCCTGTGGCTTTTACTTGTTATTTTCTGAATGAATCTACTTCTCTACTTCTTTGATTTCCAACTGCATCACCTACCACTTTCCAAATTCTAACATCTGGAACCTTAATCTGAAACATGCCATGAACCTCCAGCCTATTTTCAAGGCATCTCTTCCCAGCTTTTCTCCGCATGGCAGTCAAAGTTCCCTTTTTAGCACACATGCGCACATGCACGCACAGAGTTTCTGTTTTTCCTCTCTCCCTGCCTGCCTCCTTCTCCATCTCCTCATTACCCTCTCATAATAGACACACACCAATACTTTTAGGATAAAGATAATAATCCTTTAAGTCCCTCTATGGCCTATCTGATTATATCTGCAGTTATACCCTGTACCACTCTCCACTTACTGCCATATTGACCTCTCCCTGGTCCTTTAAAAAATATTTTGATTTGAGAGAGAGAAACATGGATTTGTTGTTCCACTGACTTATGCATTCATTCATTGGTTGCTTCTTGTACGTGCCCGACCAAGGAATGAACCCACAACCTTGCTGTCTCAGCACAATGCTCTAACCAACTGAGCTACCCAACCAGGGCATCCTGGTCCTTTAAAAGCTCATGCTCACTGTACCATCTGACCACTGCACATGCTGTTCCCTCAACTAGAGCCCGCCCCACGCACAACTCTGCCTCAAAAACACATTAACATGAAAAGTTAAATAAGGAAGTTTTCTGGGCATCCCTTAGACCAGCACAAGCCCTCTCCATTTTGTTACAGCAGTATTTTATTCTTTCATAACAGTTATCTGTTTGTAGCTCGGAACTTATTTCTGTGATTTTACATCTCTCTCTTCCCTATAACACGTTAAACTTCTTCAAGACGATGCCTTACTTTCCTTCACTGTGTTTCCTCGGGGTCTACCACTTTGCTTGACACACAACTGGCACTAAAAAATATCTATTAAATAATAAAGGAGAGAAGCAGAGATTCGTTTATATGTCCTTGCAGCCTTTGTCATGTTCATTCTTCTTCTTCCTTTTAAAGAATTCAGTCACCACCCAATAATCTCTGCCAAGTCATAGCTCTAATCTAATGCTTTTAAATACAATATTTGATACATTCAAAATAAGAAAATCCTTGAATATTACTTAATGCATAATTTCAGCTTTCCAAGGATCTATAATAAGCCATTCAAAATAATTACCCATAATCTTTTCATACTTCTACAACCTCAAGTCACAGAAACAAAAGAAATGGAGACCTCACAATGTGTTGCTTAATAAGCCTCTGGCAGATTTTTTCACAAATTCTTTTAAAAAACTTTTCTATTTTTTAAAAAGCCTTTAAAAAGAATTCTATAACTTCAATTAACAGCCCATTTAGGCAGCACTCCTCATCCTTAAAAAAACATTCACTATGCAACTATTTTGAATTATAGTAAGTGACTCAAGAAGATGAAGTTAGTCCACTTGAAAACTTGAAGCAAAAATGATAAAGGTACAAAATTAAAAGACAAGTCAACAAAAACCACACAAATACATGATGAAAGATACATCATTGAGTCTGTGAATCAGTTGTTGAGTGAATAATGCACATGTTGCTCAAGTTGTTTACCACAGCAGAACATGACAGAGCTAAGGCCTGTCAGAAGATGACGACATAAAGAGAAGCCATTCAAGGAGAGGATGAGCAGAACACAGATGGACACTGGATCCCGACAGCAGAGCAAACCTGGCGTGGAGGCCAGAAAACAAAGCAACAGTCCAGATGGGAGGCGGCCAGGGTCCGGGAGAACCTGGGGACAGTGCTGAGGAGGGTGGAGAGGACACACGAAAACAAAGTAAAATGAGAGAAACAACCTACAAAAAAGTAGCAAAGAGATTTTACTTTGGGTGGTCAAAACACAATACAATATACAGATGATATACAATATACAGAACGAACTGTACACTTCAAACCTATATAACTTAATTAACCACTGTGACCCCAATAAACTTAATTTAAAAAATGACAGGTAAATAATCTGATTCCTAGTCAACAGTTGAGATGACTGAAGGTGATAGTGCCTAAAGGTTACAGTGCCTGCTAGAGAAAGCAACAGGCACCTAAAAGAACAACTGCAAGAATAAACTCCTGAATTTGTGCTAAATCCTCTATTCTTTTCAGTATTATTTACTTTGTAGATTTTAACTTTTGTGAGTTCAACTACCCCCATGCATTACTGTCTCCGAAATCTAACCCTATAATGGAGTTCCTCGCGATTTCAGTTCCACATCTCTAACCACCTACACGGGCTTCTACATCATCTCTGGCCTGGGCAGTCACAAACTGCTACATCCAGCACATTCTATGCACCAAAGGTAGGTGGAGTTGTGAAATGTACCTTTGATTATCACTTGTCTTTAAAATGCCTGCATGGATTTCTCCACCTTGATAATGATCAGAATGTTGTCCAGGACCCTTCAAGAGGGCTATGAGGTCAAAACTATTTTCATAATACTACTAAGATTTTTGTTTGTCTATTTCATTCTCATTCTTTCATAAGTGCATGGTGGGATTTTCCAGAAGCCATACAATTGATATTATTGCAATAGGCTAAAGACAAGAAGACACGAAAATCCAGGTATCATCTATTAAAACAGACATGAGATTTGCAAAAAGAAATTGTCACTCTTCTTACAAAAGTTTTTGTTTTCAGATATATAGTTTTTTAAAAATAAAATGTTATGTTCACATGTAATGAGTCTATCGCTGTCATTCTTAAATGAATAAATTTATCCATTTAATTTCTAATATATATCAATAGATATACACACAAACAAAAATTCTTTGAGGTGCTCGAATTTTTAAGACCTTGAAAAGTCCCTAAAACCAAACTGTGTGGGAACCACTGGGCCCCCCGAAGCACAGTCAATACCCGGGCCGCCGTTCCAGGCCCACTTGCATAGACTCTGGTGTGTTTCCCCCTCACCACCACCAAACCCTGAATCAAATCCTCTGTCCCCGCCACACTGGTCTGCCCATTGCCCCCTCCAAGCCACAGACACCCCTGCCTTTCACTTCTGCTCACACCTCTTCACCTGCCCACCATACTCCCTACCAATCCACCTAGGCAGAGCTCAAGCTCCCCTCTGAGACCCTTAACCTCTCCAATTCTACCACTCACAGAGCACATGGGATTGGGACTCTACCTTGAATTATTATCTTAATATTTTTCTTGCTTCTCCCACCAAAGATGAAACCTATGAGGGTGAGAAATGCTTCATAACTTTAAACAGTGACTTACACATGTAATAACTAATTAATAAATGTGTACGGTTTAATTCATACAGAATTTCCATATCTCAATTTAAAAGTGGGACTTTGACTCATCCGTACTGGCCCGCTGAGCCACTCACGTTTGGCTTCCAAGTTCCTCTGGGCACCTTGACAAGAGACACAGTGACTTGCTGAGCGTGTCCCCTGAGCTATTCACCGGCTGTGGGAGGCAGCCCCAGAAGTTCACCATGCAAATGCCCTTGGCTTCTTTGCCTTATTGTCACTGGCCCACCCAAGGGGCTTCTTACCAACCCTGAAATAATCCTACAACCTCCACAGGCTGTTAATCCCTTGGGTTCTCACAACAGACTCTGTTTCAGAACCTATTTCTGATGTGTAGATGATAGTACAGATATCCAGGAAAGATTTCAGGCTGCAGAAGAAAGTTGTGAGAGTCAATGAGGATGGCAAAGTTCTCATTGCCATCAACCATTTTCTGACTTTTTAAAAATTCTTCATTGCACATACTTGCTATCTCCTTATAAATACTTTCCTAGTTAAAAAATATATATGTAATGTCACTCCTCATTTTTCTCTAGACAAAAGTAATGTATTACCTTTCCTTATTTTTCATTAATATTTATCTCCATATTTTAGTCATTCTAATTCTCCTCAAGCACAGTCCCCATTTTAAGAATATTAGTCATTTGGAAATTCTATAATTTCTGGAAATATTATTGTCAAGATCTTGGTTTTAAAACCTTATTAACATACCCAGTGTCTGGCAATGTAACACTACTTCTAATTCAGTGAGATTAGAATCATTCTAGCTTTCCGCACTGTCCCCAGGATTAGTCGGCACCTGAAAAGCCCTTACCTATTCCTGAGGCTGGTGTGAAGGAGTGAATCCTATTAACAGAAGCAAAATCCAGAGATTGAAAATACCTAAAAGACGACTGTCCTGGCTCCCAGATGAAAATATCAATTGAATTCTGATCCCCTACAATAATGGAATAAAAGTCAAACCAAAGGCAAAAGTTACAGGAAAAAATGACCATTACATAGCAAAACTATAATCAAAACATTAAATTTAATTGAAAAAACAAATTTAATAGGACATTCCTCATATATCATTTAGTTTAACAGAAATGTAGCTTAGTAGGGAACACTTCAAGGCTTTTTGCAGTTACCACCTGAGGTACATACATAGTTAGCCACTAATCATGACCTGATATCAAAAAAAGAATAGCAACAAATGTTTTATTTTTTAGGAATGTTGGTATTTTATTTATGAATGCCCTACTAAACAGAAGAAAGCATAGTCATATTCAATGAATATTTTCAAAGTCTTATCAAAAGCTGTTGAGCACTACGTATCACTCCCGTAAATTATCCATGGCACCCCCAGTACAGTTATAGAAAAAGTTGCCCGTTTATGTTTTGGGTGTAAGATCTTCATGGACCTCTTCAGAGATCTTTCCATATTACCCACCCATCCCCAATTGTATTTTAGTATCTTAAAGCTACATGTGTTCAGAACAGCTAAAGATTATGGATATGACACAATTTTTTCCCAAAATCTATTTGTAGCTGACAGCCAGTACTTACCCATCAAGACCCGTTCTAAGAATTCTATTATAAGAGCATTTTCATATGAACATATTATATGAATGCTAGATAATTTTGATAATAACTATGTATGCATTATAAACACTAAATCTGCTTACCTAGAGAGACAGTTTTGGCAAAAAGTAAGTAAATATCATCGCCTGAAATCAAGGCCTCGACTTGTGTGGTCCCACTGATACGCACTTCTTGAAAGTTAATAAACTCATTGCCAGACCATCTGAGCAGAAGGGAATTGAGCCTGGCGTGAGCCTGGGAAATGGCTAAGAACACAGAGCCGCCTCTGGTGAACAAGGCCATGCCCAGCACACCTCGGACAGGAAGCGTCTGATGCAGCACGAAACTCCCGCCATTCCATCTGAAGACCTATAAAAAATGTTCAAATACAAAACCCTCCATGACTAGGAATTTAGCATTTGTTGAGAGTTTAACCAATATTGTATCTTTATTCTCCTCAATCCTTTTATTTAATTGGGAGGGTACTATCATAAATAAAAATATAGCAAAACTTAAGCTCTCTCCCTCTTTTTATCTGTGCGCATTGTGTGTATGTGAGAGTGAGAAAGTGAGCAAGAGAGAGGAAGAGAGAAAGAGAACATACACACAGAATGAATTTTAAAAGCAAAGTTATTTGAAAATAAGTGGGTTTCAAATAGACATCTGGGCAGTGGTCAGTGACAGCAAGAGAAGGAGAAAGCCAAAAGTAGGAGAGAATTAATTTAAATATGAACAATTTAGAACTGGATAAGAAACTTTATGATGCTGTAATATGATTCATTCCCTCTGCTCAAGCAATAGAATATAAAGAGAAACATCTAAGCTTTTTAGTCTCAAAGGTGGCAATGCATACAAGGTTTCAGGGTGAGTGTTCATAAATTTGAAATTAAAAGAAAATCCCAAATCTATCTGGTTTTTATATGACCTGGTCAAGTTCACAAAGAATTTTATTTATTCACTCAAAATTGGGAACCTTATATGAGCCAGGCATTATGCTAGGAGATATGAGGAGTAATACCTCCCTTTATGGATATTAAATATTAGTTATTAAGATTAGTAGAAGGCAAACACACATCAATTAAATAAATGTATGGTTATAAAATTAATACAAGTGCTAAAGATAACAACTGGAATGGTGTGACAGAGAACTATGGGTGTATAGAGAAATAAAGGTAGAGAATGACAAAATCTCCAAGGCACAAAAAGTTTATCGTTATCTGAATGAAGACTGTTCCAGCTGGAAAGAAGTTGCTAGTGCTAGGGAATAACAACCACTAAGACTACAGAGGTTAAGATCAAGAGGTATCTTTTGTTAGGGTGGCCACATAATTTTTCACAGAGGTCACTGCGAAAGCAAAAGGGATAATATTAGTAATTGTATCAGGACAACAGGTATAATACAATACTGGGCAAATAAGGAGATATGGTTACCCTTCTTATAGTCCATATTAAATAACTTAGATTTACACTATGTATAATTGGAAATCGTTGAAGTTTTAAAGTGAGGAATAACACAATATTAATTAATATTTTAAAATATTACTCCAGCTACTTGATGGGGGATGGATCTGAGGAAGTCAGAGAAGTTCAAAAACCAGCTGGAAGCTACTCTAACAGTGTGCGAGAGAAATGATGGAGACCTGGATTAAAGAGAAAGATGCAGAGATAGGAAAAAATGTCTGTACTCAATTATATAATTATAATAATGAAAGATATAATAACAACACTTAATAAAGTAGATGACAATGAATAAAAAGGAGTAATCCAGAAAGATATATTGCCGAGTAATTGTAGTCAGGAGGTTGTTATTCCCTGAGATGAAAGCAAGCACTGAACAAGTTTCATAGAGAAAATCCAGAGCTCAGTGGGGATATGTTACATCTCCGATACCTTTAATATATTTAAGTGGAGATGCCAATCTCCAGGTAAGATATACATGTTTGGAATACGGAGACACAGCTACTGATAAATTTGGAAGACATAAACCTATAGTTAATATTTAAACCCAGAATGAATGAAGAGAAATAAAAAAGAAATTTGAACTGCAACTGAACATGGAAAACTGTAAGTTCAGAAGAGGAAGCATCCAAATTGGAAAGGAGGAAGTAAAGCTGTCATTGTTTTACATACAGACTCCACCAAAAAACTCCTCGACCTAATAAGTGAATTTGGCAAAACAGCAGGATATAAAATCAATATTCAGAAATTGAAGGCATTTTTGTACACCAACAATGAAATATCAGGAAAAATCAGAAAATATCAGAAATCAGGAAAAAAATCCTATCTGCTACAGCAACAAGAAAAGTAAAGTACCGAGAAATAAACTTAACCAAGGAGGGTAAAAGACCTGTACTTAGAAAACTATGCAACACTGAAGAAATTAAGGAAGACACAAAGAAATGGAAGCATAGACCGTGTTCATGGATTGGAAGAATTAACATCACCAAAATGTCCATACTACCCAAAGCGATGTCTAGATTCAACACAATCCCTATTAAAATACCAATGACATATTTCACAGACATAGAACAGACATATCAAAAAATACATATGGAACTATAAACGACCCCGAACAGCTGCAGCAATTTTGAAAAAGAAGAATAGAGTATGAGAGGTCACAATACCTGACATCAAACTATATTTCAAGGCCACTGTAATCAAAACAGTCTGGTACTGGCATAAGAACAGACACATATATCAATGAAACAGAATAGAGAGCTCAGAAATAAACCCATGTCTACAAAGTCAATTAATATTCGACAAAGAAGGCAGAAGCATAAAATGGAGTAAAAATAGGCTCTTCAACAAATGGTGTTAGGAGAGCTGGACAGCTACATCCAAAAAAAATGAAATTCAACCACCACCTTACACCATACACAAAAATAAACTTTAGATGAATAAAAGACTTAAATATAAGTCATGACACCATAAAAGTCCTAGAGGAGAACATAGGCAGGAAACTCTCAGATATCCCATACAGCAGTATTTTAATGATATGTCCCTTAGAGCAAAGGACATAAAGGAAAGAATAAACAAATGGAACTTCATCAAAATAAGAAGCTTCTACATGGCTAAAGAAAACATCAGCAAAATGAAAAGGGAACCAACTGTATGGGAAAATATATTTGGCAATAATACCTCAGGTAAGGGTTTGAGCTCCAAAATATATAAAGAACTCACACGACTCCACTCTAGGAAGACAAATAATCCAATTAAAAAATGGGCAAAGGACTTGAACAGACACTTCTCCAAGGAGGACATACATAGAGCTCAGGGACATATGGAAGGATGCTCAGCATCACTAGTCATCAGAGAAATGCAAATTAAAGCCACAGTGAGATACCACTTCATACCAGTTAGAATGGTCATCATAAGCAAATCAACAAACAAGTGCTGGCAAGGTTGTGGAGAAAAGGGAACCCTAATACACTGTTGGTGGGAATGCAGACTGGTACAGCTACTGTGGAAAACAGTTTGGAATTTCCTCAAAAAGCTAAAAATGGAACTTCCTTTTGACCCAGTGATTCCACTGTTGCGAATATACCCTAAGAATCCCAAAATACCAATTCAAAAGAACCTATGCACCCCAATGTTCATAGCAGCACACTTTACAATAGCCAAGTGCTGGAAGCAACCTAAATGCTCATCAATAAATGAGTGGATCAAAATACTATGGTACATTTACACAATGGAATACTACACAGCAGAAAGAAAGAAAGAGCTACTACCCTTCGCAACAGCATGGATGGAACTGGAGGGCATTATGTTTGCAACTGGAGGGCATTATGCTAAGTGAAATAAGACGGGGGTGAAAGAAAAATACCGTATGATCTCACCTATAAGTGGACCCTAATCAACAAAACGAACTAGCAAGAAAAATATAACCAGCAACATTGAAAGGAAAAACAAACCGACAGTAACAAGGAGGGAGGGGTAATGGGGAAAAGAAGGGGAAGAGTCAAGGAACACGTATAAAGGACCCACGGACAAAGCCAAAGTGGGGAAGAATTGAGGGTGGGAGGTTGGGGGGGGTGGGACAGGGGAAAGTGGTGGCGGGAAAATGGAGACAAATGATTTTGAACAATAAAAATTGTTTTTAAAAAAAAAGGAAGGAGGAACTGGCAATGGAGACTGAGAAGGATACAGAGAAACAAAAGGAAAATCTTTGTGGTATCCTGATCTCTTCTGGAAATCAAGAGATGGTTTAAATCTGAGGAAGCTGACTGTCACGTGGCGGTGGGAGGTACTGTAAGAGAATGACAGAAAACCATCCTTTGAATCTGCAACTCCCTTGTCATCAGTGACCATGAAGGAGTGAAGACAAAGCAAGTAGATAATTCTTTCAAGGTGTCTGACTATAGAAGGGAGAAACAAAACAGAATGTAAAAGGGGAGGAGATCAGGAAAGGAATCTCTCTTTAAGCTTGGAGGTCCGGAATATGCCGATTGTAATAATCCTAGAGAGAGATGCCAGCAATTGCAGACATACAAGGATAACTAAACCTTATGACAGCAGGAGGAGCACCTACAAGAGGAGCCTGGCTTTCTGACAAAAAAACACTCCCTCTACTGCAGCAGGAGGGTGGAATGAGATTGGGTTTCAAGAGCATTTCTAAAGTTGGCATTGGGAAGATCAGTAACCTCCCCTCCAGTATCTTTCATTCAGACAAGATCATAAGCTGAAAGCGAAGAGGTGAGGAGTAGGTATGGGAATGTAGGAAGTGACAAAAATTATCAAATCAGCATGTTTAGGATTATGAGATGTAGTTTACTAAAGAAAAATGGAATTTCGAAGGTTATGTGAGTGCCCATTTGGCAATGTTAGTCATGAATTTTTGTGATATAATCTGTCCAGGTGTACAATTTTTCTAGATAGCATTTTCCAACTCAATTAAATACTAATTAAGTGTTAAGGCTTTGTATTATACTTACTCTGGCTCTTGAAGATAGTATAATAGTCATAATTTCATTTTTTATAAATTAACTATAACTAATCAATATCTATATTCTAATTTACTTCTTTACTCCAAATTATGGTGTTATTTTATATTAAACCTACAGACTATGTCTTTGAGGAGCTTTAATTGTAGTGTTGATATTAAAAAGAAATAATTTCATTTTAAAAGAATCAAACCTGCGTTAATTCAGAATCATTTCTTTGACTTGCAACAATTAAATAATCTTGATTGTCTGAAGTAAAATATCTTACTTGAGAACTTTCCGAAATAATTATTGTTTGTACCTGGAAGGAAGACAGAACAGTGAGAATAAAAATTTAAAATAGAATATAAGTAAAAGAGTAACACAGTAAAAGTATGAATTAGTAGTTAAAGTTTAAAGCTTGAAAAGTCATTCTGATCCCTAAATATGCCTCTTTAGGAGTCATTTCAAGAAAGATGAAAATATCCCTGGCTGAGTCACCTTGCTCAAATGTGTATCAGCTTGCAAAAGCCCTTTTTCCACAGAACATACATTGTCTTCCATTTAGATCGAGCTTACAAATCTAATTTTTCTTTTAAATAAAGCAAGCTACAAAAAAAGAAAAGCTTTTAGTTGTTTCTTTTACCAGGTATAATTTGAGTCCAGATGTGAATGTATACACGCTGTTAACAGAAGGCTTTTCTTCATTTCTTTCTTCATGAGTAATCACAAAATAGGGAGAAAGGCCAATATGAAAGGCCTCACAGGTTTTAGGATTTTTTATATTTAAATCCTAGAAAGTAAGGAATAAGAATAACAGCAATTCACAAGGCATCCAGCATTTACATGTACATCTTATTTTGTACACTGTTAAAAAAGCAATGTTTTTACCTCAAGTGGAATAAAAACCCCTTGCCATCGGTAAATAGTAGAAGACACTTTCCTTAACATTACACCATATACTGAATCTTCCAAAGTAAAGAAACACCAGCCAGAAGCCAAGGCATCAAAAAAACTTTGAAATATGGAAAATACAATATCCATTCCCCCTGAAAAACACAAATCATAATTTACTGCTGCATAAACCCTTCCAAAGTATATCCACTCTAAGTTTATTATTCAAAGAATGAAACCCATTCTTAATACAGCACTGAGAATACCTTCAAAGTGCAAATGTGATCATACCACCTTATTATGCCACATACACATAGCAACCCTCCCCAATGCCTAAGGACTCAAAGGCTTTCCATTAACCCTAGAATTAAGACAAACGTCCACAACGTGTTCTTCAACCTCTTGAATGATCTAGTCTTATCTAACTTTTCAAATTCAACACTCCACTTATTTCTAACCCAATGTCCACTCCAAAGTTTTTCATTTACATGCTTTTTTTAAATGACCCTAGACTTTTGCCTCATTCACTTCCCACTGTTTCCTTCGTGTTCCTCCAACCCAGGTCTTTGCATAATCAAACCCTATTCAGCATTTTATCTTAGTTTAGACTTTGATACACCTGAGAAGCATTCATTTATGTCCTCACAACACTAAAAATGTCCCCTTTAGAACATTCATTATAGTTTAAACTACATATTGATTTTTTTTCTTGTTTTATTTCTATCACCCCCTAAATTCTAAGCTCTGTGAGTTTAGTTCCAAGCCTGGCACATAATAGGCACTTAATAAATATTTGTGGATGCAGTAAAAGAATTAGATATCTGTTCTCCACTTTCAACAGATCCATAATATAGAATTCATCAGGGAATATGTAAATCTTATACATGCAATCTTTCTTGGTTATGGAATTTTGTTCTCATAAAAAATTAAACATACTCATGCCAAAAGCTGTTTCAGATATTGTCTCCCACTCCACACTCACAGCTAAATCAATGCCATTAGTACGTGATATATTTAAATATACAGTCCTGTTGGCTTCTTCGACATATATAGAGGTGGCTCTAAAGGAAACAAATAGATTATGGAAAGCAGAAAATAGAGCATAATTTCTACAAATTAAAATATATATCACATTGCTAGAATATATTTAATACACTTTTAAATTTACACTGGCCAAGGTGAGATCCATCCATAAGTTGTACAGAGCAGTAAAACTAGGCTCTAGCGCTCAAAAATATTCATTTATGATTTTTTTTAAAAAGCATCAATGTAATACTCTGATACTAGGATCATAACAAAACACTGGTAGTCAGTAACTTCAGTACGTTCATGCTGCATATTCTAAAAAAAGAAAAAGAAACACTGCCATTTCTCATATAAACCAAAAGTATGTTACACGAAGTAAAAAGTCAGGAATTCTCAGTGTATTAATGAAACTAGACTTCCTGAACTATTTTTAAGATATTAAAAAAAAAATCTTCATTCTCCAGAGGGAATTTCAAAAACCATAATCATGTTAATATATATTTGAAGAGTCATTCATTTACTCTGAGTAATGACATATAATTTTTATTATTTATCACTTTTAATTATATTGGAAAAAAAACAGTGCAAGCCATTACCTGAAAGTATAAACTCTGAGAAAATAAGAATTTTAATAACATCACTATGCAGGACATGATTAAGTTTCTGATAAGAGAGGGCACATGGCCTCTCTGGTCTATCTGCTACAGGTCTTTTTAAAAGACCCCTTTAAGAAAGTCAAAGATCAATTTCCTCCTGCAATTTCTTTATGTCAAAAAATATTTCCTACTTAGCTTCAGAAGTAGGAAATTTCATAAATTTCCTTATGAATAAACTATACCTATTTGCAACTGCAGAGATACTAAACAGTCCCAAAGGGGCCTGGTTTTGTAAAACTGTTATCAGGGTCTGAACTCGTGTCCCTAGTCTAGCGCCTCCAGTCGGATTAAACAAGGTACAAACAAAATGCTCATCCATTTCTGGCTCCGTGTCTAATATGGCAGATATGTGTAGGGCCTGAAAACAAAATCAAAAAACAAAGTTACAAAAATATAGTTTTTCTACAATGGACAGAGAAATATGCTAAACACTTTGACAATATAATAACATGTTCTGTAAAATACCACCTTTTCTTAAATTCTATTACTGATCCCCGTAATGTGATAATTACAATTCTTTCCTGCTACTAACTTCAAGACTTTCGACACTGTAATATATTACACTGAAGTGTCTAAAAATATACTTCTCTAGATGAGTGGATAAAACAACTATGGGACATTTACACAATGGAATACTTCTCGGCCATAAAAAAGAAAATTTTACCCTTTGCGACAGTATGGATGGACCTGGAGAACATTATGCTAAGTGAAATAAGCCAGGCAGAGAAAGACAAATACCATATGATTTCACTCATGTGGAATATAATGAAAAACCAAAATGAACATGCAAAACAGAGGCAGATTCATAGATAGAGAGCAGGATGACAACCGTGGGGGCGGTAGAGGGGTGGAGGGACCAAGCAAAAAGGAAAAATGGCTTACGGACATAGTGTGGTGACTAAGGGGGAAACAGAGGTATAAGAGGGATAAATGGTAATAGAAAAATACAATTAAAACTTTTAAAAAATAAATATTTATGGCATTTAAAAATAACATTAAGATTAAAAATTAAATATCTCTATCCATTTTTGCTTAATTCTTTATCCTGCTCTAGATATACAACTGTGTTAGTCTCATACTAGTCCAGGATTCATTGTTGAAAAACAATTATAACCACTGTAGGCCCGAACTATAAAAATCCTAAATGTTCATCACCAAGAGAATGGGTAAACAAATAGTGGTCTATTCCATGAAATGCTACTTAGCAATAAAAAAAGCAACAAACTAGTGATGTGTGCAACCATATGGATCTTAAAAATTACATTGCACAAAAGCCAGACATCAAGGAGTATAGACTCCATGATTCTATTTATATGAAGTTAAAAAAACCAGTAAAATGAGTCTTTAATGATAGAAATTAGAAAGTAATTTCCTCTGGGGAAAGCAAGAAACTTTTCAGTGATGATAATGTTCAATATCTTACTTTGAGTGGTGGTTACATGGATATATACATATTTTTAAAGTCATTAAGCCACATACTTAAGATTTATGTATTTTATTGTTTATATCTCAAAATCAAAATATGTGTGGAAAACAGCCATTATGTGTGTGAATGAAAATTTCACTTATTCCAATTTATTTACATTTAATTTGCCTAATGAACAGAAAGATCCTTAAATATGTGGTGAAAAAGTCTTTTAAGAAAACACCACAACAAAATAATTTAAAATACTTTTAAATGTTTAATATAACTTAAAACATTTTTTAAAAAGCATGTGAATGTAAAGCAATAGAAAATTCTTAAAATACTTCAAATTTAAATTCTTTAACATCTATATCAAAATGTGTCATTAAAAAATTAATAAAAAGTTCTAAATTTACAAAAACATAAAAAATTAAACACACAAATGAATATACATTTTAAGATGGGTTCAAATTTACACAAAGTGATCATAAATAATTTAATTATTGGGTGGTCTGTTTTTAGATGGAATAGTTTTAAATACTTTATTTTAGAATTATACTTTATTAATAGCTGGATTAAAAAATGTGCTTAATGCAATTAGCTATTTTAAACTTAAACTGTATTTTAAAAATAAAGTTGAGTAACAGAAACAAAATATATAGGAAAAGAGGTTTCTGAAGATAAAGTTTTGATAGTATAGACCACATTTATAATTAATCCAAATCCAGCATTTTTTCCTCTAATAAGCTATTCCCATTCATGTAGGATACCTGCTTCTGAAACAAGCAGTCTGAAGTAGGTAGTTATGTTTTCCTCAACAAAAATATGGCAAAAAGGAACGATTGTGCTGAGGCTTAATGACTACAAAGAATGATTTAGTTTCTGGTTTATAGATTTATAAATTGAAGTATTCCATTTGAATATGCTTAAAATGTAAAACAGCAATGCATATACCTTATTATTTGTACACTGCACAACTTAATTAACAGAGCAAATGTTTCCAGTTGCACTCTCTATAAACTACATAGCACTATGGTACTTTCATTTAGAAACTTATTTATATCTTTACCTAATACTTGTGCTGGAAAGATTCTTTTTCTTACTAGGACCTAGGATGCTCTTCCAAGATAATATTATTTTGTAAATATAAAAAATAATTATTCATTGTCAGTGAAGGTTCACACTGTACCTTGAATCGAACACCTTCTTCTAAAACAACATAGCCTTTGGAAGGTGTCAGATCTTTAGACTCCATTGAAGAATTCACTTCAGTCACAATGAACTGAACTGTCACAGTTCCGAACAGTCCTTGTGCAGGCTCCCGAACGATGTATAATACTGCAACACTCTCTTGTACATAGAGAGCTGTTGGTTCGCTCAGAAAAAAGTGCTCACTGTTGTTAAATGATAGAACTCCAGGGCCATCATCATTAGCAAGGACGGTAATTAAGGCTGTCAAAATAAAAATATTACAGTAATAAATAAAAACAGAATGGCTTATAAGTGCAAGGAAGCGTGTGGATGCTTTGCTGTAAACCAGGTCACCTCTTCTCTGGATCACTTTAAAAAGGGATTTCTTTTCCCCACATTGTCATGTTAAGAATTCCCACTGTCAAGAAACAAAGACATTTTTTAAAGCATTTAATAAAATGTATATTCACTTATGATATAAAAATACTCAGTAACCTTGGAATAAAAGGCAGCTTCCTCAACCTGATGAAGTGGTATCTTTCACACGCCAGTAGAAAATAATAAACTTTATGCGGAAATATTAAAAAAAATATTGCCTCTAAAAACAGAAACTAGACAATGATGCCTGTCATCACTGTCCTGGAACTGTCAACCAGGTTACAGGCATAAAAGCAATGGAGCCCTGGCCAGGCAGTGCAGTTGGTTAGAACATTGTCCTGATACACCAAGGTTCCAGGTTTGATCCCCTGTCAGGGCACATACAAGAGTCAACCAATGGATGCAACGGATGCGTAAGAGAGTAAAATGGTGGATCTGTGTGTGTGTGTGTGTGTGTGTGTGTGTCTGTCTCTATCTTTCTCTCTAAAAAACCAATGGTGGATCTGTGTGTGTGTGTGTGTGTGTGTGTGTGTGTGTCTCTCTATCTTTCTCTCTAAAAAACCAATGGTGGATCAGAGAGAGAGAGAGAGAGAGAGAGAGAGAGAGAGAGAGAGAGAGAGAGAGAGAGTGTGTGTGTGTGTGTGTGTGTGTGTGTGTGTGTGTGTGTGTCTCTCTCTCTCTCTCTTTCTCTCTAAAAAACCAATGGTGGATCAGTGTGTGTGTGTGTGTGTGTGTGTGTGTGTGTGTGTCTGTCTCTATCTTTCTCTCTAAAAAACCAATAAATAAAAACCTTTTTAAGTAATAAAAAATAAAAACAATGAAAAAAAAGAAGGGGAAGGGTCAAGTCAAGGAACATGCATAAAGGACCCATGGACAAAGCCCAAGTGGGCAAGGATTGAGGGTGGGGCAGGGGAAAGTGATGGCAGGAAAATGGAGACTACTGTACTTGAACAACAATTAAAAAATTTTAAAAAGAAATAAAAATAAAAACTCACTAATGAGCAAAGAAAATAAAAAGTTAAAAAGAGAGCATCAGATCTGCTCCTGTTTTTTAGGCAACACAATTGCCTTCTTAGAAAATGCAAGAGAAAAAAATTATAAGAATTATGAGTTCAAGACATAAGCAGAGTAGCCTTCAAAAATTGAATTTTTACTTTTTACTACCACTGTTAATGATATATTAATAACAACAACTGAAACAGCAACTAATATTACTTAGAACTTACAAATCACTTACATATATTAAACTCATTTAATTCTCACAATACCCCTGTGGTTGTTGCTATTATTATTCCCATTTCACAGAACCTATGACTGAAGCACAAACAGGCAATTTACAGAAGCCAACGAGCTAGAAAGTGTCAGGGCAGCTGCTCAAAGTTAGGGAGTATATTTCAGAGCAAATATTTTTAAAATGATAATATCTCTATACATCAGCTATAACTCTATTAAAAATGTAAGAGAAAAGGGACTTCGTTCATGACAACAATAACTATGAATCACAGTAAAATATGTAAGACCTATATGAAAAAATTATAAAGTGCTAAAGGGGGACTGTGGCAGATGCTGTCAGTGGCTCACCTATACCCCTCTGGCCCACTCTTGAGTCACCTTCAGCAGTTCCTATGCCCACTGCTCTCTCTGTAAGTGAGGACAGCATCAGCTCATGCAGGAATCAGGCCGGAACTGCTGAAGACTTCACACTCAAAAGAAATCCTCAGACACTGAGGGACAGAAATTGGTGAATGAGTATCCTGGTTTCCTTCCTTCTCAGTAGGACAGCCTTGAGCTTTGTTCAGTTCGTGACTAACAAGGACCCTGTCAAGACGAGCCCCAGTTGCCCATAGCTATGCTGTTTATTAGCCCATCTATCAGCCTTCCTCTCTGCCTCACTTATTTCTCACTGTGCCTCCAGAAATCACCCTCCAAATTAATTTACTTCCATCCAAACACTTGTCTCATGGTTTGCTTTTGAGAGAACACAACCAGTGTCAAACTCACTAATGAGCAAAGAAGAAAAAAACAATACAACCATATATTTTTCATTTATTAGAATTAATAAAAAAAAAATCACAGACCAAAGAGATTCCTGGTGAGGGTGTGAAGAAACAACAGTTTTATATGCACTTTGGATGTAGGTAGTATGAAGGCAATTTGTAATCTTTACACTCAAAATCCACTGTACTCAACAGATAATCTTAATTACCAACATATATATAGATTTACATATAAAGGTATTTATTGAAACTTTATAGAAGTTTGGAAATAGTGTAAAGGTCAATTAATGAGGCATGGTTAAAGAAGTTATCCACTATTAAATTCACATTGTTCTGAGGAATTTTTTAAATATATAAACAAGCAAAACAGACACAGACTCAAAGACGTAGAACAGACGACAGCTAGTGGAGAGGCGCTGGTTAGAGAGGGTGGAGGGACTGGACAGAAAGGAAAAAGGACTCACAGACAGGGACAGCAGTGTGGTGACTGCTGGGGGAGGGGGTTAAGGGGACTAACTGATAATGGAAAAACATACAATAAAATTTGAATCAAAAAAATAGAAAATCACAAGCATAAGTAAATATAACAGAGCCCAATAACACACTCCTTCCCACTAGTCATGGTGGTGGGCATGTACCCTATGGAATTCCAATCAGAACTGTATCAGGACTTCTTAGGAATGCTTCACTTTTAATATTTTCTCTTTCCTATTACATGGAATGTAGAAGAATGATGCTGATGTGACGAGTGACATCAGCCTGGAATAAAGCCAATACTGCAAAGGTAAGAAGAGAAAACAAAAGGGCCTTTGGACAGTTTTAATTGGGTTTTCTATTGTTTATACATAGGGCATTCTTAACCAACACATGATGTCCATTCTTATAACTCTTCACATAAAACTCACTATGCTCTACAACAAAATAATTTCATCTCAAACGCATACTCTTTTAATTTAAAATAATAGCTATAGCCTCAAGAAAAAAGTTTCTAGAGACTTGGAAATATCCATTTATTTTTACATGGCAATAAAAGTAAAAACCAGTTCTTGAGTTACTCAAAAATTCTTTCATGTTTTTTACTACCAATCAATATTTTTTCAAATAATGGACAATAACTTAGAAATCCTAAGGTTAATTAAATTAAGGGAGTCCCAGAGAACATTCAGCCACTGGCTGAAACAGGAAAGTCAGTCAACACTCAGTCTTCGAAATCCTCCTGTCTCACTTACCACTACAAGGAACTGACTTAAGTGACTTTTAGAGCCTTTCTGATCCTAAAGTTCTGTGTATCCATGAGGTTTCCTCATATTCTCTTTTTTTATCTTCTCTAAGCTGTCAGCATGACAGCTGACAAGTAGTGAACAAAGATTACTTTTACTGACAATTACAAACTGTTCCGACCAAAGAATCATGGCTCCCATCAACAGTCTTCAGGTATCAATACATTTCAACTGTGTAAATACTACTGCAATGAGATGACACTAAAACAGCCACTTTGTCATTCCTTCTATTGCTAAACAGGAAACCAGTGCAGACTTCAAATTTCAAAGGAAAGACATTTACAAATTAAATAAAACCTATAATAATTATAGCAATGATTTAATGTTATCATTGCTACCAGCCTACTTTTTACTCACACGTGTGCACACCAGAAGCACTGCTGCACGACACAGGAATTCCAAAATGCTTAACTTACAGTATTTTTCATTCTAAGCACACAAAACCATCAGGACTTTCTAATCCCTTTACATCAGGCTCCATATTAGGGAAAAAGCATAGGGAAAGGGAGCTGTGTAAAAAAAATTATGTTACCTATTGTATTTTCCCCCAGCTCTAGTCCAGGAGAAGGATTTGTTAAAATCAGCTGAAATTTTTCATCTCCTTCTGGAATATCGTCATCAAGAATCATGATGTCAATGTTTTTATACCTTTCTCCATTGGCAAAATGAAGAATCTGGTCAAGAAAGTTAAAATAAACAGTAGTATATTGAAATACACTCTGTGTTTTTACAGAATGGAAAGAAATACAATATAGCTGTAAAAGTGAAATCAACTTTTAACAGATTTATTCCCTTATTTTTCTCACAAGCTGTTTAAATTTAAATCAACAATATTAAGTTTAGAAGATAAAATTTGTGGGAGAAGTAAATTTTTGCGTAATTAAAAGGCATGAAGAGACAAAGTAAAAAGTATTTTAAAACACTAAATGTGTCTCAAGTAAATTAAAAAAATAAAAGAGTTAAATTTTCAAGAAGCATGAGAAACCCTGTGAGAAGTTCACCTAATATAAATTTTTAACATGGTAACTCTCCAGTATTAAGTATTGCAATAAATTGAGAAAATACAGAATAATCATTAAAATGGTACTGAAAATTCAACTTATATATTTTAATAAAATAGTGAAGGGAACTATTCTACCATGTGGGAGTCCTCTGCCCTAATTAACTGAGGAATATATCACAGTTTATTATTTTAAGATTTCTTTATTCAGGCCCTGAATCATTATCATTCTCAAGGAACTCACCATTGGGGCAAAGCTGTAATCCAGGCCCAGCTGCGCTTCCAGATTCTGGGCGTACACAAACAAGGACACGTGGCCGAGGGCCCCTTTGCTCCTTTGGGCTATTAATGTTAAACGTCCTTGGGTTTCATTAATTTCAAACCTAGAGTGAAAAGAATATATGCATTTTTCCTATAAGCTTTTATTCTGTAAATAATAAAGAATCTGGAGCTCAAAAAAGGGCTCTCACACGGCCTTGGGCTTACCTACTATGTTGCCATTCGATTATGCCTCGAGCACCATCATTGGCATCAATCATAATTTGTGCAGTTAAGCCCTCTGAATCTGAAAAAAAACATAGAAGTGTACTTTAACATAAATATAAATGATTTAAAAAGCACTATTTGATATAGAATTTAAAGATAATCTCTTTGAGACTATTAACTCCCAATTTAGAGGTATTTACAACACTATTCAAAAGATGTTTAAGAAAATAGACTTATAACATCTGAACAAGAAAACATTTTGCTAACAAGAGTCACTGACTTACTGAAATTTAATCAACTGAGAAAAGTAGGAAATAAGCAACTGAGGCTATAGTTTTATTTCTATTATTTAATCCACTTCGAGAAAAAAGGAAAACGGGGACAGTTGGAATAGTAGAAAGAGGGAGAAAAGAGAAAGAAATGGGAAGAGAAACAAGAAGTGCTGAAGAGAAAAATACAGGTGAAAAAAGACAGACACAGACAGAGACAGATACAAACAGAATTTGAGACAGGTGGGAGAGATGGGGAAATGGTTAGGAGAAATGAAGTGAGACTAACATTGAAGTAAACTTCCCTTAATCCCTTTTTATTTTGCATTCTGTCCACCCAGTTCAATATGTTACCAATATCCACTAGTCAGTCTTGAAATAGTAACTAACCCTGTTACCATTTTTTGTTTTTTAATATTTTGTTCTCTACCTTTTAAATTTCAGGGGCACTACCTTAATCTGGGGCACTTACAGCTGACGAAGTAGGGAAAGGGTATGAAGAGTGTAATTCTGAGTGAAGAGAATGCATTGTTCAACAAATAATGTAAAATCAGAATCTGTGCCCATCAGAGTAGAGGCTGCAAAGCAGAAGACCAGCTCCACTATGCTAGTTGTGTGACTTTGGGCATGTTACTTAGCTTCTCTTATCCTCAGCTCCCTTATCTGTAGAATGGGAAGATAATAAGGAATAAGGATACTAACATACAAACCACATGAAACGGGAGCATCAAAAGCACTCAACAGAAGTTAAACTATTCAAAGTGCCTTTAATATGAGTCTAAAAGAAATAGGAACTATTTTTTTAGTTTTCTTAGCATGAATGATAATTATCTTCTGTTAATTACTTGATGTAAACAACCTAGTCCTTGTAGTCATTTATCTCTTTTGCAAAAGAACTGAAATTTTTTCAAACAATAGTAAGCTATAAACTGATGAGTTCCTTTTTATATTTTCAAAGTTGTCATGTTGAGCCTCAGGAGTGAGTGAGAAACCCCTATTCCCTGGACCACTGCTCTTGGCCATGCTTCTCCTCCTTTCACCCAGATGAATTGCCCCTCTGCCCAGGGCGCCTTCTAATGAAGGGATGGGAGTCAGGCTACCCTGGTGCTACTCACTACCACCCCCTACAGGTTTCAGATAAAATCTCCCACTATTAAATGTCCAAACTACAAACAAAGAGGAGTTTGTGTTTTAAAAATAAATAATCTACATAAATTTGTTCTAAGGTTCAAGTTTTACCTTTCAGTCTGTAATGAATTAACTGAGTCTTTTCTAAAGAATGAAAAGGAAGAGATAAAAAGTTAAAAAAGAAACAAGGACACAACAAACACACGAGTAAAAGCTCTGCTTAACCTAAAAGAAAATAAAAGCATCTGTTAATTTAGAGATACGATGAAAATAGCAAATTAAATTTTAAAAGAAAAAATTCCTAAGAATTACTTCTATTTTAAAGATTACAAATTTGGTTACAAAACAGTTGTAAGATGTAGAAAGCATCACATAATAACTCTTTGGTCAAAACTGCAAAACATGATAGTTACTAAATTAAAATAAATCTAAAAGCATAGTTATTTTCACACATAGCTGATATTTTTTCTTTTTATTGAATTTATTGGGGCGATAACGGCTAACAAAATTATATAGGTTTCAGGTGCACAATTCCACACCACATTTGTACACTGTAATGTGTGTCCACCACCCCAAGTCAAGTCTCCTTCCATCACCATTTATCCCCCCCAAACCCCCCCCACATCACTCCCACAACCACCACACTGCTGTCCCTCCACCCCCCCAACCCAGCACCCCCCACATATAGCTGATACTGACACACAGCACAATGACTACTTCTGACTAAAAAATAAATTTACTTTGTTTGCAGTGAGTAAAAGAAAGAAACAAAAACTCAACATACCTAGTCTAGGAGGAAATGAAGTTAAAGGAGCCATGATAAGTTCAACATAAGTTAGGTTCACAAGGAAATATTCTTCTAGTTCTGGTATATCATCCTGCAAGATTTACAACCATTAAATTCCCTATAACTATGCTCTCAAAGTAATCCCCCCTCACAAGCTGTTTTGTAAATGATCTAACAAATATAAATGCTTTAATGGTATACAGAAAATATAAAAATGATAACAGAGAAGAGATTAACATGTCTGATGATGATTTTTTTAACTTGATATCAAAAGCAAAAGCAACAAAAATAAACAAGTAGGAAGGGCTACATCAAGCTAAAAAGCTTCTGCATAGCAAAGGAAACCATCAAGAAAATAAAAAAGGCAACCCATGGAACAAAAATAAAAATTTGCAAATCCTGTATTTGATAAGGAGTTAATATCCAAAATATATAAAGAACTCACAAGCTCAATACCAAAAATCAAACAATCTGATTAAAAATGTGCAAAAGAAGATGAACTACACACACACACAACATACACACAAAGTGGAATATTATGCAGCCATGAGAAAGTATATCCTGCCATTTATAACAACATGGACTGACCCTGAAGGCATTGTGTAAGTGAAATAAGCCAGACAGAAGACGACAAACACTGCATGGTATCATTTATATGTGGCATCAAAATAAAAAAGTCAAACTCACACAAACATAGTAGAAAACTGGTTGTCAAGGTGTTGGAGAGACTAGTAAAAGAATATGAACTCACCTATAAGATAAATAAGATCTAAAGATCTAATATAAATCATGGTGACTACAGTTAATAATACCACACTGTATAATGGAAATGTGTTAGTAAACTTTAAAGGCTGTCACACACGGAAAAAGATAAATACATGAGGTGATAGATATGTTAAATAGATGGGAGGGCTTCTATCACAGTATATGCATATATCAAATTATCACAATATACATTTTAAATATCTTACAATTTTATGTGATACCTTGCAGTGTTTGTCAATTGAACTTCTATAAAGCTGCATTTTCTAAAAAACCATAAAGATATGAGTTGGTCTAAAAGTTTGTTTTTTTTATCATAAGATGGCTCTACTAGTGCTTAGTTGTCTTTAACTTCATTTAGAACAATTTTGTTGTATTGTGACAGCTGTCATATCAGTATGCATTAAAAAAAAAACCTTATCAAAATTGGTGATTTTTTGTATAGCAATTTCAATACTGAAGATAAAAGAAAATACGCAACATTTTTTGGCATATTATGATTTATTATTTCAAAAAAGGTAAAAATGCAACTGAAATGCAACAAAAGACTTGTGCAGTGTATGGAGAAGGTGCTCTGACTGATAGTACATGTCAAATGTAGTTTGCAAAATTTTGTGCTAGCGATTTCTCGCTGGATGATGCTCCACTCTTGTGTAGACCGGTTAAAGTTGACAGAAATCAAATCGAGACATTGAGAACAATCAACATTCTATCATGTGGGTAGCCAACATACTCAAAATATCCAAATCAATAAAGTTACCAGTGAGAATGAAAAATGTGTCATTTTATGGAAAAAATCATACAGACTTTTTTGGCCAACCCAATATTAAACTTACACCTGATTGTATGATAAATTATTAGGTTGAACTACATGAAACAGCTAACATATAATTTTTAAAATCTATATTAATATTATATGTAAACCAAGATTATAAATATACAAGCTTAATCTATATTAAATACAAGCAAAAGATTTGAAATTACATGAATCTCCAATGATTAGAATGAAGACTATAATATTATGAAATTCAGACTTTGCAGACAGACTTCATACCAAATTGTTAACTTAAATTACTTAAACTTTAAGGTCTCAATTCTGCCATCTTTATAATGAGAAAATATAAGTACTTCAGAAATTATGATGATTAAAAATAATGTGTGGAATACTTTAAAGGCCTACAGAGTGTTCTTTAAAAAGTGATTAGCTACCTGTCGCATTATTACTATTAAACACCAGCCACACAACAGCAATGAAAATAAGGCAAGTGCTCAACAGGGCTAGTGAGAGCCATGGCAGTAGTGACCAGACAGGCAACAATATTTACACAGAAATCTAAAGTGTATACATGTATATACAGTATCACCATGTATATAACAACATATATCTCTATTTTATTTAATGGAGATATGATTCCATGTGAAAAAATAAGAAAATGAAAATGAGAGTATCTAAATTATTAATTATAGAGACTGAGAGTTACAGAATCGATGATGTAAAAGGAACTTTCCCACACCTACCCCACAATTTCCTACCCCTGTGCAAAAACTCCTCCCTCACCACCCCCACCTGGCTTATTTCTACATTTACAGGCCTGCAAACTCTTACTCTTACGCTACTCAGGGAGTAGAAAGAACTTCAAAGACCTAGGGAGAAAAGAAAGAAAGAAACTGGAAACCCTGTGTTCAAAAAGCTAGACTCTTTAAAGAAAAGAAGGGTGGCTATACATTTCCTGCTTTAAAAACTAGCATAGGGGAGGAATGATCCATTGGTTTACATTGTTACATTAATAGATTATATTTGAAAATAAGACTGACCCTACAGTTTTATAAAATCTTGCATTGTATGTCACATACTAACATATTACCTTTTATCGTATGGCTTTAGAGTTCTCATACTATCAGAATAGTATCAGTTCTCATACTATTAGGTCACCAGGCCACAGTAATCAACAAAATATGAGTTACCTCAGATGATAGATGGTTTACACTAATAATTTTGTGAAAGTAAAAAGCCTCTGAAAAATCTTTTAAAAATAGAACCCCCAAATTACAGAGTAATGGAACAATATTTTTCTAAGGCAACATTCTTTTTCTCTCTCTCTCTTCCGCTTCTCCAGCCCCCACACGCACATCATCTCCTACCCCTCTTCACATGTCCTATTTTCATAAACCTCTCATAAATGCATTTAGGTAACTGAAATAGTCTCAAAACAGCACAAGATTTCACAATATGAAAAATCACTTAAAACACAGTTCTAGTCACCACTGATTACTTTCAGTGTGACCATAATAACATTTTATGTCATCAGCCTCTTGCGAGTTGCTCAGTATCTCTAATTTAACCAGTCTTAACAATAAAGATGATGACCTACAGGGATTTGCTGATACAATTAATCCCTTGGAGTAATCAAAATGCTCCTTTAGAATCTCTTAGGCCAATGCTATTCTAATGGGGACTGCCCTAAGGAAATTATCTTTATCATAAGATGTTTCTATAATAAATTTCACAACAGCAGACCAGCCTTTCTAGACAACAACAGAAAGCCCTGCATCGTTTTTAAAAAATCACAAAAAGAAATAAACTGATATAAAGAATATTCTATCAGTTTCTACTTTCTATGTGGTTATTCAGGTTTAGTACAATAATACAACATAAGATTTTTACCTCAAGTATAGTTATGTCGATGGCTGCTGCTGTTACCCCTTCTTCTAAAATCAGAAAGCCAACTACCGGGACAAAGTCAACATCTGGCTCAGCTAAGTTTCCTTCCGTTTGGTTCTTTAGACTCAATACTCCAGGAACAGTAGTATATGTGACATTAATGGCTCCTATTTGAATTCAATGTGAAAAGATTTTATAATTAAACTTTTAAAATAGAAGCTCATAAGGAAATCTTCAGCTTTCCTAAAAGCATCTGCAATAGTTTATGCAATTAGCCCCATCTCCTTACTCCTTCCCATATCCTTGACCTTTACCATCTAATGGCTCAGTGACGCCCCGCTGTGAACAGGCATAGTGCCCTGCCTCTAGACTTGGAGTTTGGTTCTGTGACTTGTTTAGGCTGACAGTACAAAGCACAAGTGACGAGTCACAGTGCTAGTTCTGAGCCTGGACCTCCAGGGGCTTGGCATGTTTTTGCTTGCTTGCTTGTCTCTCTCCTGGTCCCAAGAGAAGAATGAGAGACATATGGAATACAGCCACCACGAGCCGAGCCTAAGTTAGCAGGCCCACAGCCAACATTACCATTATAGGATGCCATGATTTTATGACTGTTACATTCCATTTTGTGACAGTATAAAATTCCTTTAATCTTTCAAAAACAAAGAAGTTATAAAGTCCTATCCTAAATTAACAGACATTAATGTTTTTCCTGTCCCTGACTGACTTCAGCGATGGTTTTCACCCACACAAGTAGAATACTTAAAAAAAGCACCTGCCTGGAAACCCATTCATTCTAGAGCAACACAAACCTAGAGATCCGAATTCTCTGTTGATGAAAAGCTGAATTGTTACGTTAGCCTCTTGCAGCAAAACAAATCTTGATGAAAGAGCAAAATTTAAAACTCCATGTGGTTCATCACTGGCTTCCACAGTCAGGACAGCTGCATACCCTTGAGCATCAAGCAGGGCAATGCCTGCTGGTGGAACTCCTAAAACCGTCAGGGACCAAAGAACTCTGACAGTGATTTGGCATTAACTTCTAAACACTTAAAATATAATCGCACTCTCTGAAACATATTAAAGTAGATAGAAAATATTCTATTTTGTTCATTTCTTTAACAGAAGTCTCCAGGTTGAATAAGAGAATCTACATTTTAATTTTCTTTTTCTAGAGAGAAAACTTGAATTTTTTCACTTGACACAGTCGTTACTTACTATACTGGTCATCTGAAGTACAGAAATTGAGCAGAAACTGAGGAAAGTACCCATATACTTTGCTCAAAATAAGTGAATTTGAAATATCCGTATAAGGTGTAAGTCCAAATTGGCCTGCTAACATAAAATTAATTACAAAAAATTTCTTCCTTTGGAAATGTATTTTATTCCATAAGAAAATATCTAGCAAAATTTTAGAGGTTGTTCCTGAGTCCATAAAGACAATATATTCCCATTCTGAGCTGACTTTTTTTGTATTTAACAGTTTTAGGAACAGATGATATATAAACAGCATTTTTAATTATTGTGCATTGAATTGTTATATAAAGATAGCAACTATTACTTTTTTTCTGAAAAGGGTAATATACCAGAAAAAAATTTTAAACAAAATTCTGAATTACCTTGTGTCCTGACATCGTACAGAAAGACTTGGTAAACTTCTTTCTCCTCCGGAATGTTGTCATCCAGCAAATGTACACATAATGTTTTATTCAATGACCCCTATGACAAACAGAAAGAAATCCATCCCTGTACTATCCCTAAACCCAAAATATCTCCTGCTTTTATTGGCCTTAAAAAATTGCGCATCCAAATACATTTTTATGTAAACAAAGTGTTCTGTGGTTTAAAAAATAAATTAAAATCATTCGCTAATGAGAAGCCAGGCTTAAGGCACATAGGATTAATCGTAGAGGATCTCGAAGGCTAAGCTGGTCGCTGTAGATCTTATCCAATGAGCAAAGTAGCACTATTGACAAGTTCAGACAAAGCAATTTAGTTCGGGAGATTCTATGGCAGTGGTGAATAGGAAAAAAACTAGAACGTGGGAAATACCAGTGCCTGAGGGAGACCAGGGATTAGAAGTCCAATGCAGTACTCAAGGACAAAGGCTATATAGGTGCTTGGTTTAATATTGAGGCAGTGGAAATAAAAAGAAAAAGACTTAAACACATTTTCAAAAAATAATTCACCAAGTGAATGTGGAGAAGAGAGAAAGATGATTGAGTTACAACAAAGTGGTGCCAATTTTCTAAGAAGTGATTTTATGGTTCTTTCTCAACAATCACCTTTTTTCAAATTATCAGAATCTCTTAAATGGCATCCCAACAATACATTTCTAGGACTCTCTTTGTGCAATACTTTGTCAACAGGACATAAAAAGACATTTGTTTTTTGGAACTGTTTGCTGTTGCCATGCATCTGAAGTTCCAAGACAGTGAAGAGTAAGAGAAAAGGGACAAATACTATCGTCATCTTCAGGATGACACAGCTGACAGCAATGGGAGGCCTCGAGCGCAGCAAGAGAGCTTGGCTCAGAAACAAAGGCTACATTTTGTCTCTTTAAAGGAGATCTACCAAGCTCTTATGGAAAAGCAAATCCATTCCTCAAGTCTCAGAAATTCTTTATTCAACTAATGTTCTTCCTTTAGGGTTCCAAGCAAGTAGCCCTCCCTTCTGCCTCCATTAATCTTTGCATTATATAATCAGAGTTTTCCCAATTTTCTCCAAATGCAGTTTTCTCTACATAGGTTCAGTAAAGCTCTTCTTGGTGGTCTTACCTCAGGAAAGAAAAGTTGGCCAGAAAAGTTAGCAAAATTGAGTTCTAGATTTTGCCCAATAATTTTCCAGTTAACAGTAACATTTCCTCGACCAGGGGGTGTTCTTATCACATGAAATTGCAAAATTTCTCCTGCAAGTAAAATATACATAGTACGTAAGTAAAATGCTTAATGGAAAATGAATTTAAAACTTGAACTCAGCAAAACCCAAATCCCAAACATGCAACCATTACAGTACCTTTTCCAGAACATTATAAAGCAGTTCTGTTTTGAATTTTCTAGAAGCTTTATACATGCTTATTGTTTATTAACACAGGGATCTCATTTCTAAAGACTTTTATTTAGTAGAATTTCAGGAAGTTCAATATGTAAAAGTTACAAAAGCACATGCTATAATGGGAAACACAAGCTTTCATACACTCCAAAACATGCACCAGAACATAGATGTTCTATAAGTTAAAGAAAGTAATAAAATCCTCATGGTCAAAACTAACGATAGCACAAATAAATTTTCCTTCACTTTTCAAAAGGACACAATTCCTTACACTGATATGCAATGTGATTTTACCCAATGCATGCATAAAAATGCTTGCAAATACCTGAAAATCACATTTCTTTGAATTGTAACTTACATATACCATCAATGATTATGTTTTATAAAAAGAAATACAAAGGAAAGGTGTCAAATCTGTACATCAGTCTCTGTAACTTCACCAAAGTTACAGTATCCTTCCTGGATAATTGAGATATTGTACATACTTTCCATTCCTGGCTTTCTCCTCATATAATGCTTTGTAAAACTGAATAAAATCATTATAGTCATTTCTTTTAAACTGCTGAAAGGGAAACGTAAGCTGCTACGGAATGCTGCTGATGGCCATGCGGCTTGCTGAGAGTATGCTCAGTTCAAAAGCCTTGCATGATGATGAACGCAAGTTAAGGTATACTAATGAGCCACAGCACTAAAAAATAATTATTATTATAAAAATATAAATGGAATGACCTTTAAAAGGCTTTAAAAGAATATCCTTATTCAAATTGTATAGCATAGAAAGAGCTGAAAGCCATGCATATTCATTAAAAATATCACTTTTACTTAGTTATTCAAGTAAGCACATCTGAGAGTTTTTAACTGAGCAGAATAGAAATGAAACAAATAAAATATAAACACCCTTTTGACATATTTTTAAACTGCCAATTTTTTAATTTCTGAAGATAAAACAAATATTACTAATAAAAAGTTTTCTTAAAATATCATAGATTAATTTGGAAATTATGTTCATTTCAATTAGCAAAAAAACCAAATTACATTTTTATACTAAATTTAAGCACACTTATCTTTAAGACAATGAATTATTTTGGGGGAGTTGGAAGTATAAGAAGGCAAAAGTATCAGAAAGACTTCTAAATAAGATTTCCTCAAACACTTGAATGTTCAATGTATAAATTTTGTGTTTCAATACAAAAAAAATTTAGTTACCACTAAATTTATTTTAGTCTGTCTTTTTTTGTGTCTATTTATTTATTTTAGACTATGTCTTGTGTGGTTTGTTTTTTTTTAAACATTTAGGAAATGCTAGTTAGGAATCAGATTATCAAAAGGTTAGGATATAAAAGCAAAAGACTGTGTACAATCGGTCATAATTGTCAGGATACTACTTAAAATTTCTATCCTTGTATAGCTCATATGAACAAATATAGGTACTACCATAAAACTCTGGAGTCTCTCTATTGCACATCACGCAGAATCTCTCATAGAGGGTTTGTATCGAACTAAAAGGGCTTTAATTAGTGAAAGGCATAGACAGAGCCCTGGAGTCATTAAGCTCTTTTGCCTACAGTGTTGTCTGGTGACACCAAAAAAACAGAGTCATGATTTTCAAATTTTTAAAAATCATACAACCTAGCAATAAAACCTAGTAATACTTCAAAAAGAAAATTATGGAAGCTTGATCAGTGCTAAAAATACAATAAAATACAAGTGGCAAGAAAACAAAATGTAAGTCAATAAAGACCCACATTGAAGAGGACTCTATAGTCATAATAATTTTAAAAACTATGGTTGCAAGATTATACACAGAAATTTGGAAATAAATATACCATTGTAAGGTAAAGTTAAAAATAAAATGCTAAGGAGAGGGAAAAAAAGTAAAATCCTCCTATAAACTTGTAAAATATGTAAACATATAAAATATTCAGAGTCTAAAACCATTTAATATCACCTTTGTAAATTTAATAAATTACCACACAAGAAACTGGCAAGAAAATATTGCAAGAAACACAATTTGAAGCATGATACACACACAAATAAAATATAAACAAAGCATTCCTCAGACACAAAATCTTTTAAGCCTACTGTAAACTATGTCAATAGTATGAACAGTGTAAAATTTTTTTGAATAATCAAAATGAAGGTATCGCGTCTACTTTAAATGCCTCCTAGGCAATATTAATAGAAAGTTACCTTCTACCTGGATGAAAAGTCAAAGAACAGTTTTTAGAAAAGAAAAAACTTAAAAACCAGTCTTGATCTTATATAATGGGAAGGACAGAAAGTAGGTTAGAGAGAGGAAGGTAAATTTTTCTGATAACAAACTTTTATACCAGGTACTGCCTTCCAGATTTTGCTGGCTTCCAGATTTTGCCCCAGATAAAGAACTAAGAGGGGCCCTCATCTACCAGAGAATTTGACTATATTCCCGGAAAAGGATCCTGATAAAAAAATCTACAAAGTCCACCAAAAGTTGATGATACTTTAAAGCAGATACATTATGTAGAGCCTAGGCCTAACCTAATACAGATAAGGAATAGGAATATAAGTACGTTTTAACAACCCTGAGTATTTTGTATACTTGTTACCAAAACAAACAAGGATTCTTTTTACAAAGGTAAATAAAAAAAGCAGCTACATGTGTAAAAATAATAGAAAACTAAAATACAGAAAACATACTGATATTTTTTATACATACACACACACACACATTGTATACATGTACCATCTAAAGTGATTGCCTTCTATAATAGGAATTATTTAAAACAATATAGGGATATGAATAACATGAAACACAAACTGTCAATATGAACTGTTAAAAAAAAGTTGAATGTTTTTAATACAGTCAGCCCTCTGTATCCATGGGCTCTGCATCCACAAGTTCAACCAACCTTAGATCAAAAATACGTGGGGGAAAGAAGCTGCATGATTCTGCTGGCTTGGAATCATCCAAAAAAAAAAAACAAAAAAACAAACCAAAGTTGACATGTGTATAGTTTTCCTGTTCTTACTGAGTAAATAATACTGTGTAACAGCTATTTACATTGTGTTAGAAATTATAAGTAAAGATAAATTTAAGCATACAGGAAGATGTGCACAGATTATATGCAAATACTATGCCATTTTTGTGAGACCTGAGCATCCATGGATTTTTGGAATCCTCAGGGGTCCTAGAACCAACCTCCATGGATACTGAAGGACAACTGTACAGGTGTTCTATATTTTTACAAGTCACATTTCTTGTTCAAATCTTTGCCAAAAAGGATTCACAACGTCTCTGAGAAAAGGAAAATTATTAAATCCATTGAACATGACATGAGACTATGATGCTGCTAAGTTGGGTGACTGAGTGAAACATCTCATACAGACTTATAAAGAGCCCATTTATACACAGTTTGCAATCACAGTAAAAGAAAAAATATCTATTACCCCATATTTCTAAATTCTTCCCATTATGTTTGAAAGAAAGTAACATTTACCACCAGACATTTGTTCATTGCTTTAGGACAAAAATGTAGGAAAAAGATTCTACAGAATTCAATACATTGTTAAACACTAAAGCAATTTCTCCCCATGTACTGAAAATGCATGCTAGAGCCAAAAGTTCAGAATCATCCATGTTTTAAATATAATCTTATCAATGAAACTCCAACGATAGGCCAAAAGCAATGTTAGCATTTTTAAAATCCCACATGGCAATTTTTTTATCCCATTTCTTATTGGTTATCTTTGAAGAATTGCCATGACATTTTCATTAATTCAATCTGGCAACCTTAAGCTTGTTACACTTTTGTCTATGCAACTTCACAGCATTATAAAAAGTAACACTCAAAATACTAAGATTAAGCACAATGTTTTTGAAAAAGAAAACTAATTTAGACTCTAGGAAACGGTGTAGGATTAAGGAAAAGTAAAATAAGTAAAAAAAGAAAAAAGAAAAACTCCTCCCAATTTCTGCTTAGAAAATATAAAAAATCTAGGGAGCATTCATGGAAGCAATAAAAGTTACCTTCTTGTTGCACATGTTAGTATGAGACACACTGATTACTTCTGATAACTAATCAGAACAAACTCTTAACCTGGTCTCTCCCCACCTCTTTGGCAGAACCTTCTCTCTCTCCTCTCAGATCTTTTTCCTTTCCTATCACCTTAGCCTGGTATTTCACACCTTGATCTTTGACAATGTGCTTTTTCTTTCTCTGTCCACAAAGAATTTATTAATTTTTCTGACTTCAACTATTACCTCTAAATATCCAATTTCCATTTGTAAATATCCAGTTTCCATTTGTAGATAGAGAGGTTCTTTCACCAGTTTTCCTCTCTCTCATAGACATCTGTACTCAAATTCATTATTCTTCCAACCCAAACCATTTGAAGTATTTACCCAAAGATCCTACATTGTCAACTCCTGCAGCAGACTTAAGTGCCAGCAAAACAAAGTCTCTTCTCATAAACTGCCCTATAGAGGGGTCTCTGGATTCAGATGGCAGTGCGTTTAAGCTCTACCATGAATAATGGTGCTTATTTAGTCTTTCTAAAATTCGGTTTCTTTATGTGAAAATCTGGTGTAACCGTTAGGCCTATTTCACTGGGCTGTTGTTAAAATTAAGTGAAATCCTGGGCATGAAATGTGTGACACACAGAACACTCAATAAATGCTTTTGTTATTGTCATTACTATTAAAATTAACTTCCCGTATAGTGACTCTGCTACTTGTATTATATTACAAGCAATTTTTTGATGATCTGTCTTTAGATTGAACTTACGATTCTTTGTTAGTCACTTTCACTCACTATTTCTCTGACATCGTGAGATTTTAGACCCCTAATAAAAGGAAAGAGTGAGAGAAAATGTCTAAGCCATTTGGATCGATGAGCTAAACTTGCAGTTTGGGTGCACAGTGAGGTAAAAGGTAATACACACTCAAATGCATTTAGCTTTCAGCACAGCAATTAACTAGCTGTATGACCTTGTCAAGTCACTTTATCTCTGTGTCTCAGTTTCCTCATCTGTAAAACAGAAGTCCAAATGCATGATCAATATCCTTTCCATTTCTTATCTTTTTAAGGTACAATTTTTTATTTCTAAATATGAACTATAGTGAAACACAGGCTGTAAATAATAGTTCTGTCACAAACAGGCTTATTCAAAGACAAAAAAATTGCTATGATCTTTTTAACAAAACAACAATCTACAGGGTACAGCAAGAGTAGGTTTACAGTTGTTCATATGAAAAATATTACAATAATTAATAAATAATAATATAAGAATAAACTCTGTTTCAGGTACTCACAACCTTAAACCTACTTTTGCCCCACCCTGTAAATGCAACACCTTACATATAATGTGAAATATTAAGCAAATATTCAAAAAAATTGTTTAAGAAAAAATGGACTTTTTTTTATTGTTTTTTCTAGTTTGGCACTCACTATACACGAACCACTACTTGTTTTGAGCAGGGAACCAATGTTGCACTGATTAATACGAGCAGCTACCACTGAGCACATATGCACGTGCCAAGAACTATATTAAGCAGTTTACATTTATTAGCTCACTTAAGCCTAATAACGAAACCTATGAAGTGGTATTTGCCGTCATTCAACAGATAAGAAAGCTGGGCATCCAGGTTTGGCTAACTTCCTTAAAATCACACCAGCATGGAGTGGCAAGCTAGAACCCAACACCAATCCACAAAGTTCATAAATAGAGTTAAACAGTTCACTGCACATCCCTCTCCCAAATAAGTTCCATGCACATCAGCATACAAAGCCCTATAAAATCCTGAAAGGATTATAAAAATCAGAAACTTTAAAAGACTAAACAAAAAATGGCATCCATGGAAAAGAGAATCAATGTGCTCAACAAAAGAAGGAACCCACCTTCATGGCCTATGACAGATCTGGAAGCTGTCTGAAAGCTAACAATTCCTGCCACATTGTCATTGGCCAAAATGTTCACCGTAACAGTGTCAGAGCTGGGCAAAATTCTGCTTCCACCTTCCGTGTACACCAAACTAATTATAATGTTTTCATCATCCTCTGGCTCGGAATCATCCAAAATGGTTAAAATGACTGTCTTTTTGGTTTCACCTATTTTAAAAAATAATGGATTCACGAAATGAAAAAATAACCAATGTCACAAAGAATTCACAAAGGCTCAAAATTACTTTGATTTAAAAAAATTAAAAATATGTAAGTGAATTATAACGATAGTTCAATATCATGAGCAATATTAGTGCCAGTATAAGCAAACATTGTGTGTTAACCTATATCCTTTGACATATAAAACACTGTAAAATTTTGTTAGTCTGACAAATGGTGGAGGACATTTTGAATCATGGAAATTTAAAGGGTAGGATTATTTCAAAGAATCATGGTTTTATTCCTGGTCTTCAGCCTAGGACAGTGGTCCAGCTAGGAGGGAAGGAGCTTCTGAAGCATCTTCTGTTTAGAAACAGCTTCCTCCTGGAGAATGGAATCTCATTCTCCTTCTGGCATTACTGTGAATAATTTTCATCAGGTCCCTAAGCCAATACCTCACTGAAAAGAAACTTAGGGAACGGTGGTCAAAATGGAAAACAGATGGCAAATTCTTAGCAAACCAGCCTGGCTGAGATGTCTTTGGATAACTAGATGAGATGACAGCATCAAATGCCAGTTTCCAGAAGGTAGGGCAATGGAAGGAGGTAGAAGAGAAATTCAAAGGATAAGTGACAGTGACAAGGGCCAATCTACTTTGTAATTTGGTCTGGGACCTCAGTAGGACATAGGACACCCACCACTGAACTACCCTAAACCCAACAATGCATTGCTCTTCAGCCTGTGGTGCCTCCCGTTTAATTATTTGCCACTTTCTGCCAAGAGAATGAAAGAGTGAGAAGAGAAAAGGAAGGGAAAAGGAGAAAGGGGGCGTGCGTGCATGTTCTCCGTCTTGTGACTCTGGTGCATCTCTTCAATTCACAAAACTGCCTCAAAAGACTTAGATTAGTTACGAATCTCCATTAGCTATATAGTCCATTTTATGTGATGCTAAAGTTACAATTCAAAGTACTACTAATCTATATACTGCTATTACTTTATATGGTAACTTGGTAGTTACTAGAGCCACTGAAAAACCTAACTTTAAATTTTCATCTTCTCTTCCTCTTCATTAAATTTTCATTATTTCCTTTGAAAAAAGGAGAAAAGCTATCAATTACCAACCTGTGCCCCCCCCCGACTCCATCAGGTATGTCATATTTCATTATTCCCAAAATCACTAAAATAACCATTATAGAAATGTTTTATACTACTAAAAATTTACTCTAAAACATAGGCTGACTAGGTGTTTCAAAAAGTATACCATATATGCATCATGACCCTCAATTACTGTTTCCAAAAATAGTTTACACAAAAAGTTAAATAAAAGGTGCAACAAAGATATGTAATTGTGAATGTTTATTTCCTTTATTCTTCTGTATATAGTGAGGTTTTTATGAGTATATACCACTTTTTCATTCAGAAAAATACTATGTTAAAAACTGGATGGGATCTATAATTGTCCAAATCAGGATTTAAACAATGATCTCAGTAAAAACACTTTTTCACCTATGTAAAGAAAACTATTTTAAACATATGAACTTCCCAAATATTTAAATATTAGATGATTCAACCAGCCTCAAAAAGAATCTGTGACTCTGGCCCTAATTCTAATTTACTGGCCAAGTTACCTATAATTATATTGTTCAAGAAAATTTACAATTGTGATCCCATCCAAGTCTAAGAACAATACCAAACTGATCTGTAACTTGGCCTAAGTATAAATAAAGTCACCAAACTTCATACTATTTATACTTAGAATGACTTTCACTGAAGATTCATCCCAATTTATCTAATGAATATTAAAAAGCTCCCCAGTTAATACTCATTTTTAGCTAATTACTGGTATTCTTCTTAGCCATGTTTGGTAGATACATGGCTCGTTCTTGTAATTTCCCTTACAAAATTAGAGCTTTCCTTAAACTTGTCACCCTGTTTACTTAAAGGCACTCCTACCATATATAATGGCATAAAATTTACACATCCCCTGAAACCCTTCTTTGTTTAATAAACTAAAAGGACACACATGTAGAGCCATGTCAACCTACATGTCATGTCACCCCCTAACTTCTATTTTTTCAAAACTGTACTGTACTTTTACATACCAGCAAGAATGCACACAGTAAATAAGAACTCTTATGAACATTATCATAAAAATTGAACATGAAGACTTTGCCAGGATGAACTAAAACTGTTTTAGAAGCATCACTCACCTTCGGCAAAAGTGAGAACGTCTCCAGCACCTATAAAATCTAAACCTTCAGTGGCTGTTCCACCAACAACATGCCATTCGACTGTCACCTGACCTAAGCTGCCCCCTGTCCTGTGAATCATCAGCTCCACTGTGCTTTGGGGCTTCTCCTGAACTTCGACATACAAGCCATCTTCTGAGGTATTGGGGCTAATACTGTAGATCACAAACACTCCAAAGGCATCACCATTTAACGCTATGACAACTGTCGAAGTATTTGGCTGTCCTATGGTTGGCTGATTTTCCAAACTGGCTGTGATGTTCATGAGGTGAACTTCAAGGAGAGAAATTAGGAAACTCTCATCCATCTCTGGGAAATCATCCACAAGAATGGAAACTGTGAGATTTGCAAATTCATCACCTTCCAGCATTATGGCCCATTGTCTGGTCACAGGCTCATAGTCGCTACCAGCCACAGCCTGACCACTAAAAAGAGCCGCTACCCTGGTCATGTTTTTCCTGTAGGTCCAGAAGTCTGAGTGGTTAACAGCTGGACTGATCCACGATGTCATCCAGAAACACTGGGGGCCCTCAGAGGCACTGAAAAATGAAAATGCTGAGCATGCATGTTCTTTGAGGCACAACGTGGCACAAGTATGCTGTGGTTGCCCCACTGCAGAGACATTCACCCAAGTCCTCCAAAGCGGGTCAGGCACCCCCTGTATTGGCGATTCATAGTAGAACAGTAAATCTTGACCTTCCTCAATTGCAAGGGCCACTACATCAATATCGGAAGTACTGTAGAACAACAAGAGCTGACCAAAGAGCCCTCCGCTAAAACGTGGAGGGACAATTAAAAGATAGGTTAAGCACTCAAAGCAATCTGTGGATTACATTTAGAGAAGACAAATACTAATTGCAGTTTTCACTTTTTAAAGTATAAAACGTGCTTGTACAAACACAACCATGTTTCTTATTACCTTTGTCTTTCAATGCTTTATTTTGTCATGTAAGGAAACCTTCCTAGGTTTTGATCATACAATAATTTTCTTTTTACCAAGCTATGAAAATATCTTGCAAGGTATACAAATCATAACCACTTTGAAATTATCAAATAGAAATGGAAAATTAATTTTCATTACTAGATTTCACTGAAACAAAGTAACAATGATAGCAGAATGAGTACATTTTGAGGAAATATAATTATTTGCCATAAAGTCCCCAAAGCCCAAATTTTCTGTTTCTAAAGGAATTCAGTGAGCTGTATGCTGCCTCACAAAAGAAATGAAGAGAAAGTAGAACCTGAAAATTAACCACCTCAGCATATGAATGTTCTTTAATTTACAAGCTAATTGTATTTAAGCTCTAACTCCAACAAGTCACAGATTAAAGCAACAAATTTCCGGAGTTAGAAAGCCCGATGATGTACAATCCATTTCCCTAATAATAGCTATGATAAATATAATGAGCTCTTTATATTAATAGGCATAAATCATTTAACAAATTATAATAATTTACATTATATAAAAACTATCAAACCTAAATTATTTAATTGTGCAAGAGATCCTTTCCCACCAACCCACAATTCCCATCACCCCACTGAAAGTAGCCAACTCATATACCTTCTTCTGACAGTTATGTTAGCACAGGAACTTCTCTCCAGAGGCTCTTGAACACGATAAACCGACTGAGCAAAGGCTACTGTACCATAAGGATTATCATTGGCAGGAATAATAATATTTGCCACTCGATCTAACCCAATAGTACCTCCACCGGAGGCATCAGTTAGTTGCACTTGAATAACCTAAAAATACAGTGAAAACTTCCTTAACAGAATCCCAGTTCTGCAATTAGATTGAGAATGATGCAAGGGAAAAATATTAAACATATCCATACAAGTACAAGAACAAAATGGAATGTAATATAAATGGACTCATAAAAATCCTCCTATTATATTTACAAACTCAACATGTAACAGAATAATCCATCATGAACTTTTAATATTACAGCATGATTATACATTTAAAAATAGGCTATTTAAGTTCTTTAATATTCAGTTATATAATCTCGTGAATCAATTTTGAGATCCCTGTTCATGTTTACCACTTCAGTAATAAATTTTTATGTCCTACACCTTTTCTTATTTAGGGGAAATATTGCATATTGTTTTATGAAGTTAATCTATTATGCTTTATTTCCCACATTCTTTTAAATGGAAATTCTCTGACAAAATTTAAAACAAAAAACATTGTGTTATAATACCACTTAAATCTAGAGAGAAGAGAAATGTTTTACAGTTATTAACTAACATCTAATATTTTAGGAGTGAATAATGACATAATTAGCATTCAAATAAAATTTTATGAACTTCCCTTCTATGAAAATTTGCTACTATTAAAGAACAAATGCTATTAAATATAATTTTATGAGATGAAGGCTTTAATAATATTTAAAGTTTACACAGTAAAATGATCTTCAGCCAATATATGTTATTGATGAATCAACTTTCCCACTGAAACTCTATTTTATTTGTTACCTTGTTTCTTTATCATGAAAAATAAATATCAGACAGCTATTTCTAGCATTGTATCTGTCACATAGTAAATTCTCAAAATTGTTGAAGAATGAATGAATGAATGGATGGATGGAAAAAAATAAAAATCTAATTTAAGATTGGCACACCTTGAAGCCCAAAGGGAATATGAATATAAACAAATGAAGAGTTTATATGAAACAATGTAGCAAAACATATGATTAGATGTATAGGTATTTAAACACTTAGCCAAAATGTTGAAAAACACAACTGTATGAAAAAATTCTTACACTAGTACATTGGTATGTACAAAAGACCTAATTCTAGAATATTCTTGTTTTTTATCATCTGTAAGGAAGGATTACTTTCACAATACCACATTTTGAACATTCTTGCATAAATAATTTATTTGACATCCTCTATAAATGTCACAATAACAGCCATCTGTTCTAGTCACTATAAGATTTACAGTGTGATTCTATACTAGCCATTCCTCTCACCTCTTCAATCTCCGGAACGTCGTCAGCCAGGACCTCTAACAACAAGGTTTGAATGGTTTCCCCAGGGGCAAAGGTCACATTACCTGAGACAACTCGCAGGTCGCCAGTAGCAAGCTGTCCATTAATGGTGGCAACCCACTGAACAGTAACATTGCCGAGTGTCCCAGAATTTCGAATTATTGGCAGGTTTACCTTCACTGAGTTAAACTCAGGTTCCTCTACAATAAGTTTAGTAATCTGAAAACCTGAAGGGCAAGCAGAGTTAATTTCAAATACAAAATGAAACTGAGTCAACACAGAGCTAACCAACTGCCATCCTACAGTCACTTCGTTTTTACCCCTTCAGCAATCCAAGTAGCTAAACCCCCTAAAATCAGAGTAACATGCTGCGATACAAAGTGGTCAAGGCCACCAAAATTTCCAAATTATTTTTCATTATGATAGAAGCAGAAATCATAAGCCCAGAGGACCACGGGGCTTGGGCATACACCAGTCGCGAGGGCAGTGGGTCTAGTGAGTCCTGTGGCTAATTGAGCAACGCAAGCGCGGTCCAAAGGCACAGGTGCTCTTTGACTCCCACGACTGATGCAATCAATGCAGCAGAGGGGGCGTGATGCAGCCAGGTTTCCCTACTTAACAAGAAAGCCCAGATATACAAATTTTTGTGTAAGTTTCTGTAAAATAATTTTTAAAGACTTTTCTAAAATTCATAAAACACATTTAGGAGCCAGAAGTGACTTAAAAGCCTAAAAGATTGTGACTTCCATTTTTATGCTAGGAGGTCGATTTTTTTAAATAAACACTAACTACTGCCAGTGAGTACACACTGATGGTGTATATAACAGGTTAAAAAGAAAACATGATCAAATCAATTCTGCATCTCTAAAAATAAAGAAATGTACAATCTATGCAGACAAGTAAAAGAGTGAGACAAACTAATTCGGTTACCAAATAATCCATAGGGGTCATCAGAGGCCTCAATAATAATGATAGCCTCTGTTAATGCCCCTAGTTTGGCTCCTCCTGTCGTTTCATTCAGCAGTTGCACAAGAAAAGATTCTTCCAGCTCAGGGTAAATGTCATCAATGATATATATTGGCACAGCTTTACTGGTTTCCCCTTCTAGCAAGACCACATCTGATGAAGCTATACTATAATCTTCACCTACAGAGACAAAAAGCAAAATGCTAAGACTTATTCCAAAACATAAGAAACATGGCATATAACTAGAGAAACACTTAGGACATATTAAATTGGAAAGACTTTTTTGAGAATACTTACATTTATTCTAAACAATAAGACTTTGCCTCTCACTTTAAAAAAATGGGTTTGATATCACAAAACAATGAAAAAGGCTTCCTAAGGGTGTTCGAGTTCATTCACGCATTTTTAGAAAAATATAGACATAATTTGTTCTATTTGCTATATACATATATAGATGATGTATAGATACAGATATAGGTATAGACATAGTCATTCATTATCACAAGATAGCTCCATATCTACAAAAAACTATGCACAATACTTTTAAAACAAAGAATAAAACTAGAATTCTAATCTCACTGGGGAGACGCATTATACTGTTGCATAGATATGGGCATGTCAACATCATCAGTGTGATAGCTGGAAACTATGAGCCTTTCCACAAAGCTGGATTAAAAGCTGCTACTACCTCCTGCTCAGGGTGACTTTGTTCCTGGTCCAAGAGCAGTTGAGGAAAGGACAGAGGCTTTCTATGGAGCCCGAGGGCAAATTTCCTAGAACTCTGATGAATTCTCTCTGTCAACGAATGTGTAAGATCCCTTGAAGACAGTCAGGCATTCCTCCGGGCTGCTACCCAAAGTGCGTATGTGGGCAGCGAGGCGGGGGGAGCACGAGTTTTGTACCCATGCGCGCACACACCACTTAGGGACAAAATGAGCCTGGTTTATTATCTCTTCAAACACGTCTCCAATACAGATAGTGTATTTCAAAAGATCAAGCCTGTGATCCCATCCACCCACACGCATGTTCCCTTCAGTGCATACTAGATTCTAACTGAACCGCTCTTACATGAATCTCCCTCTAGGTGCTGTCACTGCACCACCAAAGGCGGCAGTCACCCTCCTGATGTTTGCGTTTGGCAATGAAAACGTTTTGCTTATACATAAAATAGTTAATGCTAACCATTGTCTCTTCCATGTTCTTCATAAATAAACAAGCAAGATAAATGGGTAAAACAAAAAACTGTTGCCAAATACTGCAACCACATGGCTGGACATTATATCCTGCATTCCTTGGTATCGACAGGATTCCTTTTCAAAAAACTAAAAGGTACACACAGAGAAAGACGAACTATGTTTTCCTTAGTTTACTTTGCACTGGTTTGTGCATTCATCATAGTCTTTAAATTTATGTACAATTTGCCAACAGTTTCCACAAACTCTATCAAATCAGTGTCATAAATAGATGATAAAAGCTCTGATGTGTGCTTTCGAAAGATACAAGAGTGTTGTTTTCTGGCTGATTGTCCTAATTACATCTTTCAGTAGCTTTGTTAATGAAAGGTAAAATTTCCCTCTAAAACACTCCACTGCCCGTTAGAGGTCTTTTCTCACCAGGTATTGCAGTTATTGGCACAGTTTTAAATTTCACAGAAACATCTGCAAATGCGCCTCCTGTCCTAGTCACATTGATAATGGGTCCAATGTGATTTTCTGCCACTCGAACAACTGGAGCTGAGAGCTGAAGAGTTCCAAAGGCATCATCGTTGGCAACAATAATTAGATGAGCAATAGTTTCTACCTTAGGCCCAAGGCGTGGAGAATTTGGAACTGAAAGAGAAGAAATTCGAATGTATCAAAATTCTATGAACTGGACAAAAGTTATTAAGCCTCAGCAAGACTTCATCAGCCAAATGGGATCATCATTTAGTGTTTTCTCTCTAATATCTATAGCCAAAAATTATTGATTACTCTGAACCAGCAACTAATCTCAACACTGGGGATACAAAAATCAGGTAAACAGAAAGTCCCTACCCTTATAATTTTATATTCTGTTCAGATTTTTATTATAGAATCCTTAGCAAAGAAATAGTTAATCTACAAAGATATTTTAATAAGGGCTGGAAATTTATCAAAAGACAAGAAATGATTAAAGTATAATAAATCATCACTTTGCATAATATTACAAGGGATAATGATGAAACCTACAGAATTATGATCTTCTAATTAGCTACCAGCATGCCATAAAATTTTTTAAAAACAGCATTTCAGTTACAAAATTAGGTAGGAAAGTAATTGAGCCCCTTGCCCTCAAGGGCCAGCTGCAGCCAATCATCACTCTAATGAAATGACTGCCTGTGTGTTAGCTGTCCTCCCCGCACACCTGACCCCCTGCCCGTTCAGTTACCAGTCGCTCTGCTACCTCCTCCAGAAAAAGGGCCTCAATGCTACCCCAGCGCTGCTATAAAAGAGCGTGCAAACTCTTAAGGTTGTCTTTTTACTTTCCACTGATTTTCAAGAGAGCTTATTTTGAAGGCATTTAGGACCTTCCAAAAACTCTCCCTGATGTATTTTCTAGGTTCGATTCCAACCAGAACCCTTGTCAAAACAATATAAAACATGAACTTTTAACACAAACCATCAAAAAACTTTTATTAGAAGTAAAGAATTTTGAGCTCATATTTATTTTTTTCCTGTTTTTATTCTTTCTAGAGTTCATATTTAGGCTATCTCTAACAATGGTGTTATTCGGAAATATGTGATAATGAATAAAAGTTATACTTTTCAGACAATTTAACCTAAAAAGTAATAACACCATTTAATTTCAACTATATTGGCCCAGATCATGCTAAATTATATCATAAAGTCACAATTATAAATCAATATAATTAAATCCAACTAAATTAGAAAAGAATGGAAGTGACACAGAGAGACGGAGGAGCACATGACATTTTTTTCAGTGTGCACTGTTTACCTAACATCATTCTAAGAACTTTTCTTATATCAAGTCATGTAATCCCGATGCCAGCTCTATGTGGTCAGTGATATTGTCCACAATTTACAGCTGAGGAAATCAGGGCCACAAAGATGTCCAGGTATCCTACTAGTACCAGGTGGACACTGTCAAAAGGCAGCCTGTAGGGTTTGTCCAATCACTATTTAGTTCCTCATCAAACCTCTTCTGAAAGTTGATTACACTCAGGGCAGAACAACAGAGACCCTACCAGGTTCCACTGATTTTCGTCTATTAATATTTGAATCAATGTCACACAGATTTGCACTCCATCCTTCTTTAATTATTTTACATGACAGTTTCTGCCTATTGAACTCGAGCATAAAATACGTCACTTGTTTCTCCCATCCTATAGCACACTGATATTTTACATATAACCCATTATTAGTAATAACTGTTTACATGTACCAAATGGTTACCATGTGCCAGACACTATATTAATTTTCACATACATTATCATATTTCAGTCCTTTAATATTTCTAGGTAATACATAAGGAAACTGGGGCTAAAAACAATTATGTCCAACTTTATTACTACACAATGGAACATAAGTTATCTGACACCAGCACCCACAGCTCTTAGTCACTGGAATATGTGATAATCCCTCCTAGTTTTATTTCCGTCTCACTTAAAAAACTATGTGTTCCTGGAAAACTAGTCTATATTAAGTAATTTTTACTTCCTAAGACTAATTATTGAATTTTATTTCAATTTATTTACTATTTTAACTTATTCTAAATCTTGCTGAGAAAAAAAGGATGAAGTATTATATAAGAATTTTAACCTTAATGGTTATCTGAAAATTCAATGTTAGCCAGTTATCCTTTCAAGTAAATTTCCTTCTATAACCCTGAACTAATAAAATCACTGACACTGTGGGCAAGAATGCTGCTTTCAGTACATCTACTTAGATATTACAGTAGGTAAAGAAATGTACTTGTAAGAAATCTTAATCTATGTGGCAGATCATGGTCAACATGCAGATATTGGATATCTTACTCTTTGGATTATGAATTCCAGTTTCCTTAAAAAGGGTTTGATTCCATATAAATAATGTCCTAAAACTGATATTAAATTGACCTTAAATTAATATTACCAATCTTTCTTCCTTTACTTGTTCCTTTATTCAAGGAAATCTAGACTCTTCTCACCTTTCTGAAGTCCTATGTCCACTTAGAAAGGTGTGACTAATGAACAAGCTGTAACACAGTTAAGTGCCTTCAACTCCACCAGCTCAAGCCCAGCCCTCTGCTCACACCACCCTGCTCTCTCTACAAAGCCACTGAGCCACAACCACCCCAGGGAGAGCAGATTATATTTTCTAGTAGAAGCCACTTGCTGTCCCAGATCCGCTACCCAACGTGGTTCACTCCTCATTCCTCCTTCTTATTCCCAAATTGTCTTCTTCTCAAGTCTAAGAATGGCCCACAAATTTATAGGATTTCTTACTGCCCCACAGCCCTGTCACCCTGCCCTCATGCAGTTGCCAGGTCCAGAAGCTCCCCACCAATACAAAGAGTCTCTGTTGCTTAAGGAATCTTCCCCAGTGGATCAAGGTGAGAGGCTCAGGCTCTTGGTACCAGACCTGTCCTTGCAACCCCCAGGTTGATTTTAGGATGTTTTGGAAGATACAGTATATAGTACAATAGCACTAGAGGTCAGTTTATGTAGACACTTCCAAAAATTTAGTCTTGGAATGTAACAGATTTTTTTTATTGTTATGCTATTACAGTTGTTCCCACTTTTTCTCCACTTTCCCACCTCCACCCAGCCCCACCTTCCTCCCTCCCTCAGTCAATCCCCAGATTGTTGTCAGGGGCATGGGTCATGCATAAATGTTCTTTGGTTAATCCCTTCATGATTTCATGTTTTTAAGTGTTCCACTTCCATTTACTTTATAGGTAAACTTTTATAAAATGGTGCTTTCAAATTTAGAGCTTATTATTTTTAAAGAATTTTCTACTATACCAAATTCTTGATTTATTGTCCTATGGAACAGAATTCTTCTAATAATAATGACAACAACAACAACAACACAGTAATGGCTACTTACTTGGTCGATTCTGTACTTTCTCTATTAAAGTAGAGTTGAGTAGTTCGATAAACACAGACTCTGACCTTTCTGGTTCATCATCATCCAAAATTGAAATAGTTATTGTGGCCTCACTCTGATTGGCTCTGAAAAGAGCAAATCCAGAAGCTGGTATATAGTCCCTTCCTTGGGTTGCTCTGGCTAAATTAGGTGGAAAATAAGGTGGTTTTTCCATATCATCCAGTGTTGCATATGTGACTATGACTTTTCCCATGAGGCCCCTTAACCTTATTATTGACAACGTGATGTTCTGAGTTGCTTCCTCAACTTCAATAGGCCTATTTTTCTCGGAAAAGATGAAGACCCCATAAGGATCATCACTAGCCAAAACTATCAATGTGGCATTAGTATGAACTCCCAAAGAGCCACTGGAGACACTGAGGATTAACACAGAGAATGCCTTGTCCAGTTCTGGATCGTCATCCGGCAATATTTCCACTGTGATGTTGGCACTTTTTTGCCCAATTTCAAATGTGACGTTGCCAGAGGTGAAAGCGAGATCGCCATCAGGATCAGAGTCTATGCTCCAAAGCAAAGTCACTTGAGACAAAGCTCCATGACTTCTCACAATCTATAAAATATTGAATATTAACATGTATTAAAAGAGGTATTAAAACCACTGACTTAGAGGTTTATAAAAACAGAATAGCAGAATGTTAAATTTCTAGTTTATATAAGGTGCTCTCAAAAAACGTAAGATTCTTAAAGGCAGATACCATGTACTGCCCATTTTTGAAGGCTCTCTGAGAATCCTACTTAAAAAGTGATTATTGCATGAAACAAGGTGTGGACTGACCATTTTTAGCTTGTAACTAAACTATAGCTGTATTTTTCTGCAATTAAATATATATAGGTAATAAAGCAAATGTAATTAAAATGTATAATTAAGCACATTTATTAACATTTTTATATTTACTGCAAAGATCATATATACTTCATTGTAAGGAACAGATGATTGTTTTTTTAATGAAAAGTTAGCCATAAGGCTCATTTTTTAAAATAAATTACTATATTTCCTTTATCTTCAATATAATATGAAAAACAAACTCACCAAAAAATATATTTGACCCAAGGTTACATAAAATACAACAGAGAAGAAACACCTTATTTGTCAATATGTTAAGAAGACTAAAAGCTTTTAAAAATGTTCTAAATAAAGTACAACTAAAAGTAATTTTTATTTAGACAAAGTATAAATGTCTCAAAATAAAACTCGAGACAGACAAAACTTGATCTTCTCCCATAATCTTTTTTTTTTATTTTCTTTCTTGAGTAATGTCATCCTTGTTAAAGTTATTCAATTTACTCCACAAGAGTTTCCTGAATATGTGCCATTACAGTACAAGAAAGATATTTTGAGTGATTTTTTCTTCCTTTATATGCAATCTGAGGAAGCTCAGGAGGCTTCCAGCTGCTCTGAGCTATTTAGCAATGGAAAAGTACTTGATTCCTACCAAAACAACATGAAGTAAACACGCGCGCGCACACACACACACACTATATAAAGTTGTTATTATTGCTGTTCACAAACGTTTCGGATTTTCTTTCCTTGTGGGAGAGAGGTAAGACAGGATTGCACTTCTCTACCCGTTAACATTAGCATGGTCATGTGACTTGCGTTGGCCAAGGAGAAGTGGAAATACTATGATCACTTCCAGAAAGAAGCAGTGAGAGTCACTACGTAGTTCTCCACATCCACATTTCCTCCTTCTCGAAGAGAGAAGCACCTTCTGAGATGCAGCCTTTCTAATCCTCAGTCCCTAGGTGATCGATGATTGCTAATTTCAGTTGAATACATAGCACGAGTGACAAACCAATCTTTGTTGTAAACTATTGAGATTTTGGAGAAGTTTGTTACCTTCTCCACAGCCTATGTGAATGAAAACAAAAATCTATGTGATACAGCTCCATTACATTTCTTAAAGAGTCAAGAATCCTCAGAATCGTAAGATGAATTTGTATGCAAAACTAAATACAAAGGTAAGTGTTAAATCACTATTTCATTGTCATTTTGAACTGTTTGTGCCACCAGGCTCATTCATCTCACATATATAGAAAAAAAAATGATATAAAGTCACCTTGATGATACAAGTTTTAAAAGAACAGAAAATATCTAGGATTGCAGGGGGTAAAATGTACTCACGTTGAATGTAACAGTGCTGTATCCGTCTTCTGGTTCAGTTCCATTGACAATGAGTGACTCAGGGCTAAATTCAAATACACCATGAGCGTAGTCAGAGGCCTCGATTGTCACTAGAATTTGGGAAGCCACTCCTAGACTGGCTGCATGAATAAATTCCAACAAATAGTAAGAAATGTTAATCAGTAATTTACAAATCAAAGGAAAAGGCAAGTATCAACCTTTTGAAAAGAGTTGTACCATTCATTGAGTACTTCTAATTTGTTTCAGAAAGAAAGGCAGACACAAATGGTTGCCACACACATTCATGCCTTTATGACCTTTCTCTGTTTTGGCACCAATGTGACATACGAGCACTGCCTAAGCATTTGCAGATGAATAAGGAAAACTTGTTTTTCTTTTACCTCTCTGTGAAAGAGACACTCTTCCAGATGGAATATATGAGGAAAGTCTCCCACGACCTTTAATGACCTTGAAAGAACATGAGCCAAATGACTCTGACCCTTATGAAAGTAATTTTCCTATGACTTTCACCAATCTACTGAACCAATTCTTGATTTCCAAATGCGCATTAAGTTTAGGCCTATTTTCTCACCATATTACCATATTCTAGATCTACCTCTCCTGGTCCCAAACAGTCCAATCCTGTAGCTAAAAAGATATCAAAGTCTAAAGAAGTATTTAATTATTTTCCTGAGAAGTACGCTGAACTTTTATGTCATATTAATAGATGCAGACAAAAAAAGAAGCAAACCCAAATGTAGTACATTAAATACAGAAGTACGTGATACACTAAGGGAAGATAGGGATGAGGGGATGGGAACATGGGAACATGAGTTCTGACACTAAAATATAACCCCTGACATTGTGAATAAGGAGCACTTCAGGGTTAGAAAAAGATCTCCCTTACGAAGCAAGTACTCTATGTATTCTCTCCTAATATGAAAAAAATATTTGAGAGAAAAAGCTGAACCAAGTTTGTACATAAATCTACTTCAAAAAGTATCATCTTTTCATATTTCCTTCCATTAATTGGTAATTTATTCTCCCTACTTATTTTCTCCTTAAATTCTTTTTCCCAATTGTTTTGATTAAGTGCTATACATAAAGACTCACAGTTCTCTTTGCCAAAAAAAAAAAAAAAGTGACTCATTTAACATGAAAATATAAATGTCCTATTTATCTCTCTTTACGTATTCAAACCTTTGTAAAATGTTTTTCAATAATCACTTGTAAATGATACCAAAGCAAATTTTCTTTTACAATCAGAATCAGGAAACTGCAGTAGGCTCATACGGAGAAGAGAGTCTGAGCTTTGGAGGCAGGCAAAGACTTGATTGATTTGATCACTTTGTAGCTGGGTAACTATAACATGGGGTAAATAATACCTCATAAAGGTACTGTGATGGTTAATGAGATAAAATATACAGAGGACCTGCACATTGTAGGGGTCAATAATTGGTTAGTATTGTCTCTAAGAAGAAAAGTTAAGATGCAGAACAGTAAAGGGCCTTGGGACAGCTGCTTACCATGTTTGTGAATAGTTGGGAGGAAGAATTCCATGTCCCCATCACCACTACCACTGCCTTCAACCCTATAGAGTTCAGCAGTCACTTCACAAGGAGAGACACAGAGACGCAACCCACACAACACACATTGACACAATGAGAAAATTGAGAGCTCTTAAAACATAATTCAGTAAAGAGGAAAACGCAGTAATATTCACCCAATGATATGCATTCTTCCCCCTCCAAAAACTAAATTCTTTTAAGTGGTAAAAGTATAAATTAGTTAAACTGACAATTTACAAAAACATCATTCAGTGCTTCAGGAAATACTCCGTATAAGTTGTAATTGGAATTTCTCATTTCTGCCAATTTATTTTAAACTTTCACTTATAGCACTGTAAATTAGTTTTAATATTTTAAATATTTCAAAACTATTCATTTGTGTGTATAAACGTATACTCAGACCTATATGCTTTTACTTTACCACTCACAACAACCAATTCAAAAGTAGGGAAATGCATATAACATTTCGCTCCAGCCACACATTCAAATTCCCACCATATTTACCATTCTCAGACTTGGTCACCATTTTATATCTGACACTGCATAAAGAATCCTAGGCAAGCAATCTAAAACTATGTTTCGGCCCTGGCTGTGAGAGAGACCATCAGCTGTACAACCTTCAGGAAATCACTAAGCCTCTTGGTACCTTGCTTTTCTTACCTATAAAAGGTGCTGCTTTTTATAGAACTGCTGTAAAGATTTAAAAAATAGAGTGCCTTGGCAATATATAAGGACTATATTAAGAGAAAGTACTTTTACCTTTGCTTCCAATACATCTTCTCACCCAACCGTTATTTTACCAAACGCTTGCAAACAATGAACACAGGAAGAACAGCAGTGGTAGCGGTGGAGAAACAGAGGAGTAAGAGAAGCAAGGCCACATCCATACCTACGCGCATCTACCAGTATCCGTGACTGGCATGCTAGTTTAAGATCTGCCCTGCTCTTTCGTTCCCCTTAATAGGAATGGGTGAAACCGGACATGAGAATTTATGGCACCCCAAACCTGAAATATTTTAGAAATAAGGCAAATGGATTTCAGGGAATAGCCAATGCCTGGCTTTGCCCTCATATTATCCATAAGTTGTTAGAAGAGTGAAATTCAACACCAATGCTCTCTGGCTAGCATACAACATGAATTCAGTTGTCTATTGTATGTGGAATCAGTTTTACAGACAAAACAGTATGAAATAAAGACTACTTCCTTGACCCTCAGAACAACTTAGCTCTACAAGCTTTTTCACTTCTTAGGTGATCCCAGGCAATGACGCGCAGAGTGGAGGCCAGGGTCTAAATTCCTTTACCTCCACTCCCAGCTCACTTGGATAGGGAGGAATCAGACTCTCTGCCACTACTGCTTACTAAGTAACTGCAACACTAGTTTTCAAATGAGCACACATGCCCAATTAATACATAGTAATGCATACTATAGAGATATGGGAAGAAATTTCTACATAAAATCACAAGTATTACTATGATCACAAATATCATTTCTAAAGCATATTTGATGTTCCTTATTAATCAATATTAGAAAGTGATCACTAACATTCTCAATTACATTAAGTATTTTTAACTATACTACAAAGAACAACTTTTCAAGTAATTTACAGTGCCCTTTGATTAATGAAGACATGTCATGAAAATAATGATTTGGAGATCTGAGGACTTGTCTGCAGAGGACAAGCAAAGCTGGCATTATTACAGGCTCCCTGCCAAACAGGTCACCCTGTACGTTTTTACTGTTTACTCAGTGAACCAAGCTGTGGCACTGTGTAATCACCTCCCAGGCCTGCCCACCTTCGCTTTCACTGCCCTTTGGGGAAACAGGGAAGGGAACTTAGGGGAAATTTTGCCTACCCAACCCAAAGTCTCACTATGTACTAAAAAGACAACATTTGTCATGCCCAATCTCTCCCTTTGGATGACTTATATAGTACTATGAGTTTCTTTATCAAATATGAATAGTAAGATAATAATGCCAGGTCATGTAATGGAAGAGACTGTACCAAGAATACCGTAACAACTCTCAATTTCTTACATTTACAGAGGTAATGTTGTACATACCACACATATTCTGTAACACCCCAGAAGAACCTGATAATCAAACACATTAATCCTTCTGCAAAGAAACATACCTAAATAGTTCATCTAAGTGGGGTAATAAAGATTATAAATAGCCTCTCTTTGACACAGATGAGTTTTGCCACAAAATGAATTTTGACTCCAAAATATTGATAATCAGAGCTTTCCGAACATTAGAATAAAAGATAAAGTACTGCTGACCTGTTTTATTGATAATCACCTCTTAATAGATTACCTAAAAGGACTAGTTTTTACCTGTGCTACATCTAGAGATACTTCTAAAGGAATATTGTGAAAATTTTAAAAAGGACCAAGGGAGAGAGGTGATTTTACAGGCACCAACTATGACTGACAACTACAATTTGATGATTCAATACAATTATACTACTTCTGAAAAGTACATCTACTTTAGGAAAAGACCAATAGGTAATAAAAAGTAATAAAACACCACTATACATGGTGTCCTTATTATAAACATTAGGGCTATTAACTCAGAATTTACCAAACCTCACAGCAAAAGTAGATATAAATAAAACTATGAGTTTAATATTAACTTCTAAAACTAGTATTATATATGTAGAGAGATGGGTTTTTTTTTTTTTTACTAAGGAAAAGATTATCCATCTATCAGAAATCATCTGCCATATACATTATCTGCAATTATTAACATTCAGGCTGTTCTTTCCAAAAATTAGAAATTCACTTACTTAAGAAAAAAAGTAACATTAATTCAAAGGAACACATTTGCTTAATAGAATATACACAAGCAAATATTTGAGATTTTGAGGCACCAGTCTTACCTCCTCCCTCCAAGTTAAACAATTCAACTTTAAAAGATTTTTCCAATTCAGGAATAGAATTGTCAGTGATATTAACAGAAATGTATTTATATCTATCTCCTGGTTGAAATTCTAAGGTACCAGCAACACTCTGAAATGCAAATAAAAGATTTATTCATTAGATTATATTCTGTATAAGAAAGTGCAAATGAGAATGTTTACTATGCCCCCAATTATTTTAAATAATTTGAACATAAGTAAAATATAAAATTGGAAACACTTAAGTGGATATGTATAGTGTTCAATATAAATTCCAAATAAATATTCCCCAACTAAATGAAGTAATAAATATTTTATTTCTTATTTGTGTATTCATCAAAAATGTAGTCCAGGCAAATAAGAAATGCAAATAGGTGTCATCCACAAATTCTTACAGAATTCATTCAGTGAGATGCATGAAATTCTCTTAAGCAAGTATATTTAAAACTACTCAAATTATATCACTGAGCAATTTAAATACACAGTGCATAATAATAATGGCATTTCCGTTCTGAGAATTTTTCCATGGAATGATAAATACCAGTCCATTGGGAATTAATTTTTTCTTGACAGTACCTGAAATTGCAATTCATAATACAGATCTCCCATCAGGAAGGTTCATATACAAGAAAAACAAAGATATTTAAATTCAAAGTCTTAAGGCCCTTTTTTCTCATGTTATTTCTCATATAATCATTTTCCCCTCGACTTAGCATAAATGTTAAAGTTGTTTAAGTTTTCCTAATGTTAGCTTGTGTGTACAAATACATAACATCTTGTCAAGCTATTAATGATCTCAAAGCTAAAATGAGGAACCCAAGTACCAATTCACTTAATCACACACTTATTAACTTCTTTCAATATTTATCAAAAGTGTAGTGCGTGCATGGCACCATTTTTGATGCTTCAGATGCAAAAACAGCCAAAACAAATCTCTAGCTCCATCAGAAACATTCCAGAAGAAACTTAAGTATGTAATACAATAATTCAAATAGAATAACAACTGCTATAAAAGACATACAGTTAGCGCAAGAAGGAAGTGATTAACTTTGCCTGGAGTATAGTCATCAGTGGAGTAATCCTACAAGTCTTAGCAACAAACAACATTTGACTGTCTTAGGAAACCATCTTTCTTGACCTTAGCAAAATCTCACGCAACTGGTCATTTCCTCTTCTGAAAACATGTTCTTCTCTGGCATTCCACGATCTCAAACTCTTCTGTTTTTCCTACTCTTACAGCTTATTGTTTTTAGCGTTCTTTGCCAATTTTAGCATTCCCCTGTGATCTCTAAAAACTGTTGTTCATCAGTCTCTCTCTAAACTCTCTCCCTAAACAATATTATCATACTTTAGGCTTTTAGTATCATGTATATGCTCCCAGCTCTCAAATTTATATTTCTATCCTCTGATATCTAGGCTTAAATATTAATATCTAACTTGAATTTTTCTTATAATTTCTGTAAGAATTTTTAATTCTGATCTTCCTTAAATCTATGCCTTATCCAATCCTCTCCATAGCATGAAACTGTACAGTAGCAGGTTGCTTTAGCAGGAACAGAGAGTCACTTTTGACACCCTCTTTTGCTTTATCCTTCACACTAAACAATCCTCAAATCCTGACATTTAACTCAGTATTTCTTGTGCCCACCTACTTCTTTTCATCTATACCATTACCTGCGTAGTCCAAGATACTCTCACTTCTTGCCTTGCTCCACAAAAGGAACTGTTTGCTGGCTTTTCTGCATTCAGTGTCTATATTTTCTAATCCATTCTCCATGGTTCAGTTTAATGATCTTTTATAAATGTATAAACTGTAAATTACTTCTCCCTGTTTCCAAAATCAAAGCCATGTAATCTGTGAAGCCTAGAATGATCCAATCTCTGCATACCTTATCTTTTATCACCACAACCAGCTCTCCACATTCCAGAAATACTAGTCTTCTTACTGTTCTTCTGTGCTTTTCCTTAGGGCTATTTTACCAGTCTCAAGTAATTCTTCCCTCTTTATCTAGTTTACTAGTTTTCTTTTCCTTAAACTTCAGAGATCAGCATAAATATCAATTCTCCAAGGAAGCCCTCCCTGACTACCCAGACTATGTCAACACAACCTGTCTCCCAGACTACCAGCTTTGGGCATCTCCCACTACTATGAGTCAGTCATTCATTAGTTGTTTAATATCACTCAAGAGCTAAAGTAAACACCTGGGTAGTGAAGATCACCTTTACCCTGGTATATGAGAACAAGGTTAAGAACAGCAATATCTGATATTCAGTTGTCTCCTACTCTGTACATGGTCCTTCCTGGCACCTCCTCTTCCTCCCTGTAACATATGCATGCACACATACATACACAGCTTAAGAAATCTTACTCCTGTGTTAATACAGACCAGAGATAGCTGAAGTATCAAAAAAAACTGGTAAAGGCAAAGATTCAAAATGGTAACAAGTGATAAACAGGACACCTAAGCTCCCCTGGAAATCCTCAAAAACATCTCCAAGGGTATTAGCTTTCTAACAGTAATGAAGAGGAGGGAACACAGGATTGTTTGTTTTGTTTTCCTTAACTAATTTTTAAAAATGCTAATCCAACTAGAGACGGGGAATGTGTAGACTACCTAGAAACTGAAGACCATCAATATGAGAACTAAAGTGTTTCTTGGAGAGAATGCCGAGAGGCCATACTAAGCCAAACTGCGATGTCTTGTGGGGTAAGTTTTAAACTAGGTAAAAATACAATAAATGTTAGGACAAAAGAAGAAGAGTTTGAGGAAGAAGAAATCTGAGAAAACTTTACTAACAGGACTACAGCTACTTGAAATTAGCCAAAATTTGTGGGGTGTGGGAGGAAAAGTGCATACAAATTACTGAACACTTCACCATTGTGTGGGCCTTACTAGATTTAAAAAAAAAAAGGTTCTCTGAGAAAACAGAAATGTTGAAGGATATAATGTACTTCCTGAGAAATACAGCCAATAAGAAATAACTGTTTGCTTCATAGGAGTATAGGTGATAAAAATAAGTCATGTTTATGGAGTGTTACCATATGTACCATGTATAGTATGTAACCATTAAACACAGCCATCAATCCTCAGAACGATCCTGCCCTGCCCAGCAGGTGTTACGGCTGTTGTACAGATAAGGAAACTGAGGTTAGGAAAGGTTGACACTCTCGAAGCCACACACTTAGACAACCAGTTTAAACACAGTTCTGTACAGCTCCAAATGCTTGGACTCTTTTTTTGCCAGTACCACATTGTTTCTCACTTGGAAGAAAAATAAATAATTAACATTGAAAAGACATGAACATATAATTCCTTTATAATTTTGGTTTTGTTCAATGGATGCAGACAAGAGGATTTCAAATGTGTAAGAAATATAATTTTAAATATATATGATCAAGACCTATAAATTAAAATAAACACGGAAGCCTATGATAACTATTTAAGTCACAGGCTTCAAGGGGCTAATGTATTTTAATTTACATAAAGATAAAAGGCCATCAGTGCCTGTTTTCCTTGTTTAGTATGTCCCAGGTACAGTCCCAAGTCCCTTCCAATCCTCCAAGAGGACTGTGTCTGTTTTACAAGAGCAAATAGCACTTCAGAAGCACTCGGGGGGTTACCTGGTAGTCCTCAGGACTGAATGCTGTCAATGACACTGTTCTAAATTCTGCCATAACCGTCCCCAGCAGTCCTTGTGCACGGACGACCAGTAACCTAACTTCTCCATCTTCCTCCTTCACAGTGATGTGTGGAACGCTGCTGGCGGGCAAGGTCATCGTGTCCTCAGGCTGGGGAGGTGGCCCAGTGGAGAACTGCAGCAAGCCTGGCAGATACAAAGAAAGGCAGAGCATTCTTACCCCGATCTGTGAAACAATTTATTCATTTGAAACAGTCCTGCACAATTATTTGGCTCACCAGGGTGAAATTCTGGAGGCTCTCATTTAGACTTTATTGAAGAAGATTCGATTAGCATGCTTTGACACAGAATATGTTTAGCTTTCAGAATGTTAAAAATTAAAAGGCTAATTTTTCTTGCCTCTACCCAAAGAAAGTTTTTTAAAAAGTATCAAAAAAAGAAGATGGGGATTTAAAATACATATTACCAAATATTTACTCATATTTGGCTCTCTAGAATTCATTCTTGAACTTAAGATTTGCAACACATTTTTCAAAAAATTTAACTACAAAAATTAGAGTTGAAAAGCCTCCCGCTTTTCCTATGCAGACCTTTTAATAGATTTTCTTGCTTTATTCCTAAAAAGAACTATTACTGTTCAATACAGAAAACAGTCTGGGTTTATGAGGACATACATCTATAGTAGTTCCCCAATTAAGGAAATTATAATTTTTCAGCATAAACAAAAAGATTAAAATAAACCTACAGTAATAACTCTACCTATTAAAGCTTAAAAAATATAAAGTACAAAGTATTTAATTAAATTTTAAAACATATGACAGTGGGATAATTTTTTAAATAAAAGAAATGATAGTCATAAATAAAAATACTTCATTTTAAATCATCCTACATATACTTTTCAAAATATATGATTAAACTTCAGAAATTGATCTTTATATTTTCCTTCAATGTCCCTCAAAACAGCAGCTTAGAAGTTCAAGAGCTTAGAAGCAAGAGGGTCTGAAACAGTTAATACTTCAGTCATTTGCAAAAAAAAAAAAAAAATCCCTTAAGAATTTCTTAGCAAGATGAAGTACACCAGAGAAGAGAGGATTGTTCTTGCAAAAAGGCTTGGTTACCATACGGATGATCACTGGCTTTGACGGTGATATCTGTTGTTTCCTTTTCAGGATCTATGCTTGCTCCACTGGTAGGAGTGGAACCTAATTTGCCATCTCCAGGAATTGCAGAAACCAATGTCACACGGAAATACTCATTAAGCTCAGGGATGTCATCATCAAGAACATATATATTCAGAACCTATGCATATAAAAATCCGGAGGCATTAAGCAATAAGGCATGTATAAATTATTTACCATGTCCCAGAAGAAACTAAAATGGCAATTAAATTATATTTAATTGAAGTTACTATTTAACATGACTTACTTCTATGTAAACTTAACACAGAGAAAGATCTGAGAAATTAATTCTTTAAACAATAATGGGCACTAAGCAGTAACATTTTCATATATTAGTGACATATTATATGGTATCATGTTGATATATAGTCTTTGTATCAAAGACAGTGCTATCACCAACCTCAGGGTATAGAGTTGCTAATTGAGGAGCTGCATGTTATCTGATAGGATGTGGTAGGGTGGTAAGAAAGGGCAACAAGCACATGCCTAGTTCCTACCTAGGGAGAGCCTGACATACTTAGTTACATTTTAGAAAAAAACAGATTCACAATGGTCCTTAGAAGTCTGGCATAAGCATTATATCCAAAAAAAAAAAAAAAAAAGTTATAAAAGGAAGTAGCAGTAACTCAGCCATGCTCCACAAAATTTAAGTAAAAATTTGAAGTGAAAAAATAATTTATCTTTCCTTTATTAATTGAACAAACAGGTTTTGACATCTATAAGTGACAGGGTTAGAAAAGGCCCCAGGCTCTAAGAGGCTCACAGTCTATTGTAAGAGAAAGATCTACAGAAAAAATTTAAAATGCAATGTAAACATGTCATCATAGAATTATGTACGAAGTAAACTGTGAAAGAATCTACCAACTCCACTGGATGAAGGTTTTACAAGAGACATGTTTGAAGTTAAATGAATAATCACAGTTATAAATAATGGGAAAAGACATTCCAAGTAAAAGAAATGACACTGGCAAAGGCACAGGGGCAGGAAGGAAAATGGCAAATGGGCAACTGCAATTAGACCACTGCGGAGGGAAAGACAAAGCAGGATGGGTACTCAGGGGTCAGATCACAAAGACCACTTACGCGATCATTAAAAAGAAATGGACTTCATTCCATAGTGGGTGGAAGGAAGTTGACAAATTCATAAAACAGGAGATGGGCAAAATAAGAATTTCATTTTAAAGTAAGTACGATGGCAGAATATAAATGAGTGGACACAGCAAGAAATGATGCAAGGGGTTGAGGTAGGAAGTGACTGATCAGAAATAATAAGATTCTGAACTTGGGCTGTGACAATGAAGATGAAGAAAAAATAGATAGGTTTGAGACTTGTCCTGGAGCTAGAAGACCCAGGCCTTGATGAGTCACTTGGTGTAGGAAGTGAATAAAGGATGACTTCCTGGTTTCTCCCAGAAAGGACAGGAACAATCTGAAAACTCACTGTGAATGCTACCTCCAAAACACTTTTGTTTTACACCTAGTAAATGTGTTCCCTTCTTTCCCCCAAATTATGGAGATTTCATCACTCTTCTTTAGCTTTAAATCTTTAAATCTTAGGAACATTTAAAACTCCTCCCTCAATTTTATCTTTTTCATCCAATTACCTAACTCCTAAATCCCTGAGAAATTTCTCAAAGATTATATCTGCAAGCTTCAAGTTACTTTACTATTTACCCCAATGACCTATAAGCTATTTTCTTTTTCAATGAAAAATTATACTGAGACAAATAGTCCAACATGATAGACTAAAAGAATGTAAAAAAAATGCTGATGTACGAGGTGGTCTCATCCCAATTTCACTCACAAAAAGAGTCATTTATTTCGGGAGCCCCTATTTAGAAATGTGATCATGGTTCATCAAAAGTTTTTAGTAAAACTGGAGACCACTTGCACTTTCAAAAAAAGAAAAAAACCTCAGTTTTCCAAATGTTAAAATAAAATGAGATAATAGTTATAAGAATTTTTCATTGGCTGACTGAAAAAAATACCATTAAGAATTTCACAGTTTCCCACTATATTGGTAAAAACAAAAAAACCCACAATAATAAACCTCCACGCTGTATGATTTTTATTACATTGGGATTAAAAACATATAAAGCTATAACACACATCATTTAAAATCCCTAGTTTTTCTTCTGCATAAATACAAAAATGTTTTATATCATGACATATCTTAATCACCTGAATACTTTAAATTGCTTAAACATCAAGAAGCTGCAAACAAATTATAGAACAGATCAGAAAAAGCTTTCCAGGAGGCTTTCAAAGAAACAAAGAAGGTAGTGCTTACCTCTGATCTCTGCCAAGGAAGGAACGTGATAGTCCCACTGGCATTAGCAAAATCATCAACAAGGTAATTAATGCCATCAGATTCGATCTGAGAGATGGTGTAAAAAACATGCACATAACCCAGGGCTCCTCTGGTTCGCTCCACCACACATGAAATGGTGGATCCCTCCTCTGCAATCTGAAATTGAAAATAAAGTATTTATCATTATATACCGATTTAAAGCAGTGGTAATGTTACAATGCTTTCATGAAATCCTTTGCCATGGACCTTAATTCTATAACTTTCTACCATTTTAAGGAGGCCTCTACATTCCTTCAGATATATTTTTGTCTGCTAAAAGTAGTATTTGTGATCATTCATTTTATTTCATTTTTTACAGGGATAAATAAGGCAAAAAGGATAATAAGTTAACTGTACATGTAATTCATTCATTGATACCTCCTATGGGCCAGCCATTGTGTTAAATGCTAGGATTACAAAAGATTCTTTTAAGCAAAAGTGCAGTTCTTTCTCTGGGTTACTGTAAAGAAAAAGACAACAAAGCCAAAACAACCAGGGACAGAAGTTAGGGGCAGAAGGTGAAACATGACACCAGGGAGAACATTCCAGCCTTGAACATAAGATATAATCAAGTAGATCTGATGAAGTCATTTTGAACGTGGTATAAAGTGTCAAGTAGGGAGATTCCTGAGAACTGTTGGTGGGGAGACAATAGTCAGGCCGAGAAGGACATTTATGTCACGTTTAATATAGTTCTGATATATACATGGCCGTGCCTCAATATCCACAGGACCACCCACACCACCAACAGAGAATAAAATCTGCAGATGTTCAAGTCCCTTGTTTAAAAATGGTGTAGTGTTAGCATATAACCTATGCAAAGTCTCCCTTATACTTTAATTCATCTTTAGGTTACTTGTAATACTAAATACAATATAAATATTATGTAAATAGTTGTTATACTGTATTGCTTAGGAAATAATATTTTTAAGAAGGTCCGTACATGTTCAGTGCAGACACAACTATCACAGGACTCCTATAACAATGTACTACTGCGCAATACATGTCAGCAACAATGTAGCTTTTTCTTCAAATATTTTCAATCTACATTTGGTTGAATCCAAGGATACAGACTCTGTGGAGATGGAGGGCCAACTGTATATGTACGTTTACACATACGTGTGTATATTGTATGTTATTTTATGTTGAAATCATTTTTACCTAAACACTTTGAGATAATGCTTAAAATTGTTTATGGAACATGAAGTCATAATATCTTTTGGAATAAGGTCTTCATACTCTTAAATTCACAGTCTAATTATTTTTATGTGAGCAAACAGGTAATTCATAAGAAAAAGCTACAACTGAATGAATAGAGCTCAACATATAAATCTTTATATAAAATGTCATTATTTTTCATATCAATCATAAGCACCGTTCATCAGCATTAGATAGAGCCATTTAGTACTGACACTGGAGTTAGAGAGAACAGATTTGAAATTTCCCTGCAAACAGGCAATAGTTCGAAATTATCAATGAGCGTGGAAGTATCAGATGTATCAGTAAATCCTGAGTTTCACTGAATATCGACACTCTTAGTCCAAAGTACAGCAGCAACTCTGGTGCCTCATAGTGAAAAGATTAAGACTCGAGAGGCAATACCGTAAGTCTTTTGTCTGCCCACTGGTCTACTAGCATGAGAAGCCCAAAACAGGCAGGTGGTTGTTCAGCGGGGCCCTCAGCGTGTCTCCTGGTAGACAACACAGACCCAGGCAGAGCCAGAACTTCTAATCCAGAGGAGCCCATAGCGTGGGAGTGGGCATCACAAATTCTGGCAGTGGACCACTGGAAGGAACGAAGATGGGGCCAGCCTTACTTTCACCTCTGGCTTCCCGAGCCCATGCGGTCTAGTTACTGGGGCCACAGAACCAGTTATAGCCACTGGATACACATAATGGACACTGGAGGACAAACTCGAGTGCTACAAGATGTTGTCCGTGAGCTGGCATCTTTGCTGAGTCTTTATCAGGCCAATAATAATGAGCTGCCACACCCCTCTGGAATAAAGGGACTGACTGGGATCAATCTACCACTAACTACCTCATTGAAAAGTGCTTAGCTTTGGTCTTTGCTACATGCTGTTTGAACGTTCTGCATCAACAGTTGCTAGATCAATCTTAGGAAGAAAGAACTTATCTTGTCAGGCCCCTGCCTAGGCCTGACCCCTGCCATCACTCTATTAGTGGCACTGTGGTGATGGAGGAATTTGGCTGACAGCCAACAGATGCTTCATCCTAACCTCCTGGGTGTTGAGAGCTTTTTGCTAAATGCCCCTCATGCTTAGTAAACTTACTTGTCCCTAGTCTTAAATCTACCAAGCCCTTGACCAATAGCCATATCATTAGCAGCTCAGAGATACATGTACCTCCATACATCAGACCACTTCTCCTTTCACATAAGATGAATGACTAAGTGGGCTGCTCAGAGCTCTGCCCTCGCCCTTCAGAGCCGCTCCTGAATAGAGCCGCAGAGTGAGCAGCCCGCTTCCAGCAGGCACCAGCACATGAGCAGAGTCAGGCTTGACAGGCAGCCTGCTCTGAAGCAGGCTTGATTTTTTCCTCCTCTGTCAGTTAGTCAAATGATTTGGAGTAAAAGTCAAAGAATTTAGTTTAAGTATGTCCAGTCTGAAAGGTCTATTAAATATTCAAGAGATGTATCAATTAGGCAGCTGGAGAAATTAGTTCAGAATTTTGGAAACAGGCCCGGACTGCCATTATAAATTTGAGAGGCAACAATGTACAAATGGTATTTAAGTACACATACAAAGGGTATATGAATACAGAATTATATAAATGGTATTTAAAGACTCGATGACATGACAAGTAAGTATAGATGGAGAGAAGAGGACCGAGTACCATCAGTTCTGCTACACTAGTTTTGAAATCATGAAATTGTTCCACACTTTTCACACAACATGGATTTTCCATTTGCTTATTGGTGATTTCATCCACAAGAAACATGGTGAAGACAGTACCGGCTTGAAACAAGCCATGTAGGAATACATAACATACATACACATAGGCACACACACCTCAACCATCTACAAAATGCCTCAGTTCAACACGTGTGTTACCAGTCACACTTACCTGCATTTAATGTGACAACTTTCCCTCTAATTTCAGATAACCTTCCTCGCATTGCTTCATAATACACATGTGCCAATTCCTCTGATACCCACTTCCACAAGCAAAATTGAAAATGTTTCAAGGTACGTGCCACATTCATTGTAGCACTGAAGGACTGAACATTTATTGTGTAAAACTTTTAAAATTAGATCCCTGTTTTTGTTTGTACAGGTCAGTGACCAAGTTTCTGAGTAGTGTTCTCCAAACCCATCTTTCCCATAAGCTCCATGTTTTTCATTATGCAATTTAGCATAGCATGGTGATATTTAGGAACCTATCAATCCTATTGTGGCAAAACACACTGTTCTGAAGGTGAGGCCCTCCACTCCTAAGGGGCTGAAGATACTAGCAAAGAGTCCCAGGTACTCACTAGAGTATCTAATTTAATTCCCACCTAGGCATCTACATCAGCATTTTCATCATAGCTGATTGGTACACAAACAAATGTGTCGGGGAAAGAGCATGACGTTCACATAAAACACTCCTGAGCTGCTTCATCTACCACTTACCAAGCATTGTCCGTCTCAGGGATCTCTCCTTAAAATGAAGGTTATAGTGACTCATGGATTTCAGTGGAGACTAAACAAGTACCTTACATGGTACTTAGTAATAGAGTAAGTGCTAAAACAAAATGTATGTCTTCCCTTTAAAATACAGACACACATACCCAACAATAAAAGTGACATAAAAAGATTCCTCATTTTATCAAGAAATATATACACTGACATACTGAAAAAGCAAATTATTTCTCACGTATTTCAGGTCCTATCACAATGGGAACAGAATTGCTCCATCTTCCCACTCTAAATTTCAATCAGAATATTTTGAATGTTATATTAATAAACTATTAATCCCAACATGTGAATATTCAATTCTTTCTTTTCAGCAAGAAACATGGATTAAATGCATGCAAAGATATACTCAGGAATCTATAATGCTATAACTTGTTACCAAGTCCCTAAGCATTACCACACAGCACCCAGGACTAAGAAAGAGGTTTTTGCTTAAAAGAATTACATATGGAAAAGCTATCTGACCACACTTTCATTTAGTAAAGTCTTCATCAAAATCTACCACCTTCTAACTGTTTTCAGTTTTTAAAAAAAGAAAAACAAGCTCTAGCCAAGTGGCTCAGTTGTCTAGAGTGTCATCCAGTACACCAAAAGGTTACCGGTTCAACCCCAGGTCAGGGCACACAGCTAGGTTGTGGGCTGGTTGGGGCACATATGGAAGGCAACCAATTGATGTTTCTCTCTCATAATGATGTTTCTGTCTCTCTTTCTCTCCCCCTCTCTCTCCTTTCTACTTTCTTTCTCTCTCAAATCAATAAATATATCCTTGGGTAAAAAGAGGAGGAGGAAGGGAAGGGGAAGAAGAAAACTATCCATATCCAATACAATTGTGTGATGATATGTGCTCTACATCAAAATTTAATGAAGTAATAATTTATACAATAAAGTAAACTTCCAGTTAGAGAAGAAGCTTCAAATGTCAAAGGTCCATTAAAAACTCACCTAGGATGTTTGGTAAAAATCCATCTTTCATACTTAATAAACTTACAGAGAAATGCATAATACCTGAGATTTGCTTTAAAGATTACTTCAACCAAAAAATATAAAACAAGATTGGCAACACGCTGATAAATTTTGAAGCGGGGTGATGGTCACTGGCGTCCACTAGTCTATTTTCTCTATTTTTAGGTATGTATGAAATTTGCCATTTAAAAACAATTTTAAATTCAGCTTTTTGCCTCTCATCCAATTCCCCTGCCAGTGATTCTGATTGAGAAATGAGATTGTGAATCAGGAATTTTGTCCTGCAATATAAATTAGATACTTCTGACCAAGGTTGTCCAATCTGGGAAACAGTGGACCAGAGAATAAAATTATTATACCAGAATATGATAAAGTCATAGAGAATAAATAATTAAATGATTTTTTTCTACCATTAAAATTGTAAGTTGACTTTAGATTCATGATACAATCAAATGTT